TCTTACGGGCAAAGGCCCTAATGAACAAGAGCGCTGATTAACACATGCACATACACCGAAAATGTAAAAGCACTGCACACACAAAGATTCATATACTGTATCTTCATCAGCATGCTAAAACATTCATAGCATACGGCACAGAGTGCAACTTTCTAATTAAAATAGCAAGTGGTCTGCACATTGCTTCGCCTGCAAAAGAAATGGAATCACATCTGAAGAGCTTGGCCAAAAACAGCATGAAAATGAAATGACGAGGAGGAAAAATAGAAGATTCTTTGCCAAATGTTCAGTCAAACATAGAACGGGAGCACAATAATAGTGCGATCATTTGACTTGAGTCCTTTTCACCGTAATGCTACTAGAAACGCGCATCAGTTAGCTGTTGCCATGCTAATTTCCCATGCGTTTCACTTGTTAGTGTTTCACGGTCATTTAACTCTTTTCTAAAGGAGAGAATTCGTTCTTTCGCTTCCCATTCGTTGTTCATGTGGACCCGATTCCTGACCCCTTAATAATACAGTTGTCACAAGTGTCATGTATAATTATCTCCAATCTGCCCTGTTTCCCTTCTGGTGGTTCCTTTCAGAGCTCTTTGTTGGCCTGCAGAATTGGCCAGTGAGACTTGATATGAGGGAGGTCGGGCACACAGAGAAGGGCTGGGCTAAATGGCAGAGGAGACATGCAGCAGATACAATCCTGTTTATGGGACTTCGACCTGTTCTCAAAGGCAACAACCTGCTCCTTCTCTGCCATAGAAACATGGCAACCGACCTGCGTAAAGCCACAACTCACTGCACCTTAACCAAAAAAAAACTAAAACAAAACAAATGAAAACATACGGGGACTGATTTGGAAAGAGAGTGGTAACACGTGATAATTAAAAAGAGAACAGCAAAATGCTTAGCTGGATTAATTAAGCACAACAATCACAAGATGTGTGTGGGCTGCAGATCTGCACCCTAAGCACAGCACAAGCTTAGGTGAGATGCATCACAAATAAGGGAGTAATGTGACCAGCTTAAGACAGAGGAGGCCCCTGACTGGACACGTGCTTCTAGTGATGGAGGAGAACCAAGGATAGCACTTGGCATCCAGCAAAATCCCTTGAACACATACAGTAGATGGATATGTTTCATCTTCCACTCTTGTGAGATGAGTAAGCCAATCGGGGGGCTGGCTCTCCTCCACATAGCCCCACATTACAATAGATCAGAGACAGAAACGGGAAGAGACAGGCTGCAGAGCAGAGGACTCCTCTCATAAGCGCCCTGTTTAATCACACACACACACACACACACACACGAGCGTGCTGAAGGCAGAATGGCCGGGACACAAAAGCCCGGCAAAAAGTCCTGCTGTGCCCTCAGTCGAAAACAAAACATCTTGACAATCTATCTGAATAAATCCCTCTGTCATTCTCAGCTTCTCTATCTCAAATTTTAACCCCCCCCCCCCCCCTTTCTTCCCCTCCAGTCCCCTTCCTCCTTCTTGCAAAGCTTTCCATCTGCTCTCTGAATTACTGTCGGTGATCCCGCAAAGATGGAAACCAACCAGTCTTTGCAGGAGTCTGATTTAGGCCCAATCCCCAGTGCCCCTCTATCCGCAGATGGTGGCCTGTCTCCTGCAGGGAACACTTCCACTTGGTGGGTTTGCTGCAGCTCTGTGGTGCAAGGCAACATTTTCTACTTGATGGATACATTTTTTTTTTTTTCCTGTCTTCAACTATTCACAAATGCATCTCATTCCCCCCACCCACACCCACACACCCACACACACACCCACACCCACACCCACACACCTAATATGTAACAGCGAGCTGAATAATGTAAAATATGTAATTACACCTAAACAGAATCAAGACACTTTTTTTGAAGAAATGCAGTTCATATTAACCGATACCACACCATACCACATTTCCCTCTTTCGAAGTAGAGCCTTCTCTGTGTGCACTTTAATCTGTTTAGTGATTCCCTACTGTCTGTTTCCTGTATACACCAATGTGTTTTTCCCACATCCAAAGGTGGCATCTGGTTGTGTTTTTTTCTGATCTGAACAGCCTAAACCCCAAAGATATTCAGTATGACAAAGAAAAGTATCAAATCGTCACACTTAAGAAGGTGGAACCAGCAGTTGTTTGGCTTTTTTTTTTTGCTTAAATAAATACTTAAACAACTATTTGATTATCAAAAGATTGCTGCAGCTCTAATCGCCTTTATGCTTACATGTGCCAGTGGTCGTGTACGTTTCTCAGTGCTGTTGCTGATGCAGTGTAAACTCAAAGCCCTTAAGTGTTATTCATTCCGTCCCATGCTCTAACTAGACAGTCTGGGCCCTCACAGTCCTTTTCATCTCAGTCCAAGTGTTATCTTCACTGAAATAAGCAAGAAAGGATATTCTGCCTTAACTTTAGATCAAACTGGGAAATGAGTCATGAGACACAGGATAATTACAGCACTCAGTTGACAACATTTGCTGCTAATAGAGGAGACAGATGGTAAGTGAACATCCATTCTATTCCCATAAGAGACAACAGAGGAGTAAAGTGTCAGATTGGGCTTCACAGCATGAGAAAAAACCACACACACACACACACACACACACACACACACACACTTGCTCACATACACACACACACACACACACACACGCTCACACACGCACAGAAACTGGACTTTCATGTTTATAACCTCTTTGTGTCTGAACAAATATGATGCAAATGTTAGCTCCCCCCCCCACCCCCCACCCCCCTTATCAACCTCACTATAGTCAGTCCAGTGCAGCAAAGAGCTTCCATATTTCATCGCCTCTAATAATTTCACTTCCTCTGAACTGACAGCCCGGACCGGCCAACACACAAGCGAGGAGGAGATATGGACAACACGGATTAGATTGTGTAAAAAAAAAAAGTTTTAAAAAGGCAAGAAATCCACAACGGGCCGCAGCGTGTTAACTCAAGGTTAAGGTGTGGTCATCACAAAAAGCACAGCAATAAAAGGATGTGTCAATCAAAAGAGGCACTTTGGGGCTGCTCTTTAATTTCTCCACCTATAGGACACAGGCAGGTGGAGAAGCATGAGGGGACTCAGGCCAGGGGATCAGTCACATAGAAGAGAGGCCACAGAAACTGGCAGCGTTAACTATTAGAGCCTAATGGGAAGGTAAGAGCGCAGATGGCGAGGCTCGCAACACTCCAGTTAACAAACTAAAAAAACCCACATCATGTAAATGTTTTTGTTGACAGACACTCTCGCGCAGCCACAGTGAAGCGTCGCTGTTCCATTCATCTCTTTTAATTACCTGTGTGAGATTTAATCCTTCATATGTCTCAGCCCATTCCTCTTAATGATCTGCTCCATTCAGCTCTTGACAATACACAGACTGCTTGCATGGGTTTGTTGTTTTTTTTGGGCAGGGGGGGGTTATTGTTGTTGTTTCTGCTCCTTTCACAATGAGCTATATGAACAAGCGTCACACTGAGCATTAGTAGGTTTTGCCATTACCAAATTTCAAGGCAAATCTCCTCCTGATCTCAACATAATCAAGCTTTTTTTTCTCCAACACCCATGTGACAAGCACAGTGTCGCATTGTTATACAGTGTAAATGTAACCAATATTTTCTGCCTCAGCTTATTACCCTTGTTTTATGTTCCAGTGGTAAATTTATACATGCTTGTTGTGTGTGTGAGTGTGTGTGTGTGTGTGTGTGTGTGTGTGTGTGTGTGTGTGCGTGCATGCGTGCGTGTGTGTGTGAGACCAAGTCATTTCAGCCTTTTCAGTGAATAAAAGCAGATTTTCAAAACATGAATGTGAATGAATATGAAAAGGTCTGTGCCAGATTCATGAAAAAGATGTTTAGATTTACCTCTCTCTCTCTCTCTCTCTCTTTCAATCTCTCTGATATGTGGCTGTTTTTCAATCAAAAAGTTTTATTTATCTTACTGCCCTGAAACTGAAATGGGGAATAAAAGTCAGAGTCAATTTTACAAATTGCCTCAATTTTGATCCTTTTATTTGAAAAACATATTATCACCCCGTTACAATCTCAGCTTGTCTTCTCACAAAGCAGAAAAGATGACTTTTAAGACGTAAAAAGCCTGCTCTGCCAACCATTTCAATACGTTGAATCTCCTTGATCTTGAAAGATTTAGGGGCTGATTTGTGAGCATCACTATGTCCCCTTCGCCACACAACCCAAAAGACCAGAGGCAGCTCATCACATAAGGAGAAAAAAAAAAGGGGGGACTACATCTTCATGAGAATTTGGTTTCAAAAAGTAGTTTCAGTAAACATTATAATGCCTCAGATTTCATTCAAATATAAACTTTTAAGGAGTCACTCAGTCAAGAAATATGCAACCCAACGGCAGTATGGAGTAGCTCCAGGTTTTGGTCTCTGGATGTCATCACAGATTGGAGTCAGGCTGTCGGGATTTGGGAGATTCATGCTCACTAATATTGATTAAATTGCCTGAAGGCGGTAGGGGAGTCGTCCAGCCCTTTTAAGGGGAAACTGTCTCTATGGATGAACTGATTTTCTAACTTTGGATCACCATGTCAAATAGGCTACATTTTCTGCTACCTGGCGCCTTTAAATATGCTTGAGCAAAGAGGAAAAACTGAAGCAGCGTAGCAGAGGATTGTTGTTTGGGGAAATGGGAGCTTTACCCAGAACACCCAGTCGTCAGTCTTGCTAAATTGCAAAATTTTTTTTTTTTTTTTTTTTTTTTTGCAAGCGTCCGGTACTGAGAAAACTTCAGTTTACAAAGTTCGTAAAGAATTTGTTTTTATTTTCTGGTGGGAGAATTAACATTGTCCCACTAATAAGTCACGGGAGGCAGCAGTATGCCGCAGATAAACGCAGCAGTGTGTTGGGGGGGAAAGGGGGGAACAAAGTTGTCATATCACCAGACTCGCTCCGCTTTTGCTTTCAGTGGAGTTTCATCCGCATGTAAAAACTTCCCAACTGCGTTCAAGGAGATCGACATGAATATGTGTCCTTACCTGTTGGCCCCTCGATGCCATCGGCGTAGATCTGAACAGTCAAAATCAACAGAAAGGCGCAGGTGTTCATCGTGTAGCTGTTGTAGTCCACTTTAAATGTGCAGAAGGAAACATTTCATTCACTCCGTGAGGTCCGGGCGCGCAAGTAGAGTAGAGCCGAGCGCATCTATTCCCCCAGTTCTCACTGAGTGGAGTTTCACAGACACTGAGGGAGACAGGGCAGAGCTACTTCTGCAAACTGACGTCAGGGTAAACAGTTCAGGGGAGAGATTTCTTTCTCGAGCCCACTTTCCTTCCCAGCCTCCACTTCGCTGCAGGTACAAAGTATGAGCCGGGCGCCTCCAAGTGGCGACACCCAGCAACGGCACTGTGGTACTCAAACGTTGGCCAAGCAAAACCCCCAGACTGTGTGTGTGCTTGCGCTCGCGCGCGCGCGCGTGTGTGCGCGTGTGTGTGTGTATACTCTGCTACTTGTATCTTTGTGAGGTCCAGGAGGAGTTTCAGACCCTGAGAGTGAGGACATTCTTCTAAAGTGTGGGCATTTTTGCCAGTGTTTACTTCTTCAAAGGCCTGTTTGATGTTTCAAAGTGGATTTTAAAGTGAAAACCGGAGTTAGGTTTTATTTAAGGTAAGGTTTGTGGTTGGGATTTGGATTAGGTATGTATGTGTGATGGTTAAGGTCCAGACTAAGGGATGCAAGACTTTGCATCATTAAGATAAGAGATGAGGTTAGGTGTGTGGTGGTCATGGTTAAGGGTTAGGAAAGTACATGTAAATGGTTGCAGTGTTCCTCCAAGTGACCTAAACAAGTGTGTGTCTTGCTGTGTAACTGTGGAGACAGAGACAAGGTGCCAATCTCTTTCTGTCTTTTCATCCATTTGGCTTCATTTTAATGAGAAGTTACTATATCTTCACCGCCCAGCAGCTCCTAACACCTGTCACCATGCACCCAGCATCACAGGTACAGGATTATCAGTCTGACAACAATGGCTGCAGGTTGAGAAAATACTCATTATTTAAGCCAGCTACATGCCCTTGAACTGCAGATAGGCTTGTCTTTTTAAAGTAACATCTGCATTAACAATGACATCATCATTCTCATGTTTAAAAATCATACAATCTGAGGTCTATTTAATCAAGCTATTGTATCTATAACATATACTAAATTCAGTATATGTTCAAAAAAGTATATATATATACTGTATATATATATATACACTTTTTTCACAGCTGTTAGTCATATATTCATACACTACAGACAGTCCGCATGCCTTACACCTCCCAATGACAGGTGCAAAGCATATTTCTCCATAAATTAGTCTGTCATGTTGTGTGCACCAATTTTGCATTTCATATGGTTATATTGGTGGAGAATACCTCTTGGATCTAATGTAATCTGTAAACTTAAATGTAGACATCTAACACATGGAGAAAAGCCACCATGAGTTTGAGATGTATAATATTTGCCAGCTTCTCTGTCTTATAGTCCTACATAACACGTGTAAAAGCATTACAGTTGTGTAGATTGTGTAATCTTCATGTGCTGCAAGGTGTCCCATTGTATTTGATTAGAGCTTTCCATGGCATTTGTGGCTCGCATTAGAAATGAAACATCTTGCACAAGTGCTGATGTTGCAGCCAGTCCTCTGCGTGAACCGAGCTGGTGTTAAAACGTGGCTGGGCTCAAGGACTCCTGATTGGATCAAGACACCATTACACAGGCTATTCATCATTCATTTTGTTGTTGTGTGTGAACATTAAAGTTGTGGATTAAATTAAAGAGGGCCAACAGACACATCTAAGGCTTCCAACATGAATGCACATCTCTGTCTCTAATGTTGTTAGCCCAGAATGACAGATGAACGATGGACTGCTCAGCAAATTGATTAATTTAACCAGAGGAGCGCAGCATATGTCGAGCTAACACCTGTAATTACACCTGCTTGATGCATGGAAACCATTTTTGCGCCCTGGTATTCAAGGCACAGAGTGGCAATTTATTTAAACTAGGGAGTATTTTGGCCCAAATCTGTTCAACTGCACGACAGGTTAATTTGCAGTAAAGCTATAACAGGATGTTGTAAAATACTGTTCAACTCCAACAACAGGACAAGCATCAGCAGGGATGCTGACAGCTGCACTATGATGAGAGTAATTTTATCGAGTATTTTATCAGCTGCCACTCATAACCCCTCACAAACAAATACATCTGCACAGGCAGCATTGTGCATGAATTTATAATAACACATCATTACAGTTCTGAAGGAAATTGTCAAAGGCTGGCTATCAAACCATCACTGTCGATCACACGGGCCTGGATGCAGCATGCTGTTCAAAAAAAGTAAATGAACGACAACTCACACAGAGCAGAAAACTGCTGCTACGCTTTTATCTTTACCAGGCAGTGATATCACAAAAGATTTTCATTGTCTGTCAAATAAAAAATTTTTGTTTGACATCGTTGACTGTCATGTCACCACATGTCTGACAATGCTGGGTAAGGTGAATCCACAGAGCAGCTGTTTTCTCCCCTGTTTGTACTGTTGAATTAGCCATTAATTTCCGTTCTATTAATGTAAGTGGGGTAACAGGTATTCACATCAGAGGTTGGCTAAAGCTGCAGAAAGAATGGGAGATGAATGAAACGTCCAACCAGTATTTTGTAATTGAGTAGCTTAAACACTGCTTCTGTTCAAATTTTAAATGTAAATGTTTTTATTGAAAATTTGTTCATTATCTTACAAAGTCACACTTTTATATTTTTCTCTTTTATAATTTTTCTATAATAAAGAAAGAAGAGGTCATTTAACATGATTCTGTATTTGCAGCACATTAGTACACAGTACCCTGTATAAAGCAACAGCACATGTCAACAGTCACAATACTTATTCATATATAGTTTTCACTGACTTAAATTAAGAATCATGTATTCTTCAGGCAGTGAGTGTCCGGTGCATAGATCTAGGTCTTAGGTGTTATTACAAGGGCCTTAATATAGCCAGAGTGGCAAATATTTCACAAAATCAAAATAATAAAAAAAATTCAAAACACAAGTGTTAACTCACAAAATAGGTATGTTAAATTACAAATATTATTAGATGCTATTATAAAAGTATTGAGAAAATTTGTCACAAATAGCTGAAAAATGTACCGACTACTTTTAGATAAGAGGAAATGTTATCACCAAAGACAGTAAGGTAGAATCAAATATTATATTTACAAATTTCTAGATAGAAACATTTACATAAAGTTCCGTCACAACTACCCAGGTTTCTAATACTGTATCCAATAGACAAGAAAGAACTCTGTGTTTCAGGGATGCAACTATCGATTGTTTTCATTATCAATAAACCACTTATTTTCTCCATAAACTGATTAATCACTTTTGGTCTATAAAATATCCAAAAATAGTTTAAAAAAAATGCCCTGTGCCCTTCTCAGAATGTGGGAAGTGACATATTATGACATATTGCAAAATATTGCATATTCTGGCAGACCAACAGTCCAAAGCCCAAAGGTAAGACTTAAAAAAAAAAAAAAACAGCAAATATTCACATTTGAAAAGCTGGAACAAGTGAATTTTTTGGAATCTTTTTTGCTATAAAAATGATTTAAATGATTCATTGATTCAGAATTTTGCTGATTAAATTTCTGTCAGTTGGCTAATCAGTGAATCAACTAATCGTTTCACCTACACAGTGTTTTCATTTGTTAAAATGTTAGAAAAACATGTCCAAATGGTCTCTGTGAATGTGCCATTTCCAATCTCAATGCAAAACAAATCTGTGCCAGTAATACCACTGAAGTAACCACAACTCAGCTAAAGTAATTACAGTGAAGATAAAAGCTTACAAGTAAAAAAAACACTGTTTTACAAAGTAACATTGTTTTTGAATGTTTTATCCTTTAAGTATTCGGGTCTCAGGCACATTCTCTCACTTAGTCCTCCAGCATCCCTTTAGGATTGTCTCTCTCTTACTTACTTTTATGTTTCTTTGATGCCTTTCGTCCTATAATCACCTTCTCAATGTCATGCAAGCCCTCTGCCTCCTCTTCTTCCTCACTCTTAAGGTGAGGGTCTTCTCGAGACTTAACATTCCTCTGTCCGGGCTCTTTGTAGATCCCTGAGGTGTCCTCTTTCTCCGCACCCTCCTGTCCCCGCTGGTGAACCTTCTCCTGGCTCCTCGTCTCACTGTGCTCATGGTTCCTCTGCAGGGTAGTACTTTGGCTATCTCTGTCTATATGGTGGTGCTGACCAGTGGAGGCAGAGAAATGGGTGAAGAGCTGAGGGTTGATGGTGAGCTGAGCATAAGATGCTGCAGATAAACCAGTAACAGAGAGAGGCAGGGTCACTGAGCTTGTTTTCACGGGGGACAGCACGTTCTGGGTTTGGCTGTTTGACGGGTTTTGACGTTGAGGTCGAAGGTGTTTTGAGGATGTGCTTTTGTGAGATGTGCTTTTATCAAAACTTGGCTTCTTCCGTTCCTCCAAAATCTCATCCAACACTAATAAAAAACATGATATTAGTAAATACAATCCAACTAGATATCTCTGTATGTACTATCTGTTGCCTTTAACAGTTTTCTCACCATAAATACTGTTATGGATTTTGCTCTCTTCATTCTGGCTGCGCCTCAGATCCAGAGTTTGCTTCACTGAGTCTAAAAGCCCGAACATCTCACACAAGGAATTAAGCATGATGGCATCTGACAAAAACAAAATAATCAATCGTCAGCTACAAGTCCTGAATGATTAATACTATTCCTTATCAATTTATCCAGAACAAATTGTGCAGGATCACTTTGCAAAAAATCTATATCCATGAATTTAGCTAGTGGATTTGATTTACACTCACACTTTTTTTTTTTTTTTTTTTTACTTGACTGACATTTGACTAAATTTAAAGCAATTCTTTTCAGTCCAGTGGATAGACAGGCCCCACTGCGGGAACTCACCTGTCTCCTGCAGGTTGTCATTCTCACTGCGAACCTCCACTCCTTTGAGACTGGCTAAGAATTCAGTCTGAAGACTGGACAAGACCTCCCCCATCAGTCCTGAGTCTGCCACACCCTGCCACAGGCTCAGTACTCCATCTAAAGAAGGTCAGTTATAAGGGACATTATTATGACATGTAGGGAACTCTGTATGAAAATGACAAAGAGCCACAGAGAGATAAAAGAAATTCATGTAGGCACAGTCATAGAGGTGATGTTTGTTTGTGTGTGAAAGGATGCATTCCTATGTGAGCTGTGGAGTTGGACAGTAACAGAGACAAAGTAAAGCAAATAAAGAAGAAATGTGGGATAAATGAGATAGAGTGGGAAGGCAGGGAAAGGTTGAGAGTTCTAAGACAGTCAAAGGATTGGAAAAGAGAATAATAAAGTGAAAAGGGAAACATAGGACGAGGTGTCAGGGTTGGAGAAACAATGAAGAGAAGATAGGGGGAGATAGAAGAAATGGGAGAGGGGCAGCGCTTGGAGAGAGGATGTTAAATGGGTAATAGAAGGAGAGAGGAAAGAGTATAGGAAAGTAGAAAAATGGGTTAGAGAAGCAGTGCTCTAAGAGGAGAGAAAGGACATCGCAGATTGGAGAGAGAATGAAAAATTACTTGGGATCTGTGCAAAACTGAGCAAAATACAAGCTGAGTATATTAGAGTGATAAAATGTCAGGGGTACTTGATATCTTATCTTGTAAGAAATGTGTCCACTTTCATGTTTGCTTAAATGTCTGTCAGGATAAATGTAATGTGCCAAATAAAAATATTCCAAATCCCATTTGCAGCTATCTGAAGCTAAATTCATTTATTTCTCCATGTCAGGAATGTACACTAATGGGAAGCAGCACATTTTTGCAGATAGAAGAGCGTAGTTATTGGCTGGGTGCGTTTACTCAGAATTGTCAATTTGTTTAAAGCCCTGTGACAGGCAATACTGCTTGTGCGGTGAGGTACTGCAATTTGCCATTCACGCAAAAGATCACTTGAGGCTATTTTACCTTCTGTGGTCCAGCTGGAACAATGCCTAATCAGGTCACCTTTAAAAGCCCTTAAATCAAAGCTTAGGTCCATGCAAGAAAAAGCCACACTTAGAAATGTCAGATGCTGTCGATGGTAATATAAAGGGACATGACTCTTTGCCTGCCAGGGTCAGCAACTTTTTAAGGCCAGTCTGCAGGAATGGAATACCATTGCACAACTGCAGATTCAGAGGTTCAGTGGCTCTGTGTATCAGAGGTGTCAAACAACGGTGACAGCAAGGGGCGTGACACAAGACAAGGACTGTGGGTAGATAATGTTAATATTCTATTTTATTCATTTATTATTTAATGCAGGTAGGAATTTTAGTCTGAATGTTGCTTTTCTTTTCCTCATTAGTTACCATTTTTATCCATCAGCCTAAAGCCGTGTTGCAGATGAAGGTCCATATCCTCTAAAGGAAATGGCTTACGAATGCACAGCCTCTGGAGGACTGAAGGTCAGTGGGCTGAACCTGTGCCTCCTGCCATAATAAAAAGGTATCTTTCCAAATTGGTCAGTTGACAAAATGGTTAAAACCAGATGTAAATGCAACTTCCATCATTCCGGAGTTTATCACTTGATAGACACTTGGCAGGGAAACATGTGACCTTCACGTGCAAATACAAAAGAGGTGAAGTGTTTCCTGCTGTGTAGGATATTGCATAAGCGCAGGCCATTAGGAAATGAATGAAGCCCCATATTGCTGGTTCCGTGGCAGATGACTGAGCACAAATATCACATTTAGATGATAAGTATTTGCGTCACATATATTACACAATAAATGCTTAATAAGACTGAAGTATATAGAGGCTGTGGATTCAGCATTAATAGTCAATATATTTGTCTTATAACTCAACCCATTTTAAAATCTTTTTCTTCAAACCCACCAATACTCAACCCATTCAAGACGCTTAACAAGCAACAATATGTCCTTTCTCATATTTACCAGGGGTGTCAGCCCTCTTTCTCTTTGCTGCATGTCCATTGGCTGTTGTAGGGTTTACAAGCCGTGCTGTACCAGGGCTCCACTCTGCTATTGCACTAAACCTCTCCCCCACAGTTTCCTCTACCTCTGCTGCATCATGCACAACTTCTGAAATAGAAAAAAAGAACAGCAGGCATATACTGTAAATACAGCGCATAAACATCTCATATTACCAATGAATGTGAGTAGGCAGAGGGAAGACTGCCAAGGACCTCCATTTGTTTTTCTCTAGATGTTTTTTTTTTCTGTGCAGTAGTTGGTGCATTAAAGTATCTGAATGCTCTTAATGGCAGATGTTTTTACTTAAATGTTCATCTTATTTCCTCTTTCATTGTTTTCCATAAGGTCCTAAAAACGTGACAAGAAATCACTTTACTTGTTTTATTACTGCAAATAAATGACATCCAGGTGGCTTTTTAAAGTTTTTAGTCTGCGTCATTTCAATGATAATAGCAGCAGCTCAAGCATATGTTAGGGAAAAAGCAGAAAACTAAATGCCAACTGAAATCTACCTGTCAGCGGAGGCACCTGTCCTCCAAGAGGGTCAAGAGCCAGACTTGACGGGCTCGGCTGCACCGAGGTCCCTGGAGGAAGCCTTGTGCTGTTGATCAGCACATCAAATTTAGTGCTGCGGCAGGTGTTGCTGCACACGGTGTCATGCTGGTAGAAATCTATCTGGCCAGAGTCCATCATTTTCCTGCATGTGGGGAGAAAGCAGGTTAAAAGTATCCAAGAAAATGTTTTTTGTTTCACAGCTGCTGAGGGGTGTTAGAGTATGGATTGAATTTGTTGTACCATCCCAATAGCTTCCTAGATGTTTGTTTGCCACAAAGCCCATTGATCTGACCTTTGGAGGAATAAAGATGAAAAGAACAAATATTGCCTATTGAGCTGGCTTATTGACTCATAGCAACAGCAAGAACAAGTGCAAACACGATAGAGGGGTGAGAAGTATCACCCAGCAGACTGCTTGCATGTTATTTGATCCTGCTATCATGATAATGCTGCTTACTGACTACCTCTGGAATGTAGTGGCAAACCCCGACACAGACAGACCAAAGACATGCAGAGAGTTTAATTATATGAGTGAGATATGCTGTTGATGGCATTAGATTGAGGTGTTTCAAGTCTGACACTTTAACACCAACACAACAGAGTGAAGTGAAGGATTCCCTTGAAGGTCATTTGGATTTACATGCATGTGTCTCCCCAGCAGTTGTGAGGAAGACGACAGACATATAGTGTTTTTTTTTTTTTTTTTTTTTTTTTTTTTTTTTATTTCATACGTCTACCTAAGCATAACCCCTCCCAGTCTGATGGCCCTTTTCCAGTCCTTCAGAGTGGCTTTCCCTGCCAGGTGCACAAACTGCTTGGGACTGATGAGCTGGTCATTGAACTGTAAGAGAAGAATAGTGTGTTTATGAAAGCTAATATAAGTAAGTGGAGAGAAAAAATAAGACAGATGTGACGTAGAAGATGTGTAAATAATCATGTGTGTTGACTTAGATAGGTTAAAAAAAGTAAATCTTCAGTATTAATGAATCAATATTTCACCACCCTTTGATCCTGCTAAATATGTCAACTTACTTTGACACATCTGACATTGATTCCAGGACACACAAACTTCTTAAACAGCAGAACCGCTCTGCTGTCTCCACAGGTGATGGGGTAGCCATATTCAATTTCCTCTCCTTCTGCTTTACTGTCTTCTAAGCAATACAGAACAAAAACATAACCACAACCATCTACAACCACCATCCCAGACACTAATGAAAGTAGGACATATGCAACAACACAATCAAATGTCTATCAATATTCTTCAGTAATTTCCATTTGTCATATAACAACTGCAGCTTGGAATACACTGATTCATTTGTGCACATAATACATTAATTGTATTTACACAGTTGTTGATTTTCAAAGCCTTGTGTCTGAGGGATGGAATGTCAGCAGCGAAGGGAAATGTCCCTGCGTCACTTACCATGATGCGTCTCTATGGCCAGGACTGTAGTGCCAGTGTCAGCAATGTCATCATTTACCCTGCAGAGGGCAACATTTTCTCACGTATAAAATAATCATAATTTAATGCTACCTGAGAGTTGAATAGTTCTGAGTTTAACAGCAAAATATGTGAATAGCTACTGCATGTCTGACGTTTTTGAAATTTAGGTGGTTACTGCTGCATTCTTTGACTTTGGCCTGCATTAAACGGATTATATACAGCACTGATGTAGAATGGTGATTTGCTCAATATGAGCTAGAAGTAGAGGAAAAAATGTTTATATCATCCTGAAAATCAGTCAATAGATTTCTACAGATCTGTTATGCATCTACAATTGCCTCTCTATTTTGTCACAGTTCAAATGCAAAAACGTCTATCGGTGCTTTAATGATAAAAGCCATGTTACCCATGCAGGATGGGCTGCAGGTGCAGGATGACTTGAGTCTTATGGTTGTTGCCACTGGACTCCCCCTCCTCTTCCTTCACCGTCATGAGCTCCCCTGAAGACACATTGACCTCAGCACACGCCATCGCCCCTCCCCACAGAGCTGCACGCAGAGAGGACCCAGCACGCATGTTAACATCCAGCTCACACACACATGCATGCAGTGATGCTATTTAATGCATAAGTCAATGAAAGCCTCCCCCAAGTCTTTTCTGGCATGCAACTGTCATAGAAATGAATCCATAGTGAGCTTAGAATGACATAATCCTCACATGGGTAGGCTTCGCTTCCTGTATTGCTGTTGAGAATGTGCATGAATATCCTAGATGGTGGGACAAAAGCTAAAACCTGGGTTACAAGGCCTAAATTGTAAAAATAACTAAGAAAAAAAACTAGCCATAGTGGACACAACAAGTGAAACTGCACTACCAACATATGTACTTTTTTTTTTTTTTTAAGTGAAAGTATGATAGCAATGACAGACCTGTTGAACAAATATTTGTAGGAGTGCTGTTACCAAGTCATATTAAGCAAATCATCAAATTCCAGAAGATATCAGTCTCTAGAGACTGTTAATTCTTTGTCTGTGGTGTCATACTATGAAGTTTATATACAATTTCTGAAAAGAATCACAGTTAAATTATGACATATAAGGTAATTGCATGTCCCTAGATACTGGCAGTAAAGGTGTTGACAGATATAAACCATATAAACATATTTTAGATGTTGTCAAATGTAAATAAACTGTCCATTGGAGTAATATTGTCATGAGGGATTGTGAAAAACGTAAATGTAAATTCCCTCCTCAGTAAACGGTTACAAAATAATAAACCATGAATTCTCACTACATCAGTCCTAGTATGACTCTACCCACAACACTCTTTCATTCCTACACAAGCAGCAGCTGAAGCGTTAGATACACTAGTCGACAATATTAATAGCACATAAAGAAATGGAGGAGAAATAATTCACAAACTGGCAGGCTAGAGAAACAAAGCAGGCAACCTTTCCATGCAGTGAAGAGCAAAATACAATGGATTGATCAACATATTCCACACTGATGTATATATACAGTACTTGATGTATCAAGTAGCCCCTGTTGGATCACCAACTCCTACACGGACAGTTGCGTGTCTTTCTCACCCTCCTTCACCCACTCAAACTGACGTCTGTTGGTGCGGCAGCACGCACACCCCGGCCAACAACGGTGCGACGGCGCGCACTCCTGTTCCAGAGAGGGTGCACAAAAAAAAACACACAGGGTCTACACTAAAACTCTCAAACACACTACCTGCCACTTCAATACTATCATAGTTTTACTTACCGTTTTACAGCAGGGGATAATTCATCCTCCGCTTGTCAGAGAGGTACAAGAGCATGCGCCGTGCTGCTTCGTTACACTTCCTGCAGTGAAGGCAGCATTTGCCTGAGAAGCATCTGTCCCGCTGTCACGAGAAGCGGTTAGTTCGCACGCGATGTGTAAGTCGGTCAAACTGCTCTTATGTGGCTCGGTTTGAGCGCCTCTGAGCCATGGTGGTGCACAGACTGGAAGACTTGAAGCTCCTAAAACATGTTTTCCACACCCAAAGGGAACAGTGAAGATGTTTTTTTAATGAATAGTTCCCTCGTGGTAGGTTTCAGATTCAGCGCAGACTTTTTAGTTTTAATTGCCACTTGTGTGGTTTCATGTTTGTTGGTTTGTCGTGAAATAAACGTTGTTCATAACAGTTGCGTGTTATGTTTTTGTTGCTGCCTGCGTTTCACCGGGAGGTGGCAGGTTTTGCTCTCAGTTGAGGAAAAAGAAATGTAGGTGTGTCGAAAGGCACGAACAAGATATTTCAAACTGTTTTTCCTTGGTTTTTCGACATTTGAATGCAACATTTTCAGTCGTTTGAGATGGTAAATTTACGAAATAGCCATCAAGAAGAAAAGAAGAAGAAGAAAATGGCAAGGCGAGGTCCAGGTTCAGTGCAAACGAGAGTAAATCATTAGTATTGCTGCTGGCGGCTGGTCTCAGATCAGCGCACACCTACAAATCATACCGCCCATATTTGGGAATGGAATGCTTGGGATTCTTTGATTGGCACTCCAGGACAACCAATGAGAAGTCGAGTTTACGTCCCGTGGCCAATAGTAAATATCCAGTACTTTGTACTATAACTTTTTACTGAAGGCAGAGCCTCGAGCCTGCGGGGCTTGCACCTTACTTTTTCTACGCAGAGCTCTGGAAATCATGCTTGTAAAGTGTGAAAACATCGGGGATGCTGTGAAGTCTCTCATTACCGGTTTCTGGTTCACTTTTAGCGTCTGTTCCTTAGTTGTTCACGGGCAGGAGGGTAAGAAAAAGCCTATTTTGTTGACATTTTGTGACGAGAGACTTTATTTCAAATATCTTGTGTGCCTACCACTAACCTTACGGTCATGAGCAGCTAAAACAGATTATTTGCCATTTTATTTTAATTTAATTGTATGTTTTTACGGAGTGAAATGTTTTAAAAGGACTGGCGACGAGCACCAGTGACTAAATGGCTTTAAAACATCCCTTGCATCCTACCTAAGCTAGTCAATATCAGTCATATCTACTCTACTAAATTTTACATGAGCAACTACTAACTTCACTATTACCTAGCTAAGCCTGTAACACACAACTGCTGACAGCTTTGACATGTTCTGATGTGAATTCTACTTTTATGAACCACAAAGTTACATTAGTCTGTGTGTTTAGGTCAGTGGATAAATACTGTATGTCAAATTGAAGTAGGTGCAAAGGTCGACCATGTAATGTCATGGCAGCATTCTTGACATACTCTTCCCTTGTCCATGTTTACCTACTGATCCCAGCTATAAGCTTACCTTTCCCACGGTTTTTTTTTTTTTTTTTTTTTTTAAACAGCAGTCAAGTCCATGTGCAGTATGAATCACTGTGACCATAGACAAATAGAAAACCAATTTATGGCCCCGCAGACTATGACTATCACACGCCATACCACAGAACTTTTTTGTTGTTTTTGACTGTCTCCGGGCCTTTGGTTTCCTCACAGCAGAGGATGATTAAGTCCAGGGTCAATTATTTATTCTGAATCACTTTTTACTTGCTGGCAAATATGCAAAGGGCTTTGGTGGGGCCAGGGAATGGGGGAAACATTTTAGCCTCTGTGTTGTAATGTTGTGATTGACACACAAGACAGAATAAGGCAGTGTAGTGACAGGTAGCACAGGTGAACATCCTGTCTGCTAGTGTGGACCTGTAAGGACCTGCCAGCAAAACAATGTTGCCGGGGTGCTTTTGATTGACTGTCTGCTCTCCTGCCACCCAGTTTGACTCCACTTTTCTGTAATTCACCATCTGAATTTTTGAACTGGTCAGAACAGGCTGAACACATATCCCTCACTGTATGAACCCAGACACAGACTGGCCTGGAGACAGACTGTAGGTGAAAGGGTTCAGTGAACAGGGGAAGATTACCGGCCACCCAGAACTTCCCCAGCATTGCTGCCACTGTGGCCTCCCACCGGAAGGTGACAGATCCACGGTCTGTTGCCCACAGTTACAGTATGTCGCTGTGGCATTTCCAGGGAATCCTTTGGGGACTTGAGGAGGGGCAATAACATCCAAAGGTTTATGGTATTAGGAGCTGAGGAGCTGACGGGAAGCAGGGGAACAGCTGGTGTGATGCAGGATGTGTTTGACACAGTAAGTGGAAGGTTATCCTCTGGTTTCCCTTCAACAAATCTCCAGGAGCCTTATATGGAAGACACGGACAGGCTTGATGTGTAGGCTTGGATGGACCGTGGTGCCCTTTTTGTTTTGACCATTCTCGGAAATTGACATTTTAGGGGTAGGATTTGAGTCTGCAGCCCCAATAACACTTATCTCTGTGTGACCACTGTGGGAATTGACTCATTTATTTTCTGTGACCTACAGGGATGTTAGACGATCTAAATATTTGTGTTTTTCCATTCCAGTTCTAGCGTTAGTCACAGCAACCACAGGTCAGAGGATGTAATGAATCAACATTCAACAAACATTGTTCATAAGGAAACTAATTCATAGTTTTAGAAAAATAATAAACCTTTGATCAACTTTCTTGCCTTTTCTCTCAAGAACATCCAATATATCCATATATCCAATGTACAGGTTATAGTTTTTGGAGATGAGCACTTCTTACACCAGCAGTTGTGTCATCTCACAGTTATGATCAGAAGAGTATAAACACGCCCTGGTCTGCTGTGCATGTTCAGAATAGACATATTACTCATCTGTCCTGAAAGGGGGCATTAAAAAAGCCCCAAGTGTATTTAATTAGGCGAACTAATGATGAAATTGTCTGCGATTATGGGATTTTTACCTTGCTTAAGTTTGAGGTGCTCAGCTGATAACTCCTCTCTTCTCACAGCTGTTTCAGAGGTGAAACATATTAGTTTTTAAAAATACTTTGATATTTACCAACTGCGTTAATCAGTGCTTGTAAACAGCATTGATAGCACTAGTTTAGGCATAAAAAAAAAATATCCCAATAATTAGCTAGTTGCAGCTTCTCGAATGTGAATATTTGCTGGTTATTTTAATCTTCTATAATATTTGACTTAACACCTTTGGGTTTTGGATTGTGGTCAGACAAAACAAGCAGTGTGAATATTCCAACTTATGCTATTGAAAATTGTCATGGCTGTTTTTGACTTTGACATTTTAAATAACAGTGACACAAAATCTGAAGGGTCACTCTTCAGTTTGAGCAGTTATGTTTAAAGAGCAGATTGGATGAACAGCAAGTGGTTTGAGTCTCATTTTAGAATGAAATCAGCTGCAGGATGAATTTTCCCTATGAACTGTCCCCTTCTTTTGTCACAGCCTTGTTATTGTACTTGTATTTATTTCAGGTAATGGCTGTGGACATACACTGCTGGGCACAGAGTCCGGCACCTTGGCCTCTCAGAACTATCCAGGCACCTACCCCAGTAACACTTGGTGTAAGTGGAGGCTTCGTGTGCCAGAAGGCCACATGCTGCGACTGCTGTTTGGGGATTTTGATGTTGAGAACAGTCCTGGCTGCAGCAATGGATCTGTTGTGATCACAGACAAGAATGGGGAACTCAGTCTGGGTAAGACTCTCCACCGTGTCTTTTAATGTATTTCATGTTTATGTCCGATCATCATGTTTTTTGGACATCATGGATCGGCTCTCGTGTGTACCTATCACTCCTCTCTGAAATATCTGTTGATAGAGTTTTTGATGTCCCATGTCATTACTGATGCTCTCACATCCATGACTGTGTAATACACACAGGGCATGCCATTATATTGACACATTAATAGACGAGGCAAACCCAGTTTCGCAACAGACACATGAACGTTTTCCAACCAGGTGTATCAAGTCATGTCTTGAGGGCATAAAAGTTTGACAACACACTAAAATGAAGGTTGAGAGATTTAAATATTCTGTTAAATTGCCCTTGGGTTTTACTATTGGATTCCACAGAACCTGTATGGTGATTTGTATTTTGTTTTCTTTGTTACGTAGCTGTTCGTACATGCATATTTTCCAAGTGACAGTCAACATGGCTCTACTGTTTACTACACAGTAAAGCATTAGTGGGGTGAGATTGACTCAGATCATCTACAGCCACTATTAAGGACTGGAAATAGACATGTTCCTATTCCAAGAAATCTACAGTACAGACAGTTGTGCTACATTTGAGCTTGTTTTCTTTTAGAAATATACTTTATGGGTCTGCGTATTCACAGGTCCAGTGTGTGGGAAGCTTGATGCATCGCAGAAGAATGTGACACTTAAAAGCAATGAAGTGACAATAACCTTCAAGTCAGGCCCACACCGCTCTGGACGAGGGTTTCTACTGTCCTATGCCACAGACCAGTATTCAGGTATGACAGTAATTTGTACACACTAATGTAAGCTATGCTAGTCACAGTAAGTGCTATTTGTTTAATTATAATGTGTATATGAATGATGTTCATTACCAGCTGTTTTTACAATTGTGTTGTTATTGTGTATGTAGAGTACATATCTTCACATTTGAAATTGAAATTTGAAATTTGTGATGTGTAGTTTGAATTGAATTTCCGTGTGCCCATTTCCATGTTTACACTGGTGTAATCATAACACGGGCGTCTGAATTAATATTTGTCCATGTTTATGTGCACTTGTGTGTTGATGTGTACATATGTGTGGTTGTAAGTGCATGAGTCACTGCTTATTGGCATTCATCCTCCATCACTATCTTTGCTCTGGCGTGTTTGCTCAGAAAGTAGGAGTCAGACTCCTTCTCTCAGGCAGAATGGAATGAGGCCTCAGGCCTCAGTCTGTTGCATGGAGTGGCTGGCTTTCTTTTCCTCTCCCCCTCCTCTTCATCAGCCTGTTAACCAGTGCAAGCCCACTCCCATCCCATGTTTGATGCCATAAGGCATCTCAGCCTAGAGGCTGTTGATCTAGCAGCTATCAAGTCCACATATGGATCATATTTTCACTCTCTTTCTACCAGTGCAAAAACAGATTGTAACATGTCTATACATACATTTATTTAGGGATTGAACTACAAATCTAATGTTTCTTGATCACTTAGATTCAATCAAAAAATAATACAAACATTAAAGTTCCTCCTGTGTATGATTTTAATAAGCGTGTGGACTCGAATGCTAGTCTATACTTAGAGATAGTTTCCTTTTCTCTACATGAGGTAATCTGTCCTGTACAGTATGTATCATAGTTTCCTGTTTTTGTGTTTGAGTTGTTTATGAAATCCAGCAACGTCTGGAGCTAAGCCTGTGTTCAGACATACAAACCACTGTCTGTTAACTGTGATCACACGAGGACCATTCGCTGTACTCGTGAACTGTGACAAAGTCACAGTAACAAAGGGCTTAGTCACATCAACAGCGATGACCGCTCATCCCCTAATTTAGCACACAGAGCATGCTAGACTGTCTCACACAGAATCTGTTTGTGTGTTGTTGAGTGAATGGCGGGGGGTATTATGTAAGCCTGAGATACTGGGTCTCACACCGTACTATTAAATAAAAGTTATTCTCACGAGTGTTCATTTTTAACATCTGTCTTTCTTCTTCTTGTTACAGATCTCATTTCTTGTTTACAACGAGGATCTCATTTTAGTTCAGAGCATTTCAGGTAAGTGGTTGACCTCTTCATTTCCCATAATAGAGTCTGTTTCAGTACGACAGTGTCTCTCACATGTTATTCTGTTGTTTCTCAGTGTGTACTGCCCTGCTGGATGTAAGAATGTCACAGGGGACGTGTGGGGTAACTCTGAACATGGTTACAGAGATGTAAGTACAACACATTTCATTCAGCCAATCTGTGTTAGATTATTTAAATTAAACTCATCTCTGAAAATACTCAATACTTCCCCTCTTCCACAGACCTCAGTTCTATGCAAGTCTGCTATCCATGCTGGAGCTGCATCTGATAATATGGGAGGTCGTGTCGCTGTGACTCGTGGGAGAAGTCTTACACTCTATGAATCCACCTTTTCCAATGGAATCCTTTCTAAAATGTGTGTCTGCTGTTATTTGTAGTCAAAAATTCAAAATGAGTGATAGCAGTAATATCACAGCGGCTGCCAGTGAGCTCCAAATGGTTTTAGTGAAATCCTGATTTGTATTTGATTATGTAGATTCACTGACCTTTCAACCGTCCTCTTTTGACAGGGGATCATTATCTGAAAAGAAGCTGCTGTTTAGCCAAGGTATGAGCAAGATGAGACATTTATCACCACATGTTGCAGATTTTAAATGATATAATCACTGTATTTGCATGTTTGAGCCAGTTTAATACAAGCAACATAGTATCTATATTCCTGCTGTCCATTTTTTCCAGCCATTCTGTCATGTTTTAAATCTTTGATGTGTAATTTTCACACCCACCCTTCATAATCTTCCATCCCTTCCACTATAGTATAAATAAAATTCTTTCTTCATTAGAGAGTCTGTATAGCCTGCAAAAAATTATCAGCAGTAAAGTATAAATGACTTGTGTATTACCATATGTAAAAACACTCTGGGTTACATAATGAACTATTTTCATCACTGTATCCTTTCCTGTGGTCTCTGAACAGAATGCAACAACATCCTGGCTGTTTCTGGTTTTAATGCCTCATCTTTCTGGAACATAAACAGTCAAGAGCACAGAATGTTTTGGTCCTCCCGAAACATGGGTTCTAGTCATGAGTTCCTACCCTGGGCGGCGGACAGTAATGATCCAAGCCCGTGGTTGGAGCTGGAGCTAAGTGACAGACGCACTATCACAGGTTTGTTGAGAATTTGAATAGAAAATTTGTATTTGTGTGTAGAAATATGCTTATTTAAATGAAGCTGTCTAAAGGATAAGTCTGGTAACAATCAATGTTTTTCTTATTGAAAAGACCAATACCAACAATGAATTGAACTGACTAAAAGGTGCAGCCTTATATACATTAGGTTATTCCTCTGAGCCACTGACTTCCATTGTTGCCCAAAAACTAAAACACATAAGTGAGTCACAGTGTTGCAATGGGTAACATGGTCCGACATTAGGATGAACATGACTATAGTAATTCATTTTGATTCAATCCCATGCACTTGTCCTGCTGCTGGAAATACTTGCTAGTACACTAAATGTGTATCAAACCCTGGAAATAGTACCCAAAAAATACAGTTTTTATTCCTGTTTAAGTAAAGTTTGCTTAAACCTACAGTGCTAAGTTGTTTTAGGAAATTAAATGTGCATTAAAAAAAAAAAAAAACTTTGTAATTGTGATCTGTTTTTAAAGGTTTGCATATTCAGTCAGCAACAGTGTGTTTAGGGAGTGACACAGACAGGGTAGAGAAGTCAGGAAGTATTGACAAGTTGAATGTGTTGTTGGTTTTGGTCTTTTCATGGAATTTGTTGAAAGCAAGAAAAATATGGAATCTCACTGACATTATCCTCTAAATGTTTACTTCACTACAATTCATTTCTTACCTAATTTCAACAAAGCGTATCCGTTAATTTCCACAGTGTTTTTTCTGCATTATGTGAAACTACTTTCATTCATGTTGATCCAAAAAAAAAACATTGTGTTCTCTCCTCTCAGGAATAATAACAATGGGATCAAACGAGTACTACACAGAATCCTTCATTCTTCTTTTCAGCAAGGACAGAAAGAATTGGAAGCTTTACAAAGGTGCTCTCAGCAGAGAACAAAAGGTATGCATTGCAGTGGACTCTCTGATGTTCGCTTGATGATGGTTCTTAATGAGGCTCCAACACTCCTGAGCTTATGCGGCTACTGAGTTTCTACTGTAAGCTTCCTGGTATCCTCTGTGAATGAGTAACTTGGTTGTTATGGTTCCCAGGTGTTTCAGTCCTATACTGATGGGCACCTCAGGGTTCTCAACAGCTTGTTTCCCTCTGTGGTGGCTCGGTTTGTTCGGCTACAGCCACTGAACTGGCATGGCAGAGCTTCAGCTCAGGTCCAGGTCCTGGGTTGTCCTGTTGCGAAGATGACACCAAGGTCCCGCTCACCTGGAAGTAGGCATTAACTACTAGTCTTCCGATTTACCCCGAATTAACTTAATCTGTTCACATGATTTGTTTAGCAGTCGAGAATTCCTCATTATAAGTTTTGCTGTGCTGCTACTTGTCCAACAGAATCTCCGTCCATCAAAGTTAACATGGGTACACCACACCCAAGCCCCTCACCCACCCCCGCAGAGGGCCCAGTGTTAGTGGAAACAAAACTGAGTATGAACTTGCATCACCTTCTAATTCATCTATATGCACAATGAAAATTAATACCACTCTGTGTGGGGAAGGATACTTGTCACATCAGTAAAAACAATTCCAATTGTCCTTTAATCTCACATTCACCGTTGTGTACATTGCAATAAACTGCATTACTTCCTGACACCTGTACAACTGTTTACTTACTCTGACACTTACCCTCCTGTAGGCACCAGTCAGCCAGTGATAGTGGCAGTGGGAGTGGTACTGGGGTTGATAATGTGCAGCAGTTGTTTGTTGGCTGGAATCTGGTGGAAACGAAGGTACAATATTTTAATATATACTGTTGTGTACTTTATGAATATGGTTTATTTTTTGGTACATTTTTCACATGGTCTTATTGAAATAGATTTTAAAACACATGCACAAAAGGTAATGTTTTGTTCATGCCTAAGTATTTTTGGTGTTCAGGAACTGTTCAGTCTGTGGTTATGATACCAGAGATATTTTGTTGAGAATGATTATCTTTTTATGATTATTTTTCTGGCAATGGATTAATCGACTAGTCATTTCATTTCATCTAATGGTGACGCACTAGTAGTCATAGCACAGAAATGTCGGAAATGTAATATAATGTTATCAGTAATTAAATGCTTCTTGTTCATCTCCTCCATACAGAAAAAAGGATTCACAAATGAAGTACTCCTTACCCGAAAGTAAGTCAAGGGCTCTGTTACATTTTCCAGTAATTTTATAATGTCCTGCTAAAAAGCCTCTGACTCTGTGTTTGTTTGTCAAGCAGGTTGTCAGAGTTTCCAGGCAAAGAGTCTGCCCTGCCCACAATCAGAGCTTATCTCCTACCCTCTGGAGCGAAATGTCCATGACGCTCTACCTAGCCCCCCTCTCAATGGTGAGAATTCATAGAAATATTTTATGACTTTTCCTTTTTTAAGAGAACACCACAGCAACTTTTTCTTTAAGTAACCATCTGCTCCTGCCTTTTTTGCTACTTTTTTCAGAGCCCATTCAGAGTTTAATGGTTGTCTCAAGTTTTTCCCTCCTCCATCTTTCCCACTTGAACAGTTTCTGGCTTCAGTGGTCAGTTTGAGGAGCTCATGCCAGGCCTGACAGGCAAACAGCTCTCTCCACGGGCTGTCCATTCTTTGCCCTGGCTCAGCCCATCACCCAGTCGCAGTATAAACATTCCTTTCTTTGGTCCACGGAGCCTCTCTGAAAGAGACCCTTTAATTGGAGCTCGATAAAGAGTGCTCAGCCTACTCCCCACCACCACCACCAGTACCTTCTCTGAATCCCCCATCCCCTCCCCCAGCGAGGGGGCCCTTCACTGAGAGGTCCAGTGATAAACAGGACAGAGGGTCAATGCTAAGACAATCAAAGCCCTCACTAAAGCCTCACTAGAGCCTGTCTAATTAAAATACTTCTGGCTCTGAGGCTCCCTGTGGACTCTTGAGTAAGGGTCTAGGCCTCCCACACCACAGCCTCTGCTGCTGGGGCAAAGCAGAGGGTCTGGTCTGGTCTGAGTGCTTCACTGTCATCCCCCGTCCCTGTTATTAGAGGAGACATTGTTGCTGGCAAGGCAGCTCATGCAGGGGCTCAACACTGGTCTGGTATGAGAGTGCTATTGAGTAGACAAAAAGCATTTCCCTGAAATCACAGCAGAAGATGCAAGAGGCAAATGAGTTTTCCCATTAGTGAAAAGATACTACTGTGCAGTTAATGTTTTCATGCGCATTTAGTAACATTTTATCATCACAGTAATGGAGTATTAGTGGGGATGAACCAATACGTTTTTAAAACTCATAAAATGTCTGATTTTCCTATACATATTGGCTGTCTTCAAGGGTCTTCAAAGAGTCTTAAAAATATAGAACTAAAACAGTAAAAGTGTCTCTGACATACCTACTCACACCTGGTTTTGAAAAAATTCTAAGCTCAAGGTTCGATTGCGTGGCTAATCCCAAAGCCTTCAGCTGCATCTCACAGCCTTCTTCAGCAGGTGGAGAGGGCTGGGAAAGTTTGGGAGTAGCTAACAAAGTGAACCTTGAGTTTGGAAATAATTTTATCACACAATTTTAAAGATACTCTCAAGTAATTAAATGGTTTTAAAGATTATACTCCTGGTTTTAATTCGGTAAGAACATTAGGTGACATTGATGGATAGAATAGAACTTTTATTTTCAGGGGAAACAAGACTAAAGTCTTTTGTAGGAGTGCCTTGTTAACATGGATACAAAGAATATGTGGAACAAGCTGTAGTAAGATGATGAAATGTTCCATTGCAAGTTAAAAAAGTGACCACTAAACAATGACATAAATGATAATAAGAGCTGCATTGTTCCCTCTAGAATTTTTTACTGCAGCGGTGCTGTTGTGCCGGTGTCCACGAGGATACGACACCGGCCCATATTCATGCGAGTCAGAATAGCTTCAAATTAAATGACCATAGTATCATTATATATAGGATTATTCATGTTTGTCTTTTGTGTCTCAATTCACAGCTTTTGTTATTTATCTGTAGAAATTAATATCAAAAAATGAAATGCACATTTACCATCTGCACCACTGGTCTTTTTTTTTAGTAACACACTTTAGCACTTAGATAGGCAACATGTTACCAGCGTTTTTATTGACTCCATTCTGTGTAGGCATTTTTACATTAAAATATAAAAGAAACTTTTCATTATCTTAAGGTGACTAGTTTGCATCCCTAATTTGCTTTACTAACCTCAGCTCCTCCATGCTCCTCCTTTCTCTTCCTAACCAACCAGTTTAATAGACTCATCTGAATATTTAAATATGATTCAACTATCAAGATGTATGGGTACAGGTAAAATTTGAGTTTAGTCTAAGCTTGTACCTGACGTTCACGTGTGGTAATATAACTCAATTAGAAGTAGCTTGCCTTACCCTGTGGAGCGCACTGGCTGTGCTTTAATTACTGGCAGAGGATCTTACTTACTGGACATGCAGGTAGTAATGACAAGCAGCTGATTAACGTGACTTCCTATGAATGTAGCCAACTTACATAACAGCCAAAAAACGTACTGTTAACATAGCCTTTCTCAGGGAGATGTTTGCTAATGCTAATACCCTTCACTTTTCCAGCAGTTGGGGAAACAACATATGACTTTTATTGATCTTGAGAAGTTGCAGCATTTATTAACTGACACACTGCACTGTACATTTACTGCCATATTGACAACTTACTGCTAATCTTTTCCTCTGCTTCACATGCATTCACCGCTTCACCATCAATGTTGCTTTTTCCTTAGTCACAGTGACTAATTACCCACTGTACATTTAAACTTACACTAGTTCTTCTCAAGCACCCAGAGCTCTCTGCTCCTTTTAGTGACTTTAACTAATTCAACAACAGTTGTTCACATGCTGTTCAGATCAGCTAGTTGCTTTAGCTTAGCAGTTAGCGCTAGCTTCTCTCTTTCTCTCTCTCTCTCTCTGTCGGTGTGTCTTGAACCAACAGATAAACTTGTTCACCAGAGTGTGGTGTTGTTGTAACTTCAGTGTAGAGGACTGTGATGTTTATTATAACTTCAGAGATGTCTGCTGTCTTACCTGCGACATACGGGTCCACTCTTTAACCGCAGCTGCTCTAGTCTGTGACCGTCTGTGTACACAGCAGCCTTCAGTGTGATAGGCTGTTACTCGTGACGTCTAATCAGTCAGATGGTGCTGAGGGCGGGACACAGCGACAAGTTTGTTGAGTTTACCGTCAGATGTCCCTACCCGTTTTTTACAAAATCAAATTGCTGGAGTGCAATTTCTGTCACAAAACTATGTTGTTACGCATCCTTGGATTAGTAGTTCATATAAATGACCATGTGGAATTTAGTAGTAGTGGTATAATCTGCACCGCTGCTGAGTAAATATAGGGGAAAGTTTCAGTAATTGAGGAAAATTTTTACAGAAACTTAAAGAGTCTATAAAGTGTTATTTGCTGAGTTGCTTTCTTGTAGAGAGTTAGATGAGAATATGTGTCTGCTAAGGCTACAGCTAGTAGCAGGTTATCTTAGCACAAAGACTGGAAGCAGTTAGCCTGACTCTGTCCACCTCCACAGCTCTACAACTGTTAAATCAATACATAAACTTAAGTGTAAAAATGACATTGCCCCACTTTCCAGGGGGCTATGTGCCAGTTTATTTCTTGGCTGGGACCAAAACCTTCCTGGAGTCCCCGCTGGTTGCCTGGCAACTGCTCAGAGCTGACAGTACCACAAATTGGCCAAATATATTTATGTAATATATGTAAGGTAAATATCTGGGAAAAAACAGATATGGTTTTTGATTCTGATTTCAGCTGTTACACATAGTATGCCAGTGTTTGTTGGATCTCAAATGAAGAGAAAAACAGACTAACTAATTCATCTATTCATTCATTCCAGACTATGCAGAGCCTGCTGTTGCAGCTATTGGACAGAAGGTTGGGTCGACATTTAGACCCTCTGTAGATGAGGGCTACACCACCCCCTTCATCTTGAACCATTATGACACTCCTGGCAACCTGCCAGAGTATGCTGAGCCACTTCCCCCAGAACCAGAGTATGCCACCCCATTCAGTGAGCAGCTCTCTGAGTCCAACCTGCAGACTTTGACAGGGATGCTTCACAGCAATACACATAGACCTGCTATACTAGCACCTGCCACTGGTGCCAGGACAACATCCAGCCATGCTCAGTATGACTGCCCCTCACACAGGATGCTGTCCAACGGCTACTGCACTCCTGCTCTACATGCTAGTGGCCCACGACCAGTCAGCGTGGTCTACGCTGAGCCCAAGTCATGTGACTCCTTACCGTTGAAGCACACATACGAGGAGCCTTTGTGAGCACAGCAAGCTTAGACACAAAGAAAAAAGATTCTAAAATGTGCTTTGGGACCAGAGGACCACTTGGAGTGATCTCAAGTGGACGCTAAGCTGTACAGTGTTGTCCAGAGTGTACTAATGCTGACAGAGCTGAACTTCCAGTAAGGAGTCACTTTGGACCATTATGCATATATCAGGGTACACTACTCAGAGTACAGAATAATCTGAGAGCCATATGGACACAGATATTTTCTCCCAGGAAGCATGTAGTTGTACAGTGGAAATATCCTGTGATGCACAAAGAAAATCCAGGTTCAGTTGTGTCTCAGAGATACTGTTTATTGATGTAATGTTTAATCACAAGCTGCACTTTCAGAAATACATACAGAAATGTATGCTTCAGTCTATTTAACAGGTTAATGCAAAAAAAATGAATGTTACTTGTCCTCACAATGTACAATTTCAACATGTTTTTGTAAAAACAAAAAAAAAACAACATTTAAGAAGCACTATAAATGATACACTGTAACTAAGTGGTTAAGATGTTGTAATGATCATATTTAACCACTAGGTGGCTCTCTTTGAACACCTAACAATAATGGATTGCGTACTTTGTGTGCCGGTTCTCATTCCTTAGATGACCGTCATTCAATTCTAACATACATAGTAAAGTAATCAAAGATTGGTTTAAAATAAATGCTTGGATTATATTATAACACAGAAAGGCACAACAGTCTTCTATAACAATGGAGGACTTAACATGGATTAATGCCCCTGTGATTCAACCTACTCCAATGCCCTACAGCAAGACACATACAACTCAACCAAATTCCAGAGCTGTTGTCACGTTGTTGCCCACCAGTCTGGAAAAGAGACTACTTTTTCTCTGAGGGTGTTCACAGACCTCCTATATTAGAGATGAGAGTGCCAGAAAACCATAATATTAAAGAAAGATGCCAGTGTGTGGCCTTCTTGTTGCTTATTGGGCTTCTTTACACCAACTTTCTCACACGTGAAATACACTTACACAGTTAAGTTAAATTAACTCTTTACTCCCTACTTTAACTTTCTTTTTACTTACATTTAAAAGCCATGCAAAGTCCACTGGATTTTCTGTGATTTTTTTTTTTATATGGAAAATATAGGTCTCAAACAGTGAAATTACTAATTAACATTATTTAAATAAACAAATGGCATTGCTCTTGTTCACACTGATCACGCAAAATACAAAATAGATTTGTACTTAAGTAAGAAAATTGTACTTTTCCTGTTACAAGGAATTTAGTAAGATTAGGGGTCAGGTTGCAAATATTCCTCCATTATATCTAAAACTGACCCTCAAAAATTTAAACTTTTGGGAATGCATTGACAAGTTATTTGGTGCCACATTTAGCAATTTATTCGCTATAATACAACAAGGAGAATACAGCTTCTTCCACTGCTGGATAAGGCACAATAAAACAACTGAAAATACTTCAGAAGTTGGCCTGGTGTGTGTGATTGCAGCAGTGATGTGCTTAAGGTTACTTTAAGATACACTTAAAGCCAGTAGCAGTTGTGAATCTGCACAAACAGACAACTGGATACCTCACTAATAGAAAAATATCAACCAGTCTGAGGTATGAACTTCTATCAAATCATTTTGTATCAATCAGACTCTCCTTGAAATCACAAAAGGTAGGACAAATCAAATTGTATTTAAAAATATAACTCAATTTGAGTCTGTATGGTAGCTCAAAAAGAAGTAGTGCAATTTCTAAGACTTTCCTAATTGACAAGAGTAATACCAACAGAATGTATTCCGCAAAAAATAATTTCAACATTTAAAACCATTGTAACATTCCTTCCCTTTGCGCTGCTACCCCAGACTCTCTCATTTGTGCTTAACTCTTTCCTCTGCCCCCCCTTCTTCCTCTCTCCCATCAGAGGAGTAGTGCACAAGAGTCTGGTGTCTGTTCCTGGACGGGGCATCTTTAAAACGTAGGCCACAGTCTTCACATGCATACAGAAGGCCCTCTCTGTTACTGCCAGGGTTTCCTGCCTCAGACTGAGCAGCAGTTGACGCAGGAGGATCTCTGGAGTTCGGAGCTGTACGTGAGTCGCTATCTGGCCTGTTAAGTGTATTTAGGCCAACACTGGCAGAAGGAAAAGTCTTGGGATGCCCAGGTGGATAGCCACGGCCTGCTGCTCCACGATATGTAACCCCAGCTCCAGCTTCTCCAGCATGTTCAGAAGTCAGCCCGTGGACTGTGCGGGAGTGGAAGCGGATCCCGGATCGGTTAGAGAAGCCTTTCCCACAGAGGCTGCAGATAAAGGGCCTCTCTCCTGTGTGGATACGGGTGTGGATTTTCAAAGCTCCAGACTGGGTGAAACATTTCCCACACTGGTTGCAGCGGTAGGGCTTCTCTCCAGTGTGGGTCCGCTGGTGGGCCCGGACCCCTGCTAGATGGGGAAACCCCCTGCCGCAAAATCCACAAGAATATGGCCTTTCTCCTGTGTGAATGCGCCTGTGGATCTTCAGAGCCCCTGACTGGCTAAAACTCTTCCCACAGTCGGAGCAGGTGTAGGGCCGGGCACCAGTGTGCACATTGAGGTGAATGCGGAGGTTGCTGTGCGAGTTAAAGGCCCTGCCGCACTCTGTGCAGAGGAAGCCAGACGGTTTGTGGGCATGCTCAGAGCGCTGGTGCTGGAGTAGCTGGGATGGTCTTGAAAAGGAAGCAGAGCAGTGCATACAAGGATGCAGCGACAACATGGTCGCAGATGCCCTGCCTCTCTCCTCTTGTTGCTGTGTTTGTCTGTTCTGGTGGTGGCAGACCTGAGAACAGGTAGGAAAGGAGCGCTGGCAAGGAAAGCAGGGAAAAGGACCAGAGAGCTGAGAGGAGTGAGAGTGGGCAAGCTGAGGACAGGAAAAGCAAGAGGTTATAGGGCAGTGGTGGTGATGAAAGTGATGATGTGCATGGGTGTGAGAAAATGGGGAGTCTGTGCTGTCTTGGTGGCCGAGTATCTGGGTGCACGTCTGGAGGCCACGGTGGCAACACAAGCAGGGAAACATGGAGAGAGTGGACAAGGAGCCTGAGGACATTCTGGACGGAGTAGTCTCTGAGTTCTGGTCTGGGCTCTGAGACCCTCTATCCGCATCCTCCCCCTGCAGTCTGCTGGACGTCCCGGTCTCCAACTCAGATGTAGTGGTGCTGCTTTGTTCAGTGGTGTCCGGTAGGCACACACTGAGGCTCATTGGAGCAGTACTGCTAAGGTCTTTGGGGCGGCATACTCCATCGGAGCGTGGCGGTGAGGACAAAGACTGTCTGGGTTTTAAAGTCTCAAAGGAAGGTGGGGAAGAGGAGTAAGGGCAGCCAGGGCAGGTACAGGCATGATGCACATCTAAACATAAAGGAAACATGAATCACAATGAAAAGAATACTAAGATTTTTTATCAAGAAAATAAGTGAAACAATCCCTGTTGTGAGCTCTAACCTTCTCTTCTGTGTCTGGCCTCTCCCTTGCTCTGTGTTGCCCCAGGCTGGATGTGCCGGCCTGGCTCTGCCCCTGTCTTGTCCTGAGCAAGTGGAGGATGTGGTAGAGGCTCAAGTGAAGGACCTTTGAACCCCAGAGCAGCAGTGTCACCACCAGTCATGCCCCACGCTGCGTTTAGCACATCTGGCTGATCCTTGGAGGTGTTTCCAGATGTGATAAGGTCACCGATGTACTGATGCATCTCCATCCAGGAGCATGGACCATGCTGCAAAGAAGCACAGAAAGCATGAGTGCAGATCGTGCATCGCAGCTGCACATATAGACTGCGTTTGCTATATCGGTAAAAGAAAATCCAGGTCACTGTGGGCCGACAGTGAATTTAAGTGACCAAAGATAGTGGCTCCTCTCAAAACAGATCGGTGTGACGTTAAATCTTTTTAGCTGAATCAAATAACGGGGTCGCTTACTTACAATGTCGGTACACTTGTCTTTGTCCATGGATTAAAACAAACGCTGCTGCTGGCGCTAGATCGACAGCTTAGCTTTACATCAACGATGTCAGTTATTCAAGCGCCGGGGTTCAAAACAATGAAAGCAACAAAAAAAATACACGTTTTCCACTTCATAATAACGTCTCTACTGTAGCTTTCAACCGTGAAGACATCTCGTCAGCAAGCAGACATTGTATTTCCGGGTTTTTCAATCACGTGACGGAAATTGTAGTCTTCTATTTTTTTCCCCTAGAACTTTAATATTCACTCGAAAATTATGTATAAATAAACTAAGATAAAAAAAACACATTATATTAAAATCAAAACGAAAAGTACGTAATTATTTGAGGAAAATGTTGAAAATAAAACATTATCAGTCAGAATAAATAAAATGAAATTCTGATAAATCAGCGTTTTTCAAGCTTCCCTGTTAACCGTAGTTCTTCTCTGTAAAGTTGTAGAAAACCAAGAATAGTTGTTTAGATTCAGATAACGTGCATCTATATATATGGTTTAGTATGGTCAACAGCATATTATGGTAATACAAACTCTAGAGTTGTAGTATTTTAATCCTTGTTGAGTTTGCTTTGATTATACAATTAAAAACATTTACCAACACTAATCTTAATAATGTTTTCAATGAAATTGTAGAATCAAGTTTTTTATGATCATCACATTAACTAGACTCACTAATTAAATACCACAAACACTATATAGTAAATACTCAAAGGAACAACAGGCTGTTCATTGAGCTTTTTCCTCTAGAGGACATTATAGGGAAATGCGTGATGTCTTTCTCATGGATACACACAAACACACAAGGCAATCTTGTAGATAAAGAATAAAAAACAATGTCAACATTCATATTAGCTGATCTTGCACCAAGGACAAGTGTTTATTTGCCTTTAGAAAAACATGTAAAGATACCTACAGACCATATAGATTCTGGAAATGTAAATCACAAGTTGACATTATTGACATCTACTGACATCATATTACTATATTACATGGTACCATTATTTGCATCGATAAAGTATTTAACATAGTACTAAAGGTCAAGTGCATATACACACAAAAAAAAATACAGTTTCAAGTTTTCAGCTGAACATTAAGAAATCCAGCATTTTCATTTAATTTAATACACATCAAAAAACCTAAGGATTCTATTTCTCCACACAAAAAGTACATTAAGGTAGAAATAAGGAATAGTTTTTAATGCTCTGAGAAATCCTGCACAATATTGCATAGACTTCATAACAATTAGTATACCATTTGCTCTCTTGGCACAACCCACAAACCTTACCCCCAAAAGCAAATGAAACAAATGAAGTTTGGAATGTTTTGTTTGAATTACAAAAGACTAACAAAATCTTCATGTTAAAACAAAAGTCGCATAGTCAAGTTATAGCGACACATATAAACAAGAGTCTATTCATACTTGTGGAAGAAGTTGCAGTGGGGGTAAATTTCTGATTTGTCTTTTAACCGTATTTATGTGGCTACAGGTTTAGCAAAACAGCAGGTGTATCCTTTGCAGGATAGGAAAGCACAGAATAAGTTTTATTCTTTTTTCTGCCCTCAATGTATTTCATTTCTCCTTATCAGCACAGGCAGGGTGTGAAATGTCAACCTCCATCTTAATTTCTTTCTCTGACTTCCAGTCTGTCAGCTGGCAGGATCTGGATGACCACAAATCGACATCAGAGCCAGAAGACGGAGGCTCTGTCTTAATATCCATTATTAGTTCAGAGGATGTACTAAGAGTAGAGAGATTCATGGGACCTATTTTTACCTCCGACTCTCCTGGATTTGTTTTAATAATATCTTTGCTATCACTGCCTTTAAATTCTTCTCTGTTAGCTTCGCCTGAGATTTCAAAGTCTTCTGGCTCATTTTTAATAGCACAAAGAGGAATGTCCCTCAGAGCAGATGTAGATGAGTTACACTTCTTAGACAAATCCAAAGGTGCTTCACATTCTGGATCCTGTTTAATCCTAGTTACCAAATCAAGAGGGGTGTCTAGCGGCACTCCAAGTTCAAGGTGTCCATTACTTGAAACAGGTGAGAGAGACGCTTGGGGCTGGACCTCCATAGATGAAACTGGCACCGTCTGAGCCGTTGCAGAGCCATTGGTTTGAGTTGGACAGACTGGAAGAAACAAGACAAGCTTAACACCAGGAGGAGGTTGTTTGTCAAGTGTTAGCTTCCATAACCCGTCTGATGGACCAGTGGACACACCCTCTTGCACAAGGTCTGGAGTAACAGGGTCTCCAACTGGAGCAGCAGGAGCAGCAGCAGCAGGCATAGTGTCTGTGTTTGCTGGATGTGATGAGTCTGGTTTTTCATTGAGATTTTTTGTCTCTTTTTTGTCTGAAGAGCTCTTTGTGGTCTGACGTTTCTTGGGAGCACTCTAAAATGGGAAAGACAACAAAAGCATCCCAGTTACTAAATTAATTATACAAAACATGCCAATACAACCAACATGGAGAGACTAAAAGTAATGCTTCGGCATTCTAAGAAATATGCTCATTCTCTTTCTTACCAAGAGTACAATGAGAAGATCAATACAACTCTCACATCTGTACATGCAGTAAATATGAAACAACTGCCGGCAGCCAGTTAATTTAGATTAGCATAAAGACAGGGAAAGCGCTAATCTTACTCTGTCTAAAGACAACAAAATCTGCCAATGAAGGACCCAACAGTTCACTAATTAACATGTTGTATCTCTCTTGTGTTAATTAGTATATAAAACTGTGTAAACATGTCAAGAAAACGAATAAGCAAATTTCTCAAAATATAAAACTATTTAAAACTTACTAGAGGAAAGATTAAATCACAGTTAAAAAAAATTTTTCTTTACAGAGCAATGCATTTACCATCGAAAGTGGTTTGTAAAGTATTTGTTGTTGGTAAGTAAGCTACAACATCAAAACTTTTACAGTCAGTTGCCAAACTATGTTCTATTTAAAAGCCATTTTGTCAGAAAATCAAACACTAAAGTGAAAAAGTAAACAAACACTAACACTGAGCGTATTTACATGCACACTAATGCATATAAATATCTTTGGGTTTTGGACTATTTTTGTCCAAACTTAAAAAGCTATTTAAAGACATCACCTTGGTAATTATGTACATTATTCACTATTTCACTAAGAACTAATAGATTAATTGAAAAATAATCGGCAGATTAATCAATAATGAAATTCAAAAAAATTTGTTCCTAAGATACTGAGGAATTGAGACCCACCTGCTCACAAAAACCTGGAAACTGTATGACCATGCATACAGAGATATGAATAACCAGGTTTCTAATATGCCATGTAAACACTATATCTTAAAAGATGATCAAAACCAAAACCACTCTTTGTAGAAAAATAAGCTTAGTAGTATTAGAAGCTTCTTGTATTAAAAGCATTGTTCTCCAGAAGCCAATTATGGAAGTCAGTGTTCCTGAAAGTCTTTGAATGTAGTTTTATTACCAAGGTCAAGCAATTTTCTGCAGTTTGATTTTCGTAAGGTTGAATCATTCATGGTTGATTTCATCTCACTCAACTGAAATCAATGGCTGGCTTTAAGGTGAAAAAGTATCTAAAAATACACAGCATTCTTTAAAAACTGTGTGGCAGCAGTATTGAAGAATTTGAATTTATTGCAGGTAAAAACACTGGTATGGTCCTTTAAAACTTTAGCCCCACACTCACCACAGGCTGGGGTGTTTGTCCACAGGTCTTGAGGTGGCTGTCATAGTTCTGCTGGTGGGGAAAGCCCAGTCCACAGATCTGACAAAGGCAGGGTGATTTGCCGGCATGACCGCCCATGTGGGACATTAACAGCAAGGCTGACCGGAAACCCTTCCCACACTCAGCACATTTCAGCACCCTCTGGTGAGCGCCGGCATGTTTCTTCAGCTCTTCTGGACTGTCAAACCTCTCCCCGCACTCCAAGCATCTGATCTCGTCCCCTTTCGATCCCTGGCTGCCCCAGCAGCCTGTATCCTTTTTGTGCTGCTGGAAGTCCACCTGACTGACAAACTCTCTCAGACATGCCACACAGTGAATGCGCTCAGGTTCACACTTGTGTTGGCGGTACAGCTTTGCCAAACGGAAGTGGCAGTGGCATCGTACACAGGTGTAAGGCAACAAACCAAGATGGGAGAAGCTGTGTTTCAGGAGAGCATTCTTCTTGGTGAAGGTCTGTGTGCAGTCTGTGCATTTAAAACTGCTGCGGCACGTCTTCCGCCGGTGGCGCGCAAGGGATTTAGGAGAGGAGAAATTACGGCCACATATTTCGCATACAACATCCAGCATACATTTGTGTAACTTCACATGATATTCACACGCCTTCAGGGAAGTAAACACACGTTTGCAGAGGTCACACTCGTAAAACTCATCCTCAAAGTGAGTTTTCGACAGGTGGTCCTTCAGATCCTCCTGTGATGCAAAGCCCACCAGACAGATGCGGCACACGAGACGATCCACCTTGGTCTGGGCGTGTGTGCGCAGGTGGACACGGTAGTTGTAAATCTGGCAGAAGCGCTTCCCACATTCAGCACAGCAATACGGGCGAGCCCCAGTGTGCAAGTTCATGTGGTCCTGGAGCTTGAATTTGGAGGGCAGCTGGAGATCACAGACGCTGCAACGGTAGTTGCCTGAATGACTCGACTCTGGGGAAGAGGGAAGGAAAAGGAAATGACTAAGGTTAGATCGTGATCAAAGCCATACACTAAGCACAAATAAATATGTTAAATAATTCAAAAACTAACAAGGTGTTATTCCATCGCTTGACTTTTTTTTTCAAATTTGTGGTATTTAGCCCCAAGCCCATTTGTTCCCACTGAAGCAGAAAGCTTTAAAAAATATACACTTTTATTTGTTTTTTTAATGCTAAAAACAGCTCAGCACTATGGTTTTTAGCTAAAGTTAGTTTAACAGGAGGAAATAATGCACTTGTTGAGGACTATTTTCAGCAGTGGATTACTACAGTCTTAGTTTTGGTCTTTTCATGGGATTTTTTACCAATAAGAAAAATATCACAAGACTTATCCTTTCAAAAGCATGTCCAAATCAAATCAAAAAGACTCAGGGCCTTGGAATGAAAATCACTTGCCATAAGACAAGCACGTATGAATGACTTTAGTACCAAGACTCTGGCATCAGCATGGATAAATATATACGTATATATATTGGACATTAAATTCAAGCAATTTAGCTACAGTTGTAGTTTTTGTGTAAACTTTTCACTGCTGCATGTTTATGAGTCAAGTGAATGAGCCATACCATTGTTTTGCCCTTCCTCTTCCTCATAATCATCCTCCTCCTCTATCTCTTCTTCCTCATACACATCTGAAACTTCACTGTCCTCCGAGTCATCCTCCACATCATGCTGCACATCTGTTGAACTGTCTTGTGCAGTGACTCCATCACAGGCCTCTTCCTCTCCGTCCTCCTCAGGTATTAGCTGTGGACCGTCTGTGGTTACCAGTCCAGCGGTGGGATCATCTACTGTGGGCTCTGACAGCTCAAGACATGCAGTGCCTTTGACAGCTTGTTCATCTTGTAGACTGTGTGCAGGAGTTAGGCTTTTGCAAGATGATGTTTCTGACTGAGGTGATGCAGAAAACACTATAGTCTGTTGTATATTTGAGGTCTGTTTTGCTGCTCCTGCTTCTTTGCCATCAGCTGACAGTAGTCTTTGTTTGTGTGTGCTTGAAAGTGAAGTGGGAGAGTGACTGGGTGTTTCTCTGACCGAGGTCTCCTGTGGCTGCAGGATATCCGGAAATCCCAACTCTGTTAGCTGGATATCAATGGTGTATTCAATGGACATGGCTGCTGGCTCTGTCAACATGAAACACAGAAAGGGGCAGGTGTCCAATTAGCATTTGACACTTACGGTTATACCTTAAAGACGCTACATTTAGTTTTATTGATGAACTAGACAAATAGTACGGTTACAAATGTCTGTGTCGCCCTACCTGTCGAGCGACTACATCTGAGGTAATTCTTCTGACTCTTCGTTTTTTCTTTTCTTTTTTATTTATCTACATAAACTGCCGAACAACTTTTGCACGGAAATTAATTTATGGCACACCTTAAGCGCGGTTCGTCATCCCGCTCACCTGGCAGGAGGAGGTGTTGATGACAAAGCGTGGCTTCACAACAAGAAGACAACAAGCTTCATCCTCGATGTTAGCTTCCTGTCAAAGGCGTAAATGACACATTTACAGAAGCAAAACAAAAGGATTCGTTTAGACGACTGAGAAACAAAGCATAACAATTGGTCGTCTAGCTAGCTGCAAACTCACTTACCCCGACGATGAAGGGGAGTTGGAAAAAAAAAGAAAACAAAGGATGCACCACGAGAAGAGGAAATCCACGTTGGCGCTCGAGCACCACTAGTGTCTTGGAGCGGTACTATATGTCAAAACAACAGCGCAGGTATTTTGTTACCAAGACGACGACTTTACCAGTAACTACTCTGTAGGTACTACAATACTGTCTTCAAGTGTATCTTGAGCAAAGTTACCAACCTGGCAAAGCGGGCCACAGACCCCCAGGGCCCTCCAAAAGAACTCAGTTTCACTCCCTATCATTTGGGTCAACATAATTTTATTAATCACACATTTTTTAGAAATTTACCCAACTAAAGTACAATATCATCATCACCTTGAGGATTAAACATGTAGTTTTAAGACCTGAACTGTTTTAGTTTATATCAAGCTAAAAGTTGAATTAGTTGGATTTCATCAAATTGCTTACATTTTTTTCTGTCAAGTGATTAATATACAGCAATGTCATATTATTCCATCATTGAGGAAAGGTAAGGATGAAACCAACAATTATTTTCATTATCAATACACCTGACAATTATTTTTCTTTAATAATTGATTGATTGTTCAGTGTATAAAATGTCAGAAAAGCAAAACACTGACATATTCAAATTGATTGTTTGGTCTGACAGTCATGATCCCAAAGATGTTGAGTTTACTATCATTTTCGGTTGAAAAAATGAAACTGACATAGTTAAGGTCAGTAGGGGCCCAAAAACAAATATTTGACCCAGAAAGTTAATCCGACTATGATATTGAGGTTGCTTCACATCACTTTAATTTTATGCTACTTTATACTTCTACGCCTCTTAAATTCAGTGGGAAATATTGTACTTTTACTGACAAAAATTCTTCATAGTAAATCAGGGGCATAGTTGTGAGAGGAATTAGTATAACTATGTGCCATTGCCCCCAACATAGAGAGGGCCCTCAAAAAGCCTGGAATTAAAAGTTTGTTTTTATCTGCACTTTTGTAATTTGATTTTCTTAGCATTATAAGTAAACTACAACTGTTGACTGAACAAACATAAATGGTTAGATTATAAATTTAAAACAATAGTAGATCATCTCATGCTACTGCAGATAGCAGACAAAACACTTTAAGGAGATTTGAAACACTAACAGTAAGCTCTATTTACTTAAGTAAATAAATATTACACAAAATTTTACAATTCTAAGATGCTTTTTTCAGTGTTTCTCAAATAATTACCAGCAGTTTTCACCCTTTTTACTTTTGTTTCTTCAAACATTACTGATGCAAATAAACCTACAGCAATATCAGAAAAGGTTAATAATTATTTTTAGAGTGACAGCACGTTCCAGTTACAGTATAACCATAGCTGTGAAACAGTAAAAAGAAAAAAAGTACATTATATTCTGAATTCTAGTGCAAGTAACTTGAAATTGCAGTATTAAATGAACTCAGTTACTTTAGTATCAAATCAGTACAAGTACTTAATTTTGGGTTATCATTGGTGGAAACTTTTTTAAAAGGGGTTCTTCAACTCTCTTCCACTCAAGTGCTGATTAGAAAAATGTCCTCCTATTCATGTGACCATAAAGTAAACAAGGTTTTTTAGTCAAATATAAATGCTACAGAAAAGACCCACAACAGCATGCCCCAAACTATAAAGGAAGGATGCACCAAGATTTGAGAGCTTCGACAAAATGTTGAATAATCAAAAGTTCTAATGGTTCAGCTGCCATGTGGCAAAAATACATATCAGTAAATCAGATGTTCTCACTGAAATGACCAGCTAACATCCTTATATACTCAAGACATCACAGAAGTACTACTAGCTTTGCAAACAACATTACAAAATTCTCCTCTAACCCTTTTTGATCATGCTGTTGCTAGGCATAAAGGAGTGATTTTTTATTCATTTTGTGAGTCACTAATATTATAGGCTAAGATGTCCAGTGTGTCCTATTCTATGGATACAAATCATGATCAACAAATGGAAGACCACATTTCAGGTTGTGTTCCTGAATTAGAACTGAAGACAAAGACAAAAAGGCAGGTTATTTCTTCAGCAGCCTCCCTTGGGATACCATGTTTTATTACATTTTTTGCAGTGTCCAGACACATTGCAGTTGGGAGAGAAACAATCCAATCAGTGAATAAGACAGGATATACACGGTTCCTTATGGGACTCACAGGCATTAAAAAGCCATGAGTTCCAATTGAGAAATTTAAGACATTAAATTTTACTCTAATGAGTGAAAAAATAAGGAAGAAAATTTTACTGTAAGACAAATCAGAATTATAGTGGATCGCTTTTGCCCACAAGCCAGACACTCCACATTGAATCTGGAGCACTTAGCCAAAATAAAATTGTATCAGAACTTAATTATGTTAATTTAAAATTCCTCCTGAATGAGGCTTAATTTAGAAAGGAACATAATCAAAATATTAAGTGTAAAAAAAAAAATGCATTATATGAACCAGAAGCTGTACATAACATATTTCTTTTGACAAACTGTCTAAACATTCAAACACAGTATCTTTACTAGGCATCTAATTTTCTTCAAAATATGTACTTACCCAATCTGTTTTGAAAAAAAAAAAAAAAAAAAAACCAAGAGGAAAAAAACATTAAAAAAACATTTTTTAAACCACAAAATGAGTTGAATAACTCAAGACACCAAGTAATAAATTCACACCACACGCATTTCACGCTTAAAAAACTGAAACAAATCATTTAAAAAGTTAATCAAAACAGTTTGTTTTTACAAATAAACTATGCTCTGTGACAAAGGGTGTAATAGATGGATTTAACAACATTTGGTTAGTCAATTTAGATGATGTGTCTGTTTGTCCATAATTCCATCAGCTCATAATCAAAACCCAACTTTAAATCCAAAATTTGCTAAAACAGTATTCTCAAAACCATTCCAAACTCATCTGAAACCATGATCTGGAGCATCAGAGCTCCAATGTTAAAAGAAATAAAGGCAATTCCTGACTAAAATCTTCAAAAACCATACACTTTCCACAATGTCCCCATGTGTAAATTATCTCTTTGCACTTGGGTTTTCAGGCTTTTCCTCTGGGTGGCTTTTCTGGTGAGCTTTCAAGGTGCGCTCACGGCCGAAGCTCTTCCCGCAGGTTGGACAGGCAAAGCGACCAACGGCGTGAGCCCGAGACATGTGGGCGTCCAGCTGCTCAGGACGGGCAAAGCTCTCTTCACATTCGTCGCAGGGGTGGGCTTTCCGTGGGGTGTGTTTCTCCTTCTTGTGAGCACGGAGCTGAATCAAGCCGGGGAATGAGAGGTCACATTCAGGGCACGGGTGCTGACGGGCCGGGGCTGGATCTGCTTTAGGTTTCTTCTCCTTCCCTGGGGCTTGACTGTCATCCTCAGGACTCTTCTTATCTTCCGTTTCTAATTTTGCTGCTGCTTTTGAAGGACGGCCTCGCTTTGCTCCAACTGCTTTTCCCTTTTCCTCTGCTGGGGTTGCTGCAGACTCCGATGTGCTGCTGGCCTTCATTGGCTCTTCAGATGCTTCTGCCTCATCTTTCTTTTTCCGCTTTCCCTTTTTCTCAACACCTGCTGGGTCTTCAGTTTTGGAAGGCCGTCCACGTTTCTTCGCGGATGAAGCGCTTCCGTTGCATTGCTGACCTTCAGGGTACTTCTCCTGGTGAGCCACCAGCTCTGACTCTGTTTCAAAGCCCTGACCACACTTCTTACAGCGATGGGTTTTCGCAGGGTCCTCCGGCTGTTCTGCAGTCTCTACATCTGGGCGGGGATGCTGAGTCAGACGATGAGTACGCAGCAGTCCAGCACTACGGAAGGTTTCATTGCAATCTTTACATACCGACTGTTTCTCTGGACACACTTGTCTTCTATGGGCTGTGAGCTACATAGGGGAGAAGTAAAAAGTTACACTGACACATTAAGTACTAAAAAAGTGCTTAATATTTGAAGCTAGAAACCTAGTTTAAATGGTAAAAGAGAAGCTAATTTCCCCTAGGTTTTTGCATTCATGATGTTATTCAGTTTTAATACTGGTAGTGATTTAATGACTGACTGACTAATTTTACACTCACTTCAGAGAATGTTTTAAAGCTCTCCTTGCAGTGAACGCATTTGAAGGGCTTGTCATCCTTGCTGTGTGTTGGCTGGTGCTGCGTCAATTCCTCAGATGACAGAAATGTGCGGTCACACACATAGCATGTGAACAATGTGTTACCCTGTGAAGAAACAAAATAAAAAGCCAAAGTTAAAATAATTCAACACCAACAACTACTTGTTAAATGTTAAACACAAGTGTTTCAAATTCACTTAGTTCACCAAGTACAAGAAATTTACAGAAGTTTGTCTTGGATTATTGACAACTAACACAGTAACAATCGATACAATATATGTTATATATACAGTGTGAATTCTCTCAAGTGAATCTAAACTCTCTCTCTATATATATATATATTTTTTTACATAATATCAATCTCAATTTCACAAATCAACTTACTAAAAGTAAATAGCTTCCAAAGTGCATTCACTTGTGGTAACTTCTGTTTGAGAACATCATTTTTTTCTTGCATTGCAATTCCATTAACTTTACAGCAACAAAAAGGATAAAATATTACAGAGTAGGACAGACCATTCCTTTGATCTCATGTGGGCAAATGACTGGAAAATTAGGTGCCTAAGGCATAAAAAACTTCAAAAACTTCATCAATCTTCATCATTTTCTGATGAAAAACCCCATCATAAGCACCAATTAAACAGTGTATTTATATGCATGTATAAATATTATTTCCCCTACACAAAATTTGAGTTACAAACTGTCACCATTGCTAGTGAACTGGATGAACTAATACTGTGCTATACCTGCTGAAGCTGTTGCTTATACTCTTCCCGGTGGCTCTTCTTCATGTGCCTTTCCTTGGCTTTGGCACTGCAGAATGTGATGAAGCACTGGAAACACTGCAGATTTTCATGCTGGTCTGGAAGGTGGACAGGTGGAGTTTCGAAAATCGTGAGATCATACCAAACCTTTCAGTTGCTTGAAGCAAACTGAGTATAAGTTGTGATCACTATACCACTTACAGGGTTGAACAGAGGGTGCAGGAGGTCCATTCAAAGTGATGGGTTTGTATGGTTCGGCTGGCTTTTCAGGGGGGACTTCAGGAGGTGGATCTGGTAATCCCCGTCCCATCACTATCTCCTCTATGTTCAAAATCTCAGAGTCCATCCTGGGATACTGGGTGGTCTCAGCACACACTCAAAAACAATTTTCCTGGATTTAAAGAGAGCAAGGCAGAAACAATGACAAAGTTACACAGAGGATACACATCAGATGAAAATAGCAGCAGTTTTATTAACGGACAACACAGCACTGCTATAAGCCCACAGATAGCGGGAATTACGTTTAAAATCAGTTATGTTCAGATAACAGACGACGACATACAAATAATCAGCCGTACTAGTTAGGCTGAGGTAACCTTAAAGCAACGTCTTATAACAGCCATACTGAGTATAGCCTAGGGTTTGTTTAATTATTAGTTCAGTTTCCCTCTGGGAATCACTCAAGTTTCAACTCATCCTGAATAGGTTAACGTACGTACGTTACTGCCGTTAAGGCCCCTAGCTAAGCTAACTAGCTGTATGCAAACTTACGAGCATCCGACCTTTGTTTGGCTTATTAAAATGCTTTAACGGGTCCAGCTGGTGAACTGAAACAGATGCAGAAAGGCTGCGCGCTTTAGTTTAATGTCTGTGCACGTAGCTAACGCGAATCGTAAAAAAACAGGCTATCGAGCGGGCTAACGCTAGCTAGCTGGTTAGCGCTAACAACACGGGCTGCCATTCAAAGCGGATTGAAGACTTTTCGTGCCTTTTCACAAACCAAGTTTTAACTCATTATTTGGCACTCGCATGCATCTGCCCTGAATAAATGTGACGTACGTTAATATCTGTACATAAAACAAATTATTTCTGTAACAAATGTAAAACTGAGTAGACATTTGCGTTACCTCTAACCGCTCTTTGAAGGTAGTTTGACTGAGAGAGTTGACCCCACAGACGTACAACGCACAGATCGGATCGGACTCTTCCTGGCGTATGTTGTGATAGCAGTCTGTACAACTAAGATGGCTGCCGGAGACTCTTCGGTACTATGTAGTTATTGATTCATGTTTAGACGAAATGTTCACACATCGAATATAGACCTGCCGAGTTGCTCGTTTGTTGATAAAGAGCAGTGAAAGAGAAGTAATTGCAGGAAGAAGCACAAACCTTTAATGGAAACAAAGCACGTGAGCTCAACTGTTGTGTAGTATAAAGTAGCATTATAATAACACATCCTGCTCTCAAAATGTTACCACACCTGTTAACACACCATACTAACACATATAAACAGCTACAACAAACAGTGGTAGAGCCACACATTTACGAGCATTGATTTGGACCGATTTGGACTAACCTAATTTTCTATTGAGTCTGAGTCTATGATTTATCTTCGTCACATGACCCAAAACAACTAAGTAAAAAGTACTTATTGTAATTTTCATTGACTCTACTGTAATAGTTATGTCTGTCTCCCTCCCCTATAGAGATACATGCACCCTTTTATATTAAGTCATCGACTGCATGCTTACACACATAAGTAAAAGTCCAACAATGTAAACCGTAGCTTATTTTACAAAATCAGTTTCTCACTTGTCTCTACATTTTGGAGTCCATGTCTAACATCAAGTCTATGGACATTTCACACCATCTAGACAACCATCTGTTTCTGCAATGCATTTGTTAGACCATATCTCTGTGACACAACGTACCCCCGTGTAATAAAATATTCATGTACATTTGATTTTCACTACTATTGTACAGTATCAGTACATATGACACACATAGTGACACTGTATTTTCCCTTTTGGATGAATAAATATATTTTCCACAGAAGACATTTTGACAAGTCACATGTCTCATGTATGAGAAAGAAATATCTCATGATTTATGAAGTGAATGCATTAAAACTGGTTACCTCTGAATATATTTTAATTACCACCAATTTGCCAACAATTTTTTTTGCTGTTCTCCTTTAATTATTTAATTACATGAATCTTAAACACAAAACGGTTTTTAATAGTAAATAAATGTTCATTATGTGAATTCTCTAAAGAGGTCATCACTACACCGATGCAAATATTGCAGCACTAAGTGTTCATGTGCCCAGGATGTGATCTAGCATGTGATGGATCCATTGGGTTTTTTTTTTCATTCCTACTGACACTTAACTCAAAAAAGACTTTGTATGGTAGTATCAGTATTTTGAGGATCAATTTGACCACCTCTATTGTAAATAATAAAAGTAATAATGGCTGAATTCCGTGAAGCCACTTCAGTTTCAGGGTCCTGCTACTGTGCACCCTCCTTCACTGTCACACTGTAACAGTCCTGGCTTACTGGGACACCTGAATAGAACAGAACCAATTGTTAATATTATTCCTAACTCCTATGTTTTCCTACTATGACAAGACAAAGGAAGTTCATGCAAACTTTGCCAGCAGTTTTCAAAATAAATAAATAGAATCAAAAATACATGTATTTTGTACCTGTTCTTTATTGTTTTCTGAAATTCAAATAAATAATGTGTAACATTCGAGCCAAAAACAAGCTCATCATGGAATGTCATATAGGTCAGGTTAAAATAAATAGTAAAAAATATCATGGCAGCTGCAATTTCAACATCATATTTTACACTTCTTTTGCAGAACAAAGCGTATGGCTAGGAGTATTTTATTTTTTTTACATTTCCTTCTGAAGGCAAATTCATTTTTACACTTGCTCAATGACATAATAAGCCACATCACAAAGCATTTGTTTTTTAAAATGCAGCACAATAATCATACAAAAGAACGACAGTGCCAGTGAAAGGCATCATGGAAAAGTTGTAAGGACAGAGGAGATAATACCATTGTTTTTGATTAGCTGGGTTTACATACACCAAAAGCACAGTTACATTCTATATCAGAAAGTAAGATGTTAAAAATAAAGGGTAAAGACTACTCTTTTCCCAAACTCCCTTGGTTATGGAAATTCAAAAAACAGTTGTGGTTGCGTGAGATACAAAGAAAGACACAGCACTTAAGGCATAGCACTCGAGATGTTCTCTGACAGTCCCCAAAACGACACCTGCCTCCTTCTCCCTCTGCGAGTTGCTCTGGCCAGTGGCCTGAACCATCATACCGTGTGGCTGCATCAGGCAGAGGACTTTCCTCCACCAGGCTGGGATTGGGGGTTTCATTTGTTGTGTGGGCTTTCTCTGTGGGGGGTTGAGGGGGAACTGAGTCCTGAGTATCAGAGCCACTGGAGAGGATCAAAGCCTTGGACACCTCCAGTCTGAAGGCCATGAGAGTCAAAGGTGCAGGAGCTGCCCTGTGATCCTGTCGGTACAGGAGCCAGGAGTTAACCAAAGCCAGATCTATAAGGTACCAGAGCACCGCTTGAGGCCAGCAGGTTGGGGCCGAGGCAGTGAGGGGAATAGGGTAAAGATTTCGCAAATCTCTGCTGAGACGAGCCGACATTTGGGCCTTCTCAAAGTTGTCAGTGAGAGAAGCCATGTCCCTCTGGCAATTTCCTGCAGTAGAAAGTATGAAGCCACAGTGTGATCGGCGTAACATCAACTTCCCGTCTGAGCTCACAAACTCATCCCCAATCTGTCCTCGTGCTCCCCCCACCCTGCCTGCACCATGAACCCCAGCAACTAGTAGGCGTTCTAGCATTGCAGGGGTGGAGAGTTCCTGCTTGCAAAGAAACAGCATACTACCTCTTGGGGCCATTTTTTCTACAGCATTTTCTTTGTCTGAGAGATCCGGTTTAAGATCCACATGTAAGAGTAAACCACCAAATCCAATTAAAGTAGTGCAGTGGAGAGACAGTTTGTTGTTGTGCATCTTCCCAGTCAAAGGAAGTGGATATTGGTCGACCGCATAATCACCCTCTCTTGTCAGTGACTGGCATCCTGCTTTGAAACGGCAGAGTAATGGCTGAACCTTCCACAGGGGATCAGTCTGTGTTTTTGAGCTGTTCAAATCATTTGGCTTGTCACCTTGGCATTGTCCATCACTATGCTGAGAGTTTACACATCGTCTGCTTGGCAGAGTTTTACCTTTCTGCCCATTTCCAAAGTCACCATCATGTTGTCCTTCCCCAACATTAATGGTGACTGGATCTTTTGCTGGAGAAGCTAGCTTCAACATGCAAGACAGCTGGAGGAAACGTGAAAGTGGCATGGCTTCAGCAATTAAGGGCACCTTAGTCAAGTCCTCCCAGTAGAGCCTTGGACTGGGAAACTGAAAATTAACAAGATATATATATATATTAGAACTTTTGCATCTAATTAACCAAGTGATCATGTAACAAATGGATCAAATAGGAAGACAAACCTTCAAAGTTCCCATTGCAATGTGGATCCCAACAAACTGTGCGACCTCTCTGGCTATGACTGGGTTAGACATGCTGGATAGTTTATTTGTGCAACTGGCAATTTCTACCCAGGTATCCCAACCAAAATATTTGGAGAAATAATCAATGGGCTCTCTGGTCCTGTTTGCATCTCTTGGTGCTTGGAGCTGTCTCGTTGAAGTCATCAAACTAAGGAAGAAAAATAAAAGAAACCTTATGAGCAAGTGAGCACCTTGCACAAATTCAAACAAAAACAATTACCATGTTTGAAACATTTATGAGTACCAACTTTTTTTTTTTTTTTTTAAACATATTAATCTGCAAAATATGATTTTGCCCTTCATTGTCATTACATTTTACAACATTTTAATTTATAACCAAGTATTACTTCTGCACTGCTTGACATTATTATTGCTATATATACTATTTTTTAAATATACTTTAGCAGCTTGTAGACTTAAAAAAAGAATTTCTCCTGTACTTTTGTGATGTGTGATCTGGCTGTCGTGCACCGTTGGTTTGGTTCTTGTAGAAATAGGCCATTACTTCTGTCTCTGATTCAAACTGAGGATCAGACAGTTCAAAACTTTCCAAGTCCTCTTCATCAGAACTCCGGAGGAGAAAGTCCCGGAGGTCTGGTAGATGAGGCCACTCAGCATCTGCCTCAGCTGAAAGAGTAGTTATTTTAGAGAGATATCCATGTTCAACAATTTTGATAAATGGCTTAAGGTCATGAATAAAGCAGTTACTACTCTTGTTCATTTGACAACAGAAAACAAACCTTGTCCATCTGCAAAGTCACTGACCCCTGGTTCTGACAGGAGTCCTTTCACTCCTATTTCCTGGTAGTCTTGAGTCGAATGGCTCCCCTCAACTGTTGTTAACATGTTAAACATTAAAACAGAGGTCTTCCAATACTCTTAATGTACCGAAAATAAAACTAGAAAACACAAAGACTCACTTAAAGTACTATCTGCAGTTTGAGGCTCTGTCTGATGGGCAGCACGGGATCCCTCTGGCGTTAAACTCCCTCTGCTGATCTGATTGTCTCCCAGTAGAACCTCCCTCTCCTCCTCCTTCACTGGGTAGAAGATACACTGATTGGTGTTGAACTCCGGGGTAACACAACAGTCACTTATTGTGTCCACACTCTCCATTACTGAAAACAAAAGTCAAAAAGCATGACTCATCTATCTCTGAAAAGACAAAAGCCCTAAAAGGCAGCACACAGTGAACATACCACCACACAGGCTTATCTATTTATCACCTGTTTCTTTCTGAGTCATGAACATTGATACCACTCTTTTGTCTTTGTATTAGCTATAGAGCTAGAGACAGGAGGTGATTAGCCTAGCTTAGCATTAAGACTGGTAGCAGGGGGAAAACAGCCAACCTTGGTCTGTCTAAAGTTAAAAAACATGCAAGCAAACAACCAAAAAGATGACTAATTTACATGTTGTATCTTATCTGACCAAACATTACATAAACTGTAATGTAACGACTAAACAACAATTTGTAGTTTTAGAGAAAGTTAAGTTGTGTAACTACTTCCTGTCAATTAATTAACACAACCCTGGTACTTTCAGTATTAGCTAAGAAAAATCTAAGTCATGTAATTCACCTTAAGAACTCAAATTGTTGCTTTTACATTTGCGCTGCTGGGTGTATTTTTGTTTGGAGAGAGCCCAGCTTGCCGTCACTCCCTACTTCCAGTCATAATGCTGAGCTAAGCTGAACTAATTGCCTCTTTACCAAATGCACAGACACGAGAATGCTGTTGAGCTTCTTATCTAACTCTGAGCAAAAAAGCAAATAATTAGATTTCCCAAAACGCTGACCTATTGCTTTAAAATGCCACTACACTGTGCGCTCATACTTACACGGAGTGGCAGTGTTTTCATTGTTCACTGGCTCCACATTCCATCTGATGTGTCTGCTACCCTGTGAGGCCTGAGTCTCATTCAGCATAAGACTGCTCTCCTCTTTCACCAGAACCGTTCTTATATCACGATGGTGCTGTGACTGCACACTTGCACTCGGTCTATTTTGACAGGTGGGTGTAGCCAGCGGTGGATCTGAGATATTCTCTTCAACCTTGATCTCCTGGCTCCCAGGCACTTGTACTTCATTCTCAGCAATGCTTTCCGAACCCTGGAATGAAAAAAATTTTGTAAGATTGTAATGTTATATTAATTATTCGTTGTTAATGTACAGTATTTGTTGGTACAGTTAGTATCTCACCTGTCTTTGGTTGCTCTTTGCAGTCATCAGACATAGCTCTTTATCAGTAGTCGCTGAGGTGAGGAACTTCTCCAGTATGATACCTGGAGACTGGTCAGCCTCCCTGTCATGTTCCTCTCCTCCCTGCAGCTCTCCTTCATTCATGACTTCTTGAACACTAGGGGTAACTGACTCTAGCTCAAGCACCACTTGTTCTTCAGGAGATTCCTCTGATGTAGAAGGGACGGAAGCCAAACATGTGGCAGGAGCAGGAGCTTTGTTGGCCTCAAATTCAGGATTGGTCTCTGGCTGTGAAGTCTTTGTGCCACTCTCACCTTTGTCATGAATTTCTGAATCAGAGGTTATGAGATTTTTTTCGTAAACTACATGACATTCATCTTGTTCTTTGTCCGATTCTGTTCCTCTGACAGTATCTCCACCTAAAACTATCTTAGATATCGCATCCCTTTTTAAATGTCCTGTTCCCTGTCTCCTATCCCTTGTAGCATTCCTTGTTACACCTCCTTTCTCTCCTTCTTTTTTCCTCTGGACTAACATTTCTTCCTCTTCTTCTTTGATCTCTACTTGATGCGTGGAGCACGACACAGTCTGCAGAGTTAAGCTTTTTTCAGCTGTCGTTTCATCAGTTTGCTCAGGTGCTACAAATGTTGCAGCACTTCCACCTTCAGAAATACGAGTTCCCTCTGATTCATTTTGGGGAGCACTTTCTTGAGGAGAAGCTGGATCATCTCTTTCATTCTGCTCTCCAACAGTAACTAAATCTACCTCGAGAAGTAAATCCTCCTTAATGTCTTCATCTGTGGTAGCCTGGACTTCAGATTCTAAGTCGAGTTGTTTCACGGGACCATTTTCTTGCTTGGTTTCATCTGATGCCAAAGGATCTCCAGTCTCCAAACTCTTTGTCTGAGTAGAGGTACTTAAAGCAGATTCAGATGTGAAATTTGGAGATCTCTCCGTATTTTTCAGTTGATCAGATGGTGAGTGAACTTCTGAAGAGGTATGAGACTGATCATCTACTCCTGCTTTACTTCCACCCTTATCTTCATAGGCGCTCACTTCAACCTCTGGAGGAGGAACAGGTAAAGATGGAGATGGAATCAAAGCTGGAAAGGAGAGAGTTCGCTCTCTGTCTTCTAATGCCATCTCTCCCATCTCAGGCTCAGTATCCCAGTCTGCAGCAGCATTTATCACCCCAACAACCTTATCATGATGTTTTGGAAGCTGGTAAAGATCCAGCCTGGAGACCCCTTCAAAGACGTTCCCATTGGTGTAAGTGAGACCGGGACTCTCTATGATATGCACCGTCGCCTTGTGCTTCTGAAGGGACGAGACTTCACTAAATCTCTCCCCGCAGTCATTACACTCTAAGGCACGTTTTGAATGAGAAGAAGTTATTATTCCTTCGGTCTCTACTTTCGAGGAGGCTTTACGTTTCCTGGTGGTCTTTGGTTTGCTTGGCAGTGCCTCAGGTGGTTGACGGGAAACCTGCAGTGAGGACAACAATGAAAGAGCTTTCTGGTTCTTTTTGGGTCTTCCTCCTTTTTTCTTACTTTCTGCTGTGAGATCATTTGTTGGATGATTGTTGTCTTTACTCTGCTGGGACATTGTTTGGAACTCATGAGGTGGGGTCTCTGGTGTCTGGCCTGATGTCTTTGAAGGGTCCAGTTTGTAAACTTTCAGCTGGGGCTGTTTATGACCTTTCAGTAGAAGTAGAGAGTCTTGCTTTATGTGCGGGCCAGGTATGTCCGCTGAATCTGTGCTTTTTTTTGTATTGACTTTTTCCTCCTTTGATAGGTTTTTCTTTCTCTTCCCATCCTTTGCATTCTTTGTCTGATCTTTTCGCATTATTTTTCCTTGTTTTTTCTTTTTAAATACAGGTGAAGCTACAGTTTTGTGTTCACTTATGTGCGTCACACCCTCCCTGGCTTCTTCTTTTTGCCTTTTAATTTTATTTTTTTTTGTATCCTCTTTGATTTTTTTCACCTGTGGGTCCTGGGTTGATGAAGGTGATTTTATTTCAGCTGTAGATACCAAATGCCCCACTTTCCTTTTTCCCTTCCTTCCCTTCTTCTGTGATGCTGCTTTTCTGTCTGAGAGATTTGTTCTTATCTCTTCTTCCTGTGTTGGCTGATGCTGATGATGCTGCTGCTGCAGCGTCTTCTGTTTCTTGTTTTTCTTCTCTTTGCTTTGTGGACCAAATTTAACAACAAGATGAGACTTTCTTCTTCTTTGGCGTTTGGCAGGTTTGGCCTCAATTTGTAAATCATCCTTGTGTATGGATCCAACCAGTTCTTGCATATATCCTTGAAATATAAACGCCCTGGCAGGCTTTCTTTTCCGCACTTTCACCAGTTCTTGAGCTGACATTACATTTATGGGTAACTCGGAGATCTGTGGCACCTGCTTGGTCTCAACTTGTAATGGAGCTTCTTCTTTAGCAGATGTCTCCTCTACTTCAGACTGGTTCTCCAACTGCTCCTCACCCTCCTTGCTATCTACTAGCAGTTTCTCTGGTGGCTCTTGTTCAGATGGCTCTTGTTCAGCCTTTTCTTGTGTCTCTTGTGGTGCAGCTTCATCCATCACATGATGGACTTGAACTAGACTTACTGTTTGCATCTGTGTATCAACTTCTTCTTTGGGATTCGTTTCAGATTCACTTGGAGTTTGTGTAAGTGTGTCTGGTGGAACAAAAGAGCAAGAAGTAAGGTCCTGTTGCTCTGTTTGTAAAGGTGTCAGCTCCAACTCAACTGTAGGCATAAAAGGTGGGACTGACAAGCTAGTCTCCTGCTCATCTATTACAGTCGGATGTGGAGTCAGATCAGGAGTCTTCTCCAGTTCAGTGGTTGGTACCAGAGAAGAGGCTGGGATTTCATTTTGTGGCACAGTTTGGGATTGTTCCAGCTCCAAAGTTGGTATCAAAGCAGGGGTAAGTTCTAATATGACTGTTTGCTCAAGGTTTTGTTTGTGGTCAGCTACCTCATTCTGACAAACCATTTGATCCGCAGGGTCAGACTGAATTGCACTAATCCCTGTCTGCTGAAGGATCTGATGCATCATCTCTCCCTGGGGTTGCTCCGTTTGTTCAGTCTGAACTAGTGTTAGCTCTATATTTTCACCTGCAGCTATGTTGGAACCTAGTTCTGAAAAAGACGGGTTTTCCAACTGTCCATCTGGTGTAATGGGTTCCAGTATGATTGTTTGCTCCAGTGAATTACATTGGTTGTTTAATGTGTCCAATTCAACTGTCTTAGATTCTGACTGTTTCAGTCCTAGAAAATCTATCTGCGGTGGACTGAGATTCAAAGTGAGTGGTTCTGCCAGCTGTGATACCTGCTGCACTTCCAGTGGTGGGGCATGAGGTGGCACCTGCCCCAATATGACAACTTGGTTTACTTTCTGCACATTTCCTAAAGATTCAATAAGTCTGCGAATCTGCTCTGTGTCAATATTGGCATCAACTTTTTGCAGAGGTCCGTTAGGCTCCACCTGTAGTAGGGCTGGTTGGGAAATAGATATTGGAGTTATAATGGGTGTACTTTGTTTCACTTGCTGTCCTGGTGGAAGGGCATTACTGGCTGCAGCAGCCACATTGTGCTTAGTTTTCATATGATGTAGCCGTGTCTTGGTAGTCTTGAAATTGGCCTTGCATATGGAACAAGAATACTTTACTGCAGAAGCACCTAAAGTTAACAAAGGAAAAAAATCTGTGATGCATTGTGGTATACCATAGAAAGCACAACATATTTCCTGCAACCTGACAGTTTTCTATAAGCTATTTATTTTATAATTGGACCAGAAAATGTGACTAAGAATGAGAGTCTGTAGCCATGTTAGTAACTCTGTGAGGCTGTACATAGGCACAGTGGTGCTTTAAATTAAATGTTAGTCAGCAGGTATAGCGTTTAAATAGCGTCTTAGTTTTGCCTCACATTTGCTACTTAGGCCAAAATGCAACAAGTCCAGTTGAGGTTGATGGGATTGTCATTAGATTTGCATGTGTTTAGTCATAAACCAAGTATTGGACAAATCTAAATTTTGACATGATAATGTTAAGGGATCAATAATGTGATGACAATTCAGCCTGAGGGGGACATGAATGCCCGTACCAAATTTAATAGCAACCCACTCAATAGTTGTCAAGACATTTTACTCAAAACCACAAATGTACCTCATGGCTAAATCCATAAAAATAGTTGAGATATTTCAGTCTGAAGTGGTGTACTAACATCATCCCTGGAACCATGTTACTAGCACAGCTAAAAAGTATGTTACTAATTAAATGTGTAAAATGATACAACATCTGTAACATGGAAATTTTTCTTACCATCAGTTTTGTTCTGTTTAGCTGTGGTGTTCCCCTCATCTTCTGCTCCCTCTGGCAGGTGTGACAAAATATGTTTCTGCAGAGCTTTGGACATGGTGAACCTTTTTCCACACTCCTTGCAAACATACGGCCTCTCTCCAGTGTGTGTGCGGCGGTGATACTTAAGTAATGTCAACGTTTTGCAAGGTTTGCCACAGTCAGTGCAGGCATAACCGTCCCGGCCAAAATGAATTTTTTTATGAAGGGTGAGCTCTGATGACTTGTTAAAGGCCAGGCCACAGATTGGACACTTGAAGGGTTTCTTCTCTGTGTGGGCTTTTTGGTGGGCCATGAGTTCTGTGGAGTTTGTGAAGTGGCGGTCACAAACATAACAGGCGAAAAGGGCATTCCTCAGTATGCATTGCTCATATTGTGCTGGGTGGCTCAACTTCAGATGGCGCTCTTTGCTCTTGTGATCACTGAAGATTATGTGGCACTCCATGCACTGCAGGGAGAGCTGAGAAGCTTAGAAGGAAACAGGGCGGGAGGGGGGGGGGGGGGGGGTTAACATGTAGCATACATTCATATTGTCATAATAAAGACAAGTATTCATAGAAAGTATAAAGGATTGCAAAAGGCAAAGACAGCTCCATCAATGTAGGTCAAAAGTGAGCTGGAGGGTAAATAAGTTGACTTAATAAATTGAAAGGCACCTTTATAGAGTAAACACACAGTAAATAAATGTTTGTCTGAGCAAAAAAACTGTGAAAGGAGACCCTCTTCTGCCATATCCCTTAGCAAGATAATTCTGCATTTACTGTCACACCCAGGAAGTCAAAATTGGAAAAGACATAACTGTCCTATGTGATTTAGAGCTTTCAAAGTGGAAAGAACAATACAGGATTTTTGAGGCAGATACCAATTTCAAATATATATGCGTTTTCTCATCAAAATATTTTGATGAGAATCCTTTAAATTTTTAGGAATTGCACTGAGCAGGACATTTTGCACTTATTGGCGCTCTCTGGTGGACCAAGGCATACAGTACAGTACATGCATACAAATATATCTGCGATAAGCTAATATGGGTCAATATATCGGCCAAACCAAATTGTTGGTCCAATTCTAACCTACAGTGTTTTGTTTGGCTGCTTCTGAGCACCAGAACAGATTAATTCCACAGGTTTAATAACACTGGATTCTGTATCAGTATGGCAAACTAGGAAGTGTTTTAAGTAAGTCTTTCAAGTATTTTGTAAGTACACTGTACAAAATGAAATTAACTTCCACAATGTTTGCGCAGTTACATAATTACTCCAGGTACTTTTTTTTTTTTTTACAGTTGTATATTAAACCTAAAAAAAACAATATGCTTCCGTCAAAATTACAATAACCAACATGCTTCTGAGAAAAAGACTTCACAGTAACTAAGATGTTACTATAATAAATCACAATAGATTTCTTATAGAGTAATGTGTGGACTGCAATGTCCTCGTGCTTTCACACTGTCAACTGGGATTTGACAAAACACTGAATCTCCCAACTAGGAAATGTGACTGCTGTGTGTGTAGTCCTACATACAATGTAATAATCAAACATAGAGCAGGTCTCTCAATTATACACACAAAAGGTAAAATACTCACATGAGAGAGGCATGACCAGTGGTTTGGACATGTCAATTTTCAGAGGATCTTTCATGGCTTTCTTGGAAGGAACATATTTCCTACTTTCCCGCAGACCTTTCTCCTGTTTCTTTGCAATTTGCCCATCACACTGAGGATCTGTATTTGTATCAGAGTCTGTGGGGGCACTTTGCTTTGAAGCAGAGTCTATCTCCATCCCCTCAGAGTTTTCTGAAGGCTCACTCAGTGGCTGAACAGCGGTCTCTTTCTCCACTGCTTGTGTGAATGCCACAGTTGCAGGTGTTTCTTCCATTTGCACCCCTGTCTGATGTTTCTGTGGTGTGATCACTGTTTCGGTCTCAACAGGACCGGCAGATTTAGTCTTCTCCTCTTCTGCATCTGGTTCACTGTGTGCTGGCTGAGCCTCAGTCCCAGTGTCCAGTGGTTGCTCTGTGGGTGCTGTGGTAACTGGGTTTGACCCACTATTTTCCTGGGTAGGACTCTGCATGGCTCCCTGCCTCTTTGCTCCTCAAATGCGCGTGTTCATATGTTTCTATGAAATCAGTTCCCATACAGACACACATTATCACTGTTACTTAATTACACAGACAAATCAGCTCTTGTAGGAGCTCTTACCGGACATACAAAGCATGCATCTTTGACATCGTTTAAACTTGCTGGACTACTTTCTGAGAAAGACATCCTTAAACAAGTTAAAATCAGTGAAACGCAGCTTTGTTATCCGCATGACGACTACTGGGAAACCAGAGAATGAATGGTCTTAAAACATTTGTATTACAAAAGAAGACCGATGGACATGGAGGGCAGCCATTGTAGTCTGAGGTATAACCCAAATCCAGCACGTAATTCTGTGTAAATAGTGAGCTGGGCTATGCTAACACTTTTGTTTAACAATCCCTCCATGATAACCACAGATTCACAGATAATGGTAGCCTAGTTAGCCCAAATTCAGCGATTTGCGGTCAAATCTGGGTGCAAATGTAGGCATTTCTGACATGTTACGGTGCCAAAGCTGCTACATATTCACTCACTTTGTACGTCCCCCGTCCACACAAACTCCCGTATGCCTGTATAACTGGATGAGGATGTAAATATTAGATTACCTCCGCTGTCTTGTCCGCCCTAACATCTCCGCGTCGTTTCTGCACAAAGCCAACACGAAGGTGCTGCAGACAATGTGACGTAGGTCTGACAAAAGCCGCAAAGGAGTCATGGGAGTTGTGGTTTGTTACAGGTCAGTTCTCCACAGGTTTGTCTACTCTGCGAAAACGATAATACAAACATGCTTCAAAGCAGTTTTGATACGAATGAGAATACTTAACCTATTTCAACCAAGTTTATAATACATTTGGAGATAAATGCCGCAGAAACTACAAATATCATGAGCTAGTCCAGTCTATTTTATTTATTTAGCTTAAAATGGCAACAAATCCCCAAACGATGCAAAACATCCGATGGTGGAAATACTCAGATAATTTACTTATGTAATGGTATCGATACAGTAATGTAAAAATACTTTACTGCATGTGTAAATTCTGCATTTAAATTCCATAAATGTGACTAGCAAAATGTATTTGAAGTATGAAAAACAAAAGAAAAATGTCCACCATTACTATACATGATTCTATAAAGACCATTTACCATTGTAGCTGATCAAGGTGGAGCTAGATATAATCACTTGATATGGGGTACTGGCAGGTTCTTGTCCGGTGGTTTCCAATTAAGAGCTTTGCCCCAAAGCGTCACAAAACAAATCTGAAGTGTTATCAGATGATTAATGAGGCAAGAAAGACGAAAAAGTTCTGCTACAAACATTTATAGTAATTTTTTGCTGTTATTTGTGAAATATTGGATAATTTTTACTTTCTGGGCCTCAAACAGTTATCTAAATTACACCATCTAAGAAGTTTAGAGAGGAAATGGCTCTCATAGAGGGTTGTCATAGCACCCCAAATACATGTATCTTGGTTTAATTTTTAAGTGTGTTGCATTGTACAAGCTTATCACATTTTGTTTTAGGTTAAATCTTCCTCTGAAAAGTAACTGAAAAGTAACTAATAACTCCAACTATCATATAATTGTATAAATGTAATGGGGTACGAGTATAAAGTAGCAGAAATTAGAAATACTCAAGTAAAGTACCTCAAAATTGTATTTTAGCTCACAAGACCCTCTATCCCTAAACTCTGAGAAACTCTTGTTATTTCATCATATTCAAGTAATTTTATATGATAAAACTGTTATATGTAACAAGTTGTTTTGAGATATCAGTAAGGAATACAGTGGAGTCTACAGAGCTGTAGACTTGATACTTGGACTGACTTTATTTAAAAGACTTAAAATAGCTCTGGTAAGAGGTGCATATGTGGGATTTTGTTTTTATTCCATCACCCACATAAGCTCTTCATCTGAGTCTCAGCCATGTCAACTGAAATCTTCATGAAGAACTGAAAAATGGAGAACAAGGTAGCCTTATAAGGCTGAATGTCTCATAGGTCATTTGTGTCACATAATTAAAAGTATTACAGATAAAATGATATCACATCCTTATAGAGAAACCTAGTGAAAATCCGGTTATGTTCTGGCAAAAGTAAAGAGTAATAGCCAGATGCTGGTGCTATTGCAGCATGTGTAGGATCCTTTTCACAGGGATGCACCAACTGTAAAATCCCAAGTGCTTAGAAACTTCCATAGACTAATCATAAAAAAGCCTGTGAGCACAGCGTGCTCCAAAATCACGTCTCAATAATTAGTATATATTAACATATTTAATGAGCTACTGTATTGCTGATCCTTACATCTGTAGGCTATTGTTTTTTTGATATTTATGCTGTATCCCCTCCATTACAATGGTAAAAGCAAAAGTGATGTTGGTAAAATGTGCTGGAAGAATGCAGCGTCCAAGAACAAATTGAATTCAGACTATTAGCACAAAATTATTCCAGCCACAGCATCATATGTCTCCCAAATACTTCCCTATAGTATGATGGTTTGTTGTTGTATACACTGTATTGTGTGTAACAGTCTAAAATACATTATTTTACCCCTGCACATGAAAACAAACCCTAGAAACATTTAGAATGTATTGTATTTTATTAAAAGTAGAATGAGGTATAGATTTACTTTCTAGTTTTTCATGATCTCACTTTTTCACTTTTGGTTCATAACAACATTTTGCAACATGTAGTTTTAATCTCAGTTTACATATGACACCTATACATTAAACACATGCAGTAAAATCTTGTAGCATCAGACTGTTGAGGCTTAGTCTGCTGTAGATACTCAAGATCAATCTCACAAGTATCTACAACAGACTAAGGATATTTGTCCTTGACTTTGTTTAACACAGTGAATTCAAAACATACTAGACATAGTTCCACAGTAAGTTGTTAACTCTTTGTTTCTTTGCCCAAACCATTAATCTTTGACATAGAAAAGTAAAAAAAAAAAAAAAGTGATAAAAACTATTAACTTCCCCAAATGTATCAAAATTATTGGTATTATTGGCATCAGTATGAGAAAATAAATTTCTCTGTGAGCCTTCATCCCTCAATATCATACTGTGGAAAAGGCAGCTCCCCAGTGGCATGTTTTATATAATGCAAATGCAGGTGTGCCACATCATCAAAACCCATATCACATTCAAAACACTCCCATTCCCAGTATTTATGCTCTCTGTACATATTTGTTTCCTGCGACTTACTCTCGTCCAGGTCCTGTCCTGCTTGTGGTTGCACCGTTTCTGATTTTGACTCTTCAGGTGGATCAGATCCAGCCGTACCAGCCAAGTAATGTACAGGCTCGCCGCAATCAGACTCTTCGGAGTTGGCGTGATCCCCAAACTCAGCATACTCCTTTTGAGTTTCACTTCTCACTCCACTTTCATCCTTTCCCTGCAGCTCCTCCATGTTTGTATCCATCTCTGGCTCCTCTTGGATGCTGGCGAGAACAGGTAGCTTCTTTTTAATGACTCGCTTCTTTGTGAAAATCCCAGAATTCCTGCTGCCCAGAAGCATCCCACTGGACCCAACATAAACTCTAAGATGCTTCTTTTTGTGTGTAATCAGATTTCCAGCATGGGAAAAGGTCTTGCCACAGAATGGACACTGATAAGGCTTTGCTCCGGTGTGGGTGTTGTAGTGATTCATAAGCTGGGCAGACATTTGGAATCTCTTGTGGCAAATGTTGCACTTGTGTTGCCTCAGACTGTGACTCTGAAGGTGTTTATCCAGTGACACTTCATCTCTGAAGCCTTTGGCACAACTTAAACACCAGAACGGTTTCTCTTTGTGGATATCAATATGACTCATCCATGACTTCATAGACGAGAAGTCTTTGTTGCACTGATCACATCTAGGAGGTTTCGATCTCTGTTGTCTGCGTGACCTGTGAACTCTCATGTGACCAAATAGCCGTGTTCGCCTGCTGAAGGACATCCCACAGTCTGAACACTCATATTTATGCAAATTCTGTGCAGTCTGATTGTCTGTTGTAGAGGAGCGGTTTTCATGCTGCTGTTGGTGTTTTTGGAAAGAAACCAGGTATGTATAAACCTTCCCACAGACCAAGCAAGCGTAAACTTTTTGTTGATTCTTCTTCAATGAGGCACTTTGTATTAAATCTGAGGGTTTTGTTTGCGATGAACTGCTTGTGTCACACCCATTGGCAGCACAGCCCAGGCCTTCATCCCTGTGTTCTCCGCCAGGGAGCAGCTCTGCTGCAGGATTTCTGTTGTCTCCTGTTTGAGCATCTTCCTCCTCCTCCTCATCTTCCATGGCATGCTGGTGCAGGTGAGTCTTGAAGACTTGCCAGTGTGTAAACTTCAGTCCACAATCCTTACACACAATGCTGCATTCTTTGACTACAAAAGAAGAAAAGAACAAATACTAATTTAGATACTTAAGAAGAAGTCTTCAGTTTATGTATCACATTTTGAACTTCACGAGTTTATAAAAGAAGCTAAAATATCATCTGATTTTGTCAATCATATGGGACTAATAATTATTCTGTGATGTTCCAGCTGTTGGTAGCTGAAAGTTACCAATGTTTAATTGCAGCAGGTAAAACAAAACTTACAAGCCTGAGTCGTGGCTCTTCTCTTCGTCACAGTTGATCAAAACATCTTAACACTCCTCATAAATCCAATTTCAATATCAGAGCACTGCATTTCATCAGGCATTGCTGACCATGTCTGCAGAGCAGATTATCTGTGACCTAAATATGGAGCCTGGAATGAAACTAAAATAATTAGGGTACTACTACTGCCCTGTAGGTTGGATCAGAAATGAACACAATCACAATATGGAAACAGTAAATGTCAAAACAGGATAAGGCTGCAACTTATCTTTATCAATAATCCATTGTTTTCTCAACGATTTGATTAACATTTCATCTATAAAATTTCATAAAATGGTGAGTGACACCTGGATACCAAAGCAATGTCTAATTTACAGTCTAACATCAAAGGATATTTTCTTATTTATTTTACTGCCATAAAAATGAAAAAGCAGCTCCCGAGATTTCGCAATTTTCACAAACAAACAAACACAAACAAATTAGCAAATAAAATTTCAACAAGGTCAATTTAAAAGTGGTTTTAAAATTAATTTTACAAGTCCATTTTAAATTCCAGTTAATTAATTTTACATTTAAAATTATAAATGTTTAATAATCATTTTTTGCAACTATTCTGGTGGCACACTTCAGGCTCCATATTTATTATATGCTGTGTATGAGTCAGACTGAATAATTTCCACATGAGGACTTCTGATATTTTGTAGTGATAAATGAACAAAACAAACTTGTTTTTAAGTTATGTAACTTGTTTTTAAGTTATGTAACTTTGCTGCATTGAGCATATCCTCAAAAAAGACCCAGTACACAACACACAGCATTATCAATAAACACCTAAGTCTAATCACTCAGAGGACGAGTGCCAATAGGTGAATAAAAATATTAACAAACCAAACTGATGATTCCACAGACATGCAGAACGAGTAAACTGAGGCTAAATTAATCACACAATCCATTAACTCACAAGAAAACTGATCAATTTATTTTAACTTTTTAGTGAACATTTTCTTCTTTGATCCAGAAACAGCAAGTTAAACAAGTAGTCAAAGGGTATGTTGGTCATTTAGGGAAAAAAAGCTTTTCATAAATTAATATCGCAAAGTAATGTCTTTTGTACAATAGAAATTATTTTCCCACTACATAAGTGGTACAGTAAACTAACAACTATGCTACATGAAAATAAGCACTATTTTAGTCTAAGCAATGAATAATCTTTCCACAACATGGAAATCTAACACTGAAAAGGAAAGAACATGGGAGCTTATGAATCAATTAATGCAAACTATATTGTACGTAATGTACAATTACTTCACTGTGAAATTTGTTTTATGGTAGTAACTGGCTGTAATGTTCAACATAAGGACATCTTTTACAGATTCACATACACAGTGCACATTACTGAATTTCTTATATCTTTATCTTTCTCTGAAATATGCAAATAGTACCTCATTCAGGCAAACCTCAGGCATTTAAAATGACAGCAGCAAAATTAGTATATATTTGTTGTGCAGAATTGTTTCATTTTCTTCATAAACTTTGCAATAATCAGTGCGTCAACAGCACTTTTAATTGTTCTGGGAATTTTAAATGGAAGAGGACGGACACATACATGCAAATCTTTTTTTTTGTTTGTTTGTTTTTCTGATATATCTGGTTATGAACTTCAACACTTCAGCCAGTGATCACCAAAGCGATTAACAAGGTTCAACTGACATTCATGACAGGTCTTTTCAAAAACAGTCAAATCAACCGGTGGCTCAGAACTACACATTTGTGACATCTCAACGCAAGTTCATGAAAGGGATTATTCTTTAACATTTGTACATATACTAGTCCAGTGTATAGGAAAGCCTGAGAACAGGAAATTACCTAAGGAACTGCTTTTTTAAATATAAAAAATCTCAAATAATATAGGCAGAATTAGGGAAAACATGTATCTACTTAGCCTAAACAAAAGGTCTAATAAAGAATTTTCTAGCTTAACACATTTGGCAATCTCTAAAAGAAAAACAAAAATCCACAATCTACAGTGTCTTCAATTCAACTCTTTTCAGTTTGTTTAGTCTAAAACACTCCATGGGCATGTTCAATATAGTGCTGGTGCAAATCAGTTTCTTGACAAAAAGTAGTTCCACATTCAAGGCAAGTAAGGCCATTGGCATCTCCTGGCGAGATAGCAGCGGGAGCATCACTCTGCCCTTTGTAATCACCTATACATTCCTGGTGATGATCGATAAGGTCCTGTATTTCACTGAAGGTCCTGGGGCAAATGGAGCAATGATACGAGTCATTGTTACAGTGCTGGGATTCGTGCTTTTGTAATGCAGTAGGTGAAAGAAAGGCTTTGCCACAATGTTGGCACTTATGGCTACTTTGTGACTGGCTGTCTGGGTTAAGCGTAGCTCCGTTCGGTGTAGAAGATTGAAAGGACTTTCCCCTATTGTCAGCAGAAGGGATGTTGGATTTTAGAGGCTTTGAGGTCATAGCAGCACTGAGCCTATAGCGAACCTCATTTGGGAGACGACAACGGACTTCATCGTGCCAGGCAAGGTGTTGCTGCAGCTGATTCTCAGTCCAAAAGCCGTGGCAGCACAGAGCACAACAATAAGGCCGGCTCTTTGCCTTGGTCTTATGGGTGGACAATTGTTCCTCAGTTTGGAACGCTTTCCCACACTTATCACACTTGAAGAGGCATTTGGCGGTATGCTCCGACAGACGGCTGAGTGGTGGGGAAACCTCAGCTGCGGCTTCAGGAGTCTGGATCTCCTGTTTGGCCTCCTGCTCTACCTCCAGGCACACTTTTTTATGGTCAAGGAGTGCGCCTGCAGAACTGCACTGTTTCCCGCAGTCAAGGCATGAGACAGATTTCACAGGTGGGGGGGCAGATCGGATTTTCTTCCTTCCTCTGTCAACAGGGCTATTTTTCTTTGCAACAAGATAACTGCTCATCACTGTAGTGTTGTCTACAGCTGATGAATCCTCTGTATTTCTGACTTCACTTCTCATGGGAATGGACTCCTTTTTGGTACTCAAAGGAACCTTATTTTTGCCTTTTGTGGTGCTGGAGTGCGCCTGCCATTTGTGGGCACGCAGACCTCTTGCTTTAGCAAAGGTCATAGAGCAGAGGGGACACTGGTGAGCTTTTCCCTTCAGTGTCGATGGCCTGGATCCACTTCCATTGAGACCGACATCAACTTGTTCTGGGACCTGGTCTACTGAGACAAGCTCATCTGCTTGATGATCTGCAGCCTCCAAAATTTTACTGTGCTCATTTTCATGATGGGCAGCTAGAAGCGAACCTTGCACAAAGGTCTCGTTACATTCAGGACATGAAAACTCTGAATTTTCAGCGAGTGTGCTGTTCCTCTCCACACTTTTGCTTGATTCAGGCTCTGGCTCAGTTTTGGTTTGACACTGTCGATTAAACATCTGGTGGCGCTGGAGAACACAATGGTTAAAAAATTGTTTGCCACATGTGTTGCACTGAAAAGGTCCGTCCTCTGTCTTGTGGCTAACAGATTTCAAGTCGTCATCTTTGAGCGAGGACCGTGAAAATTTCTTTTCTTTGTGCCATCGTTTGTGGGACCCGAGCGCTGAGTTGGACATGAATCGCCTCCCACATTCTGAGCAGTGAAACAGTCCTTTACTTGGCTCTTCCTGTTTAGGTTTTTTAAGCATTACTGACATGGCCAATTTTGCTTTTGTTACAGATTTATAACCCTCAGAATGAACTCTTTTATGAAAATTCAAAGCTCCAACGACTGAAAAGCTTCTGTCACACTTTTTGCATTTGTATTTCAAATCCGTTGCACCAGTTTGATCTTCTGTCTTTAGCTCCCCACTGTCCATTTCATTAATTACTTCAGTTTTAAGTGTTAAGTGCTCAGAGCTTTCTTGTTTGCCAACATCCATACTATCCTGGTGCAATGTTAGAGTATCATTATTTTCTGCGGGTTCTGTCTTACAATCAACTGCCTGACTGTCTCTTTTCATGCAAAGTTTTTGATGAGCCCGCAACGAGGCTTTGTTGTTGAAATGTGCGAGGCACGTTGCGCACTGGAGATCTTCCAGCGTGACAGTAGATCTGGGTGATGACGGTGAATGCCCAGTCTCATACCCATGGCTTTTCATATGAAACTGAAGTGCTTTGGCCCGTGAAAACAGCTTCCCACAGTCAGGGCAGCTGTATGTGTTTTTTTTCAACTGCTCTACCTGATGCTGAAAAGACTTAATGGGTGGTGGGAGTAGCTGGTCATTATGCACAACCTGGTGTCTGAGAAGGCTGGAAAAAAGACGGAACGACCTATTGCAGAGTTCACATTTATGATTTCCATTTTCATGTTTTCGCATGTGCAATGCCATAATGCCTTTGTGACGAAACTTCCTACCACACACTGGACATGCAACCTTAATACTGGAGCGTGGGTGTCCATTAACAGAATGCAAAGATCCTGCAACACCTTTTCTTAGCCTTAAGTCTGCACACTCTGTCTGATTTTGCTTGTGGTGGGAGTAAGCTCCTAAAGACCAAAAACCCTTCCCACACTGTTCGCAATGATAAATCTTTGGGCCTAGAAGGGTTTTCTTTGGATTGTATTCTTTCTTAGTGACTGAAATATTCTCTTTCTTTTGTGCAGAGCAGTTTTTCATATGGTTAAACAAACTAGCTGCATGCAAATACGACATCATGCAATCTGGGCATTGGAATTGTTTTCTTTTGGGATGGTGTAACTGATGAGAGACTAAAGCAGACAAACGTGAGAAGCATTTACCACACTCACTGCAAGTCAAGTTTTTCTTCTCTGATCCCTCTGTCTGGTACAGTGCATCATTGCTTGTGTTTTGAGTGTTGTGTTGCTGTATGTGACTGCAGTGTGCTGCATAGCTACTGGCTTCATGGCCACATGTGTCACATGTGTAAACTGCCACTGACTGACCTTGGGTCTGTTGTCTTCTCTTATGAACGCCATGCCACATTCTGTGAACACGCAGTGATGAAGCACTAGAAAACCAACGGTAGCACTCTGGACAATCAAATCTTTCTCCTGTCGTTTCATTCTCGGACTCCCTCGCTATCTGTGCACACTGCTCGTCAACCTGCTCAAAGTCAATTTGTACAATTTTCAAGTCCATCTCTGGCTTGGAAAAAAGACTACTGGGGGAAACTTCAGTGTCACCATCGTCTCTTATTTCCTGATCTGATTCACACAGTAGCTCAAGATCAGGATTCAGGTCTTGGACCGGCTCATCCTCAGATTCACTTGCACTGATCACCTGAACATTAAAGTCCCCAGGTTCATAACTCTCCATGTCTTCATCAGTCTCATTAACTTGTGAGTCTTCTTCAGTAATACTGGTAGGAAACACCTTCTCTGATTCCATTTTTTCCTCCAAGTGCTCAGTCTCCTTTCTTTCACTTTCCAAACTTTTTTGTTGAGGTAGCAGAGAGGTGGGCATCTGGGCCTCCTTCTCTGTTTCTCTGAAAACATCTGTGTGATGAAGCTGATGGGAGTGAAGTGCTGAAGCCCTGGAAAACTTTAGCCCACAATCCTTACATTCAAATGACTTCTTCTGTAACTGGCAGACTTGATGAAGAAATGACTTTGCTGGGGTCTCGTCGCTGTGTGCCATGCGCTGATGCCTGTAGTAGAATGTGAGTGTCATAAATACTTTTCCACATTCCTCACATGGGAACCTTTTCGCAGAGTCATCTGAGTGATTAGCATGCCATCGCTGATGGTTGAAGAGGGCTATATGGCCATTGAAAGACTTTTTACACTCACTACAGTAAAACTCGCTGCAGTTTTTCTTTGGTTTTTCTTTCATTTCTTCTGGAGAGCACTGACTGTTGCGGCTAAATCGCTGATGTGTTTTCAGGCGCAACAAAGCAGAAAAGGCTTTACCACATGAACACTTAAAAAGTTTTTCAGAAGTATCGTCTGCCTGAGTTTCAGGGGGCTTGGCTTCAACTACTGGCTCTTCAGTGTGAAATGAATCTCCTGAACTCCTGTTTCGTGACTTGACTAACTTTTCCTCATGACATCGACGGTGTGCATCAAGAGCTGAAGCGCGAGAATAATTTCGCCCACAGGACTCGCACTGAAATGACTTCTTTTTCAAATGTTCCAGGTCATGAAAAACTGATTTGGAGGCTTGTCTGTGTGAGCGCTGATGGTTGAGAAAGTGTCCGATCACACCGTAACATTTCCCACAGTCTTGACATTCATAAGTGTGTTGTCTTGTTATTCCAGAATTCATCTGAATACCAGACTCCTTTTGGGAGGTTTGACCGTGGTTCGTCTCCATGTGCAAAAGGAATTCATTCATTTCAACAAATGAGAGTGAACATGAAGTACAAAAATGAGCTGTTTCACTGTCCTTTTCTGCATCATGTAAGCCATCCAACTGGTCACCTAAATGCACATTTTCTTGCAAGTGCTGATGGCGATGCTCCAAGTAGGCTGCCTCCTCTCTGAAGGCTTCTCCACAATCCTGACAGCAGAAAACCCCAACCCCTAGAAATAGAAAGGGGAAAATAGGAGGTCAGTGCCACTCCTGTTTCCAGAGAAAGAAAGAAAGAAAGAAAAAAAAAAAAAAAAAAATCACAAAAACACGTGCAAATAAGGTCTTTATTTTAAAGGTGGTTTGAGTTTACAGTATAATCAGACAAAAGAGGACTTTCCAAATGAAATGATCAAAATTTGATTATAAAAATATACTCAGTGTTATTACAGAGGGGCTGATAAATACATTGCTCAAGCTAAGTGACCTTTTAGTTATTTAATAGAACTGTTGCAGAAAGTGATGCAATTTCAAATAGGCAAATGTTACCAAAGCACCACATTGTAAGTACCACTTTCACGCAAACCTGGGTGGGGTATCGAATTACTTACAGTCTTGTCCTTACAACAAGAGGTTGGATTATCCACATAGGTGGATAAGAAAATTATTAAGAGTACTTTTGTCTATCAAAGCTTAAGTTGAACTGAGCTGTAAAGTGCTTTTGATAGATGAAACATCTAGTATAAACAGCCATTTTATGTCCATCAAAGTTTTTCTTATTGACAGAGGGGCACTGTGATGACCTGCACCTCTAGAGAGGCTGAATTTAGTCTAGTCACACTGGTACGTAGAAGAGGAAATGACAACATTTGAGATATACTGATGCTTTTGATACACATAGTTAAATACATAATACGCCTGGGGTGCAAACAGTTAAAGTAGTAAGAAATTTGTTGTCTGTAGCCTGACTATAAAAATAGGCACAAAAACTCATTTGTTATTGTCTTTTCAGAAACAGTAAATGCTTTTTTGTTTCTTTGCACTGCTGTGCCAAGGAAACCAGACGTGAATCCCTCCCACTAGCTCCATCATTGCTAAGAATGCTGGTGTTCTTGACAATTTCACTGAAGTTCTAAAATCCAATGTGTGTGGTTGTCCACGTACATGATTTACATAGAGAGTCCATATAAATTAAGGCTAACACAACCTCATTTGAAAGCACTATGACAAATCGAAACTCTAGTGTTTAGGACCTCTGCTCTGGCAAAATATCATTTGAAGGTATTTAGTTTGGTTATGTTGGCCTGCAAACAGTTATTTGACCTTGTCAAGGTCTTACAAAGAACACACTTAAACCCTAAGTTACGATTACTTATTATATCCTTGTTAGAAATATCTATTAGTCACACATGATTAACAGGTATTCATTTTAAACCACGAACCATCTATTATCATTCAATAATGTGATATAAATTGAGAAAATACTATTTTGCACACTCAACAGGTGCCTGAATACAGTATAAGCATTATCAGTAGTTTGTCTCCGTTAGTCTGAATCTTGGTCTGCATTAGGAATACTGTTAATGAGGCTTAACAAAAAAATGAAAACGCACAAAGATCTGATATTCAAGGTGAGGCCTCTTTGGCTGTTGCTTGATGGTTAACACTGACAAAGCAAATACAATGGGAAAGCATAAGATAAGGGAGTCAAATGATTCCATTGACTGAACTTAAGGCCTACATACATATACCCAAAGCATAAGCTCTGCCACTGTGATGGTTACTAAATGTAAGCTGTATGATGAGCATTACTTTAAGCACAGTGGAAAACAATACTGTACACTGTGCTTTAACTCATTAGATTTCAAATGTCAACAAATTGACAAATTCAATTTCTTAAATTGTTTGTGGCTCATAAAATACAAATTGCAAGTCAGCATTTCATCTGTATGGTTTCCCCAGCTTGGCCTGGTCAGATAATAGACACTGTTCAACATACCGCTTGTAATGCATTTCTTATTGTGAACAAGTTCCTGTAGCAACAGCCAGATTTCATATTTGAATGAAAACATACTTGATAAAAATCCAACATATATACTGCCAACACATTGTTATCCATCTGCAAAAAAGGTTGAGATCCGCATCGTCTGTTGTAGCGTTTGATAGATAAACGGAGCATTAGTAAACAGGAAAGAGTCAAAACAGCCAAAATGACGTGGGTACGAAGCCATGCAAGTTAATGCAATTTATGCTCAATTTGCCGTAGAAGAATGTTTTTTTCGACAAGTAACATATTTTCATGTTCCTGTACTGAGGTTTGTGTAGGAGGTCACTACGCCTGAACATGCCGGTGCTAACAACGTTAACGTTTAAGTGACGGCTGGTGGATACTTACTGTCACTTGCTATGTCCTCAGCCGATGGACCGACGTTGTTTTCTGATGCTCTGTGTCCGTCGAAGGGTTTGTTTGCGGCTCCATCCTCTGTGATCGCCGCGGCAGCAGCTCCGTCCATCTTGGCGTGGCCGTTTGGTGGTGCTAGCTTTCTCTAGCTTGTCCTCGTTAGCTTAACAGCGCCACGGTTACTCAAGTTTTCCTTATCGGCACAAAGCCTGTCTGAAATGAGTGAAAACGATGTAAATGATAGTCTAGTTCGTTAACACAAAACAGGGCAGCATCTTTACTGTACTGTACTGTTTTTACCAATGTGAATGATGATGAACAGCACGGCTAGCTTTGTAGCACACACACCTGCACTGTGTGCCTGAGCATCTGTCGGCGGAAGTGGATTCTTCTTCTTCTGTTTTGATTCCTCCTCCGGAGGAGGAGGATGGGCCTGCAGCGATTCACTCTGCATATAAATTGTTTTCTTCTCTAAGGATTATACACGATTAAAAAGAAGGGGATATTGTACTTTTTACTATTTGACAGCTTCTCTTTTCAGGTTTGGGTTAAAACGTATACTATTATAAAACATAGTACATATATACATCAGAAATAACAACTTAGTTGGGCTATTTTCTGCATTGAATACTTTTGGTTGTGACACTTGACTCGAATTTTTCAAATAATACTTAAGTACTTTTAATAAAGTAAAGTCTTGAATGCAGAACTTTTACTTTTCAGTAGGCTACCGTTTTATTTTCACAGTAGTAGATCTGAATACTTCCCCCACCACTGTTTACCACTAGTATAATACTGCTCATGACAGCAAATTATATTGATCCTATCAGGAAAAACTTCGTAGAGGTGCTTCAATTTTAATCACAGTCACTTAAATATTCTTGATGCATACTTGCCTTCCATAATTAACTTTCATACATCATTTTCCACAACCAAATTCAAAAGTAGGATTTCACACTTGCAGGAGTACCTTCTGGTACTGTTAATTTAATAAATTCATTCTCTTCCCAAACCAAACGTGAAAGTAGATAATCCTGCAGGATATGAAAACTTTCCAAAACATTTAACCTAGTTTTTTTTTCACAAAAATTGCTTATGTTGAAATGTTGAAGGTTAGCCATGAATTAGGTTTAACAAATACTATAGAACTTAACAAGTACTGCGCAACACAACATTGTAATCAAAGGCAAGTTTTATTTAATCCAATATGTAGACATCATGGGAAATTTCTATTTCTTTCCATGCTAAAACAGTGGATAGAGGTAGAAGGGCATATGTTTTTATATGTTAAGACGCTGATTCTTAAAACACACAGGAACTGTTTTTTTGTATTTTTTTTAAACAAATGGACCTTGTGTTAATTTTACAGTAGTAATGAAGATTTTCAGTCACTTGTGACCAAAGTTTCTCAAATGCCCATTTTCATAAGAGAGGAGATGGGATTCTGTATTCATCTAAGTCTACAGTTCTGGAATGAAATCATTCATTATTCACAAATAATACATTGAATTGCACTCAAAATGGACTTCATTTTTATAAATGTGGGTACATTCTAATCTGAAATGGTAATTCTGGTAAGAGATACACATTACATGGCACTCATCAGTTTACAGTAGGTGCTCAGCACCGGCAAGCAGAATAAGTTTGGAATCTAATTATAACGTGCATCAGTCATGACACATTGTGAAAAATAAGCTGAATTTGACTGGATCAGTTAGAGCAAAACATACATTTTAGATCATCAGTTTCATGTTTGTCTTGTCATTGTAAAAAATATTAATGACAAACATCACTTAATCCAAATTGAATTTATTACAAAATTCACTATTTGATAACAGTGTCAGAAATAATTGTGTAATGACGCTACTTTCTCCTTCTTCCCAATAATCACCCAAAAGTTACATTTACAGAAAATACTTACTGTGAAAATGACCTTAAGTGTAACCGTCACATTTTGTTTTCAAATACTTTTGCTCTGACCAAATTATCACGATGAGAACCTTTCTTATGACACATTGGGACCCAGCCCGTGGCCCTGTGAATACAAGTGCTTCCTTCCAGGATTGTAACTGTGTGTTGTCAGCTTTTCATTGTATATTCTGACAGTAATCTGTGAGCACTACAACCGCTCCCCCAAACTCCCCTCCCCGCCCCAAAAGCAAAAACTTACATTTCTTTACAGTATCTTAGAAAGAGTTGCTCTGTTTTGGGAGTGAGGTCACATTGTTGAGTCTACCTTAAGCACAAACTAGGCCTAGAATACCAAGACAGCAGACATGCAGACTGTACTCATAAAAGGCACACATTATACTGTACATGAAGAAACACAGTTCAAATGGTTCAGGACATATGATCAGAGCTATAAAAGTACTAATATTATCTAAATCTAAATGTCATTGGCAATAAATGAAATGTAGACCACAGAACCTCATTTATCTGCAACCATCAGAAGTTATTTAAACCAGATAAGTATTTGGATAACTGATAATGCATTTCAAAAAGAGTGAAACTAATTCAATGGTATGTGTATACACCCCTTAATTTCAAGCAACACTCTGACTTTAAATAAAACGTGCATCAAGTGTGCAGACTAAATCAAGTTCCACTTTTAGCTTTTTGTTTCTAATGCCCATCCACTCAACTGGTCAAACTGCACTACTGAGGGTCAAACAAATGAGGTTCCATTGAATAAAAATTATATACTATATATATATATATATATATATATATATATATATAAACATAACTAGGTCTCGTTGCTAGTGTAGAAATGTCAAATCTCTCCTTGTGCATGTTGCAAGTAATGCATTTGTAGATCAAGCTCTCGAGGAAGAGAGCACCCGCATATCATGCACTGGAGAAGTCGTTCTGGGGCAAAAGGCAAACGGGGTCCGAGTTTGTGAGGTTCTGTCCGTGGGGCAAGCTGAGGTAGGGGCAGGGTCTGTGGCATGTGTGGCCTCTCGCTCATGACTGCCTGTGGTGTGAAAAAAATATTTGGGTGTGGAGGTCTTGGAAGTGCACCAACTGCGACAGAGTGAAGAGGGTGAGGGCCAGGCAAAGCAAGAGGAGGGAGCGGAGCAAGTGGAGGTGAGAAAAAAGGAGAAGGCTGATTTATAATTATTTGAGTGCCCGTTACCAGTGGTTGTTGCTGCAGCTCCTGTCCATTCCCTGGTTTGAGTTGCCCAGTGAGCAGCGTTTGAGGACCCACGGGATTACTTTGGAAGCCCCATACTGGCGTTCCCATCCCCTGGGTAAACCGATGAGGCTCGTATTGAATGGAGATGGGAACTTTCTGTGTCGCTGTCTGACTTTGTACATTGGCCCAGCCAGATGACACCTGCTTTTGCTGCAGCTGAAAATCTTGATTATTTACTAATTTCTCAGGGGAGTTTATAGTCTTTGGAATTCCCGGTGGTGTTTGTATGTCCCATAAGGTGTTACCTACCCCGAGAGAAACAGGAGTTGAAATTGGCATAGCACTGCTTTGGTCTATTTGAGCTGAGGTGGATGCACCTGCTAAGCCTGAAGCCCACTGCTTCTGCGGCTCACAGCCGTTCCACGGCTTCTCCGGCTGGCTAACAGTCGACGGTATTACTTGAGGATTATTCATGTCCCACACTCTACTGTCCTCTTTTTTAGGTGGTGTGGATGGCTCCTTCTGTGTTGACACTGGGGCACCTGGCCATCTTGGCAGCTGAAGCTCTTGACCAAGCTTATTTGGAGAACTCCGCGAATTTGCTAGTGAAGCGGGTCTGACGCTCCACAGAGCTGCCCCATCAATATAGGGAGAGGGGACAGAGAAATCATGTTGCAGAGAGCTTGAGGAAGCTAGCACTGTGGATGTAGGTGCATTACTCCAAGTTACAGGCTTGGCCTGCCTGTGGTGCTCCATCTCACTCCCTGTCAATGGGCTGGATTTTTTTGGCACTGACACCAAGTGGGAGCTGACAATAGAAGCTGTATTCTCCTTGATGTGTGATGACTCTAAAGTCTGAGCAGATGTGGGGCTATCTGCCCAGCCTGAAGTTCTATGATGGTGCTGCTGTAGGCCTGGTTGTGGCAGACTGTCAAACTGTGCCTGCTGTGGAGCTGTGTGTTGCTGCTGTGATGATGGGACAGGCATTACCTCTCCACCGTCCACCTTCCACTGCACAGGTTGAGGGTGTAGCTCTGACATCCACGGCTCCTTCTGATGCCTGCTTTGTAAATCCATGCGAGATGAGAGCATGGAAGACTGTGGCTGCACGGCCCTTCTATGCAACTCAGCCTCTCTTATTGCAGAAACTTGAAATGGAGATGGCTGAGAGTTAACCATCCCTGAGCCTCCCAATGGTCTAGACCAGCTCCACACGAGCCTCCCCCCTCTCCTCCCTCTGCTACCCCTGCCTCTCATCCTAGCACCAATTGGGAAAGAATTGTACTGGCTGAAACCTTGGCGTTTGCGAGCATGAATTTTCTGGTGTACTAGTAGGCTGCTAAACCAGGAAAAGGTTTTGTGACACTCATCACAGCGATGAGGTCTCTCTCCTGTGTGTGTGTTCATGTGATCACGGAGAAGATAGGCCAATCCAAAGCTCTTGTCACACAGGTCACACTTATGAGGTTTGTCACCATTGTGTGATAGCATATGGTGCTGCAGTTGGGTCTCATCGCTGTAACCTTTACGGCAGCTGGTGCAGCGGAATGGTTTCTCCTGATGCAGCTTTTGATGTGTTTTCATGTTCTGCAGGAAGGCAAAGTCCTTCCCACAGTCGGGACATTTGTATGGCTTCTTGCCTGTATGTATGATGAGATGTTGCTGTAAGTAGCTACTGAATCTAAAGCCCTTGCCACACACTTTGCACTGGTAAGGCTTGTCCTTGGAATGTATTCGCATATGCAGCTCTAACACTGAGCGATGGCGGAAGGTTTTTCCACACTCAGAACACTTGTATGACTTAATACTTATGCCATCGCTTCTCCATTTCGCCTGCATGTTATCACTGCTTAACAGATTAAATTGTTTTTTAGGTGGTGTTGCCACCTTTTCTAAATATTGTGCTACAGACTTGTGGACACTTAACAAATGTACATTTAAACTGGATTCATCACGATAAACGCAAGGGCAGTGTGGACAGGTGTATCCTTTTTCACAGTACTTGTTAATCTCCCTTGGGGGTCTGGGTGTTCTCTCCAGCGTCTCATACTCAGCCTCGTGAATAAGCATGTGGGCTCTCAAGTTAGCTGGTGCACAATAAGTCTGGGGACAAAGAGGGCATTTGAATGTGCGTTTTGGGTCCTCACTCTGGTGTGTATTCTCTTTCCCTAGCCCTCTAACTGCCTCCGGTACAGGCACAGATGCCTGTTTGCAGGGCTTTTCACTGGAGGAATTGGTTTCACGCAGTCTATGCTGACGGCAGTGTGCCTTCATGTTCTGGGCGAAGGCAAATTTTTTGCCGCATTCAGGGCAGCGGAAGGGCTTCTGGCCTGTGTGAAGATACTGATGCTGATGGAGGAGGCTACTGTACTTGAAGGTCTTGCCGCAGATGTTGCACAGGTGAGAACGTGTGTTGTCTGTATGTTTGCGACGGTGGTCTTCCATGACAGAGTAGTGTTTGAAAACCATGCCACACTCTGGGCATTCATAGGGCTTGAGGGCGGTATGACATCGCTGGTGATAGCGCAGGGCCATGGTGTTTGGAAAAGTTTGATTGCACTCTTGGCATGTAAACATGCTCTCCTGGGAGTGGCTCATCATGTGCTTAGTGACAGACACCTTAAACTGGAACTCTTGGCGGCACAGGGGGCAGTGGTAAGGCTTTTCGACTGTATTGCTGCAGTTATGGTCCCTCAGCTTATCCACTGTAGAAAAGATCCTCCTACATTCTGCACATTCAAAACAACCTTCCTCCATTCCATGCACCTCTTTCTTTGGAGTGACAAGTTGCTCCTCCTTCTCTTTATGTTCATTTCTGTGTTTAATGAGGCTGCTGCGGTGCTGAAAGGAAAGGCCGCATTCTTTACAGGTGAGGGGCATGAGCTCATCCTCGTGTGCATGAAAGTGGCGGTGCAGGTTGAACGTCTCGCGGCGGTTGAACTTCTTCCCACACTCCTTGCACACCAAACGGCACTTTTTTGGCTTAGCTGCCGAATCAGCGTCCCCCCCTCGGTCTGCCTCCTCATCATCTTCAACCACATCCTCTATCCCGTCCGCGTCTCCCACCAGCTCCTCCAGTTCCTTCTCTGTGCTCTTCTTATCATTGTCATGTGAGTTTTCCTCTTTGTGAACCTCTGTAGCATCAGCAACAATGTTATCATCAACATGTGCACCCTGCTGCACTTTTTCAGCACTCTCTGTAACATTATCCATGTCTGGAAGAGAAAAAAGCACATCATAATAATAACTTATTTAAACAACAAACAACCTAACTGTTGATAACTAAACAAACTGCATGCAACTAACACGGCTATCCACTTTGAGTACAGATAACAGTCTACAGTGCAGGATGTTAGCTTGGTTTTGTTAAGGTAAATAATGTTAGCAGAGTTGACAGGGTGTACTGAACCTTTAATGAGAGGTACAGCCCAGGTTAGCCTGGACGCTAAAGCTAACAGTAAAATACATTAACAACGTTAGCATACCACACTTATCATTTTCCTTCCTCTGTGATTTCGCCTCCTCATCGTCATCTTCAGTTTCGGACCAGTCGAAAGCCCGCTGTTCGCTGCCAGCAGCCTCGGCCATTTTTTCAGCCAACGTTAGGTCCTCCGGCGAATTACATGTCGTTTTGTCAGCTCCAGCACCGGACTCGACACTAACCTCAGAATGGCTGGCAATATAACAGCCGTCGTTACCAACATTGGCTCTCCGCTCATCGTCGGGGCTCTCCGCGGTTTTATTACATGTTGTTTCGTCTCTCTGATTTAAGCCGCATCCCGACTCCACCGCCTCGGTCTTCTCCCCAGATGTTTCCACCTCCTCCGCAGGGGATTTCTGTCGTTTTGGAGACTCCGTTGGGTCTACGGCGGCCATGTTTCACCCATGCACCCCCTTGTCCAGAGCACACAAGGATCACGTTAGCCAGCATGAACAAGGAATGACATTTCCGGGCAAAACTTTCAAAATAAAACACTTATTACTAACAAACGACTGTAGTTCATCATTCAGAAAACACAATTTGAAGCCTTAAATTATAACTTTCCCTTTCTACTGCTGCTGCGAATCTGTTGTTCAACACACCAAGTACTCTCTTCACAACTTAATTAATTCAACATAAACTTTTCAACATAACCATTAACAATACATTCACATTTTTATACGTTCTGTGACAAATTCACAAGTGATCTGCTGGGTTTATTTGCGATCCATATCTGGCTTTTATTAAAGTTTAGTTACATTTCATCGGAACAGTAGCTATCTACAAAATATAGCTTGTGCAAAACTACGTAGATGATGGCAATATGCTGTTTCTTAGCAACTATCTACAAACACATCCATCATACTGCATGCAAGATTATAATAAATAGTCCCCACATACTTATGTATGCGTTTAAGTTCCACCAGAAACATATGATTTAAAGTCTGAAGCCTACTCTGAGGTTTATGTCTGATGTTTTTTTTTGTTGTTTTTTTTGTTTTGTTTTTCATATCAGCAGAACTGGTGAACTTTTTAAAATGTAACATTTTTGCCTCAAAACGCACTGAACAGAACACAGTCTAACTTTATTGTCCAACCAAAGTTGGAAAAGTTTATGCCATGACACTTAAAAAAGCACAAGCATACATTAGCAGGTAATTACAATAGCTGTATAACTACAATGTATGGTAACAACTGCAGATTACAAGTACTTGATGACAATGTAGTTAGTGTATCAGGAGATTTGAGACAGTACTGAACTAGCAAGAGCATCAGGAGCTTCACAGCTCTGCTGCAAAGCATGTACAGTAACATGCATACTAAACATCAGCACCTACAGTATGTTGTTGTCTGGGTATTGAAAGTCTGATTAGTGAAGTTTTCACTCCACAAAATTTCTCACAAAGTCTTTTAGCACAACATACGTATGTCTGAGGAATCAAGCTAATGTTAAGGCCAACCCATTATCTCATGTGTCTAATTATCTCATCCATTTCAGTCCTCTTCAAAGACAAATTTATGTGTGAGATGGATCACTGGTTTGGAGTGGGAAGTAAAATTCCAAACAACTCAGTTTATTTTCACAGAAATACTGTCAATAGAAAAAGAGCATAATTTCTTGTCACATATTGATGATGATGTGCAGTTTGAGTTTTTAAGTGCTATCTCCTCAGCGCCGTCTTCTGCGCCTGTGATCAACAGCTCTTCCTCGCCTTGGCCTCTGCACACTTCCATTTGTGTCTGTGGGTGGATCAGAGGGAAAAGTGCCACGTATGTCAGGGGACGATGGTGCAGGTACCACAGCAACAGCTGACTGATTATTTGGATGTTGGGTGATCTGCGGCTGCTGCTGTATTTGTGTTTGGTGCTGTTGCGACTGCTGCTGTACAACGTGTGACTGCTGCTGATGCTGTAGCTGTGACTGCTGTGGTGTTTCAATCCGCTGTTGTTGTTGTTGTTGTTGTTGTAGTTGTTGCTGCTGCTGCTGTGGTTCTATATGCTGCAGCTGCTGCAGAGCTGGCTGAGGCTGTAAGTGCTGTTGAGATGTTTGTGATTGATGAGCTTGTTGTACACGATGTTGCTGTGGCTGTGGTTGTTGCTGGGCCTCAAGCACTCCTAACAGCCTTTGTAAGAGGACATTGTTTTGTTGTAGACTGACTGCTAATGCTTCTTGCGAAGCAACAAGTGTTCTCATGTCCTGTCTGAAACCTTCCCCAAACTCCCGCAGACTCTTTTCTACCCGATTGCCCAGTTGAATTGCTGCTTCTCCTAACCCTCGCAGCTCATCTTCAAGCCAGGAGCTGCGCGGAGGGGCTTCAAGAGGACCCTGCTGTGCTCCAAGTGATGGCTGAGGACTGCTGGGCTGAGGACTGCCATTGAGGAAAGGAGCACTGTAGAGTGGGGAAGGAGGCAGCCAGCGTTCAGATGGAGGGGGTGGTCCAATTCCCAGACCCAGTCCTAATCCTAATTTGTCCTCCATGCTGTTTTCTACTGGTTCACACTCAGGCTCTCCCATGTCTCTCTCACGCTCAGGATTGTCCTCGTCTTTCTCCAAACCATCTCGCTCTGATCCTTCCACTCCTACACCTGTAAAAAAAAGAAACATTGTAAGTGGACATAACACAATGGATATTAGTTGCATCTATAAATTCTACAAAGAAATGCAGCTGTGTAATTTAATTCTTAATTTCACCTGTATCTGAGTCTGGGAAACATGGAAAACTGGGCTTTGGTCGGATGTTTTGCTTTTGCCTGGCTTGCTGAAGCCTGGGGCTTGGCTGGGAAGGACGTCCGAGCATTGAGGCCCCTCTGCTGGATGGCAGGTAACAGCTGCGATGGCGGGCATCTGCCAGCCTGCCTCCATTGCGCCTCTTTAAGTCGTCCCAGCGCTTCTTCACCTCTCGAAGAGTACGTGGGACTCTGGACACAGCATTGACTCTCTCTAGGATTCCAGCCCAGATGCGCTCTCTCTCCCGCCGTCTGAGCCTCCCCGCAGGGCCAAAGAGCTCTCCTTCACACCGAGTGACTTCTGACACCAACACCTCCAGCTCTGCTCCACTGAAACGACTCTTTCTTTTTCCTGCACCACCAGCAGCCAGTGCAGCTGACATAGCTCTGTCTGTAGAGAGACAGGTGAGAGAACAGCCCAAAAGGGAGAGGAAAAATATCCAGCTGAATATAATGTACAAGAAAGAGAAATGCGTTTAAACAATGTCAGTATTATTTTTTACTCTTCTAATCCAAAATACATTCAACTATAACTATTTTTGGCAAGCCATGCAGCATGAAGATCAAGTATTTATCTCAATTTTATTAATTAGTTAATTAATTAGTGTTCCTTGAGTGACTATGAATGTTCAGGTTATGAAATAAATGTTCTCTGCAAAATGCTGTAGGTGTTTGCATAGATGAAATGTATTATGCATATCCTGACTGTGCTTCTAATAAAATATATTTATGAAGTTATTCTACAAGTGTATATATTATACACACTGTTCCCATTAGGATCTACATGCTCTGCAGAAGCTTATAAATAAATAAGAAAATGGTCAATCCAATTTCCCATAATGGTCTCAATCTCATTCAGGCTTACTTTGTTCAATGGACAAGAGGTCATCTGAGGACATGCCGGGTGCCATGATGTTCGGATGCACCACTACCACATTGAAGGGGAGCCCCCCAGGTAATCCACTGTTCTGGTCACAGCTGCCCTCCGAGTCCTCATCCTCCCTGGGGAAGCCGTTTTCTGAGGCTCCCCCTCCAAAGGGTCCCTCCGGAGACTCCACTTTGATGTGCATGGGAGGTGATTGCTCGTACAGCAGCCCCCCCTCCTCGTAGTACTCAGTCATGGGTCAGACCTGATTTACAGCAGAACTGACTGGCGGGCCAATTCTGATTCTGACAGCTGCTTCCCCATCAACACGAGTTCAAGGTATAACTGAGCCTACTGCTAAAGACATTGCAAGTCTTCAGTATACTGCATCAGATAACTATGAGCTGCCACACACACAATGGGGGGATTTCCTATAAACTCTAGGAACTATAAACTAAGTATCTATAAACCTGTTTTTAAACAGTATTCTTCAAATCATTCAAGTCATTGTTGAGAAATACAATCATGTTGTGTATGGTTGGAGCAAGAAGTCCACAGACTTTTCCAGCTAGCTGGAGCCCCTTAAATCCATTTCTGTCATTCTCATATATACTGATAAGTTACTGAAAACATCTGTACATTGTGTAAAAACACCTGGAGCAGGCTGACAGCTACATCTGAACGTCCAGCTGTGTTACAGTGAGAAGCATCATCCAGGCAGAGAATCGCCTCCAGAGCTGAAATACAACAACAAAACATAACACTGCTTACAACTGCGTAGCATTTTAGAATAGCCACGTTCGTATTTCTCAGTGATGCTGACTTCTGTATTCTGTCGCATCGATGCGCATTTTTTTCTGCACCACATCCGCAATGGTTGCGCATTCCGCATACATTAGGTGCTGATCTTGCAATGGAGGCTAGCTGTTAGCTAACGGCTAACCACAGCTTCAGGTAAAGCAACAGCTTTATCTGAACTGCCGGAGACAACTGGGCGGAAATGAAGAGAAAGCTGACGCTGTTTTGTGTTTCTTACCTCATGATAACGGCACATGGGAGGCAAAACAAAACCAAAACACAATTGGTGCAGCTGTTAGCTCAGCAGCCGATACACATACCGAGCACTGTCGCTTTCTGTTGACGTCACTGAAGGGGGTATGTTCAGGACCAATCACAGTTCCGACATGTTGCACAAACGGACCTTGGTTTCGTTAGTACTGGTCACGTAGTTTTCTCTAATTTCCTAGAGAGGGACTGATATGATATATGTTAATTCAAAGAAAGGGTCCCCGGAGGATCTGAGTAACTCTGTCCTAATTATAGGGAAATTGAGAAACTGTTCAGATTAATTAATTCTAATTAAAACAAGACCATCTGAACAGTATGACATTTATCTAGAGGCAGTTCAGCATACAGAGAATATTGATGTATAATATAGAGAATAAAGTCTCTTGATGATGATTTAAAGAAGAAGAACTTTTCACAAAACTCAAATAACAGCCACAGTATGTTGTTTGTATTTCCCCTATAATCCGTTCAATCATAATCAGTTCACATAGTATCTTTCAGAAAACTTTCTAGGACATTATTTGGAATGTACCCAAGATTAAAAAAGTAAATCATTTGAGTTTGTAACTAGAATCATTACTGACATCTAAAGTAATCTAAAAGTAATAAGTTGCAGATTTACATTGTGACAAATCCCTGTTAATTAATGACCTGTTTATGTCTAATATCACTGCAACTGCACACTTGAACCTGACGAATGATTTTGGTTTGTCTGTGTCCCCTCCACCTTTGTCTATCGTTGTGTTCCTATTTTATATTCAGTGTTTAATTCATAGGTAGTTATTTAAAGACACCAGTACTGAGGATTGTATTTCTTAAAAATAGATAACTCATGGAAAGTTGTGTGTTCTTCTCTTTGACCATGCTGCTGTTTCCCAGGTGGTATAATGTTTAAACATAGTGCACAGTGCATGGGAAAATCCTTGAGAGAGGGTTAGATAAAGAATTGCAGAGTTAGCTACTCAACTGGTAGGCTATAAAAACCCACTGTGTCCAGTCCTGTGGTGTGTGAGCTCAGTAGGTGCAATCATGAAGTACTTCATTCTCCTGGCCTTGTTTGCTGCAGCTTGTAAGTTGTATATTTTGTTTGAGTTAAAAAATTTTTTAACAAGGATAAGTTTGAGATTCATAAAATTATTATAACTCTCTGTTTATATTAAAGTTGCTGCTCCCATTGAGGATGAGGATGACAAGATTGTTGGAGGCTACGAGTGCAGAAAGAACTCTGTTCCCTACCAGGTGTCTCTGAACGCTGGCTACCACTTCTGTGGAGCTTCCCTGATCTCCAGCACCTGGGTGGTGTCTGCTGCTCACTGCTACAAGTCGTGAGTATGAATTCAAATCAAACCATAAGCCTGTAAACATTCATAGTGATGGTACTTTTAATGTATTTTTCACCCTCATGCCTCTCTCTCAGCCGCGTCCAGGTACGTCTTGGTGAGCACAACATCGCTGTCAACGAGGGCACCGAGCAGTTCATCAACTCTGCCAAGGTCATCCGTCACCCCAGATACAGCAGCCGCAACCTGGACAATGACATCATGCTGATCAAGCTGAGCAACCCCGCCACCCTGAACAACTACGTCCGCACCGTTTCCCTGCCATCCAGCTGCGCCAGCTCTGGCACCCGCTGTCTGATCTCTGGATGGGGCAACACCAGCAGCTCTGGAAGTCAGTAAATCACTGCAAAGATATCTGAGAGACCCTAACCCCTAACCCCAACTTGGTAGAAGTTAGTGCATGAACAATATCACATCCTGTTTTTCCTCCTCTCTAGGCAACTACCCTGATCGCCTGAGGTGTCTGGATGCCCCCATCCTGAGCGACAGCAGCTGCAGGAGCTCCTACCCTGGACAGATCACCTCCAACATGTTCTGTGCTGGATTCCTCGAGGGAGGCAAGGACTCCTGCCAGGTACCAGCTAAAGTCTTCATCACTGTTTCTCTAAGTGGATGCAGCAAACTTCAGAACACCTCTGCTCACATCTTATTTTCTATCTGTGTCCTATCAGGGTGACTCTGGTGGCCCCGTGGTGTGCAATGGTCAGCTGCAGGGTGTGGTGTCCTGGGGTTACGGCTGTGCCCAGAGGAACAAGCCTGGAGTCTATGCCAAGGTCTGCAACTACAACTCCTGGATCCGCAGCACCATGTCCTCCAACTAAAGAATCTCAAACTATGACAGTTTCAATAAAAATAAATTATTAACATGAACCTCACTCTGTCATTCCTTGTTTTGTGCTGTGGAATAAGTCAATGAAGAGAAGCAGCAGGAAGGGAAAGATCTATGTCCAAAATAAATCATTTACAGCCCTGCATAAATATGAAAAATAAATAAAACATGAAAAATATAATTCTGCTTATCAAAAACAACTAAAGGTGCTGCAAAATGGAAAAGTTTTCAACAGTATTTGAGATAAAAATACCTAATGAATCAAAAATGAATAGGATATATGTGTTTATGCACTTTAACTATTAAAATGTCGAAACGGCAAATAAAAATTCAGGAATTGTACAAAACTGCAGGCCATTAAAGGGATTTTGAGAGAATGACTACCGAAGATTTCTTACTTCACAAATAAAGTTGCACAGCAGCTGCATGTTGTTCAAATCAGTCAAATATATAACAATGTAGGGTAACTCACTCACTCACCTTGGTTGATAAATAACATGTTTATTTTATCATACTTCGGATATTTAAAACATATGCATATATATATATATATATATGTTTATTTTATCATACTTTGGATATTTAAAAAAAAAAAAAAATATATATATATATATATGCATATGTTTTAAATATATATATATATATATGCATGTGTTTGCTTCAGTTCACCAGCGTGACAAAAGAGGACAGTGATAAATATTGTATGGAAACCTATCATTTCACAATAAGATTCAGATGATGTGTCATCACAGCACCAACAGCTGTTAAAAAACATGAGCATTGCAAACAATCCCAGAGACATATTTGAGGACAAGTATTGACCCCAGTAAGAATAGAGAAATGAACAAAACATAAATACATTATTGATATTAAAGATGTGTGACAGTAATAGCACAGAAGAATTTCTTGTACGTTCGCAATTAGACTTCATTTAAATAAGCAGTTTGAACATTTCACACTAGTCACTACGTTGTTTGTAAGTAAATGTTTTATGAATCACGGCTTTAGGAGAGACAATTAAGTAAAAGTCTCTAAATAGAAGTTTGGGTGAAAGCATGAACACTTTAAATCAAACATAGACCAGAGATTAATACTTATGGGTGAAAGTTTGTGTTTTCCATCAAACTATGGAAACTCTTGCATGTGGCTATGAGATAAACCGCTTTAGTACAATCCACTGAAATATAAAATGTTGAAGAAATAATAAAATTTAACATGAGTTTATTTAAACTCCTACAATCATTTCAAACAAAGCCATTAGTTAATTGTTTTTTTTTTCTTCCATAAACCGTGTGTACGTGACTGGTGGTGGGACTAAAGCATACATTGTCAATATGTTGGCCCTCGTATTCCAGATGTGTTTTCACACAGGTTGGTCAGCGACATAAAGATGAACATGGAGGTTCATGTCCTTGGCCAATCAGATAGCAGGGGGACAGAGTGGGTTTAAAAGCGCCTGCCGTCGAGCTAAACAGACACTGAGGCTCAGACACAAAGCACCATGAAGGCTTTCATTCTACTTGCTCTGTTCGCAGTGGCATGTGAGTATCAGCCTTGGTTTTTCCTCAGTTTTTAAAGTACATTTGTTCATTTTATGACATTATGATTTAAAAAAAAAAATACTGTTTAATTGCCTGCAGAAAATAACATCTGGTTAATTGTCTACTTTTATAAGATGCCGCTCCCATTGAGGATGAGGATGACAAGATTGTTGGAGGCTACGAGTGCAGAAAGAACTCTGTTCCCTACCAGGTGTCTCTGAACGCTGGCTACCACTTCTGTGGAGCTTCCCTGATCTCCAGCACCTGGGTGGTGTCTGCTGCTCACTGCTACAAGTCGTGAGTATGAATTCAAATCAAACCATAAGCCTGTAAACATTCATCGCGAAAGTACTTTTTTCTGGTTCAAACTGGAATAATTGTTTCTCCAAACACATGACTTATACTGGTCACCTCACTACAAGTGAAGATGAAATGTATTTTTTTACCCTCATGCCTCTCTCTCAGCCGCGTCCAGGTACGTCTTGGTGAGCACAACATCGCTGTCAACGAGGGCACCGAGCAGTTCATCAACTCTGCCAAGGTCATCCGTCACCCCAGATACAGCAGCCGCAACCTGGACAATGACATCATGCTGATCAAGCTGAGCAAACCCGCCACCCTGAACAACTACGTCCGCACCGTTTCCCTGCCATCCAGCTGCGCCAGCTCTGGCACCCGCTGTCTGATCTCTGGATGGGGCAACACCAGCAGCTCTGGAAGTCAGTAAATCACTGCAAAGATATCTGAGAGACCCTAACCCCTAACCCCAACTTGGTAGAAGTTAGTGCATGAACAATATCACATCCTGTTTTTCCTCCTCTCTAGGCAACTACCCTGATCGCCTGAGGTGTCTGGATGCCCCCATCCTGAGCGACAGCAGCTGCAGGAGCTCCTACCCTGGACAGATCACCTCCAACATGTTCTGTGCTGGATTCCTCGAGGGAGGCAAGGACTCCTGCCAGGTACCAGCTAAAGTCTTCATCACTGTTTCTCTAAGTGGATGCAGCAAACTTCAGAACACCTCTGCTCACATCTTATTTTCTATCTGTGTCCTATCAGGGTGACTCTGGTGGCCCCGTGGTGTGCAATGGTCAGCTGCAGGGTGTGGTGTCCTGGGGTTACGGCTGTGCCCAGAGGAACAAGCCTGGAGTCTATGCCAAGGTCTGCAACTACAACTCCTGGATCCGCAGCACCATGTCCTCCAACTAAAGTCACTTTACAGTCATTTGTTGTGAGACAGGAGAGTGCATATCCTTTTAATAAACAAATAAAACCCAATACTCATTCATCTGCTTGGCTTCTTGGCAGAGCACTACACATTGCACTCAAGCTCATGGACTTGGGCCATTAAAACACTGAACAGCTCTTTAATTAACTCTGAATTGAATAAACCTATTCTTTTAGTGTACAGCTATTAAATGTGACACTGTATTCAAAATGCTAATTCACAAGTCACTTCTCTTAACAAGCAAGAAAAAGAAAAATATCTTCTTGTCTTCAGCATCATATCATCACTAGGAATATATTGGGATGCAGCAGCAGCAGCAGCAGCTCATGGTTATCTTCAAAGTCCTTCAAAACTTAACCTAGAAATAACAGGAACAATCAAATGTGAATACAAAAGTGACCTTTATTGTTTTCAACTATAGCATAAAACTATATACAACAGATCAGGGTGTCCAGGTGGGAAACATCTTTTGAAATATCTTTTTGTGAATTCAGTAAAAATCAAGCCTGACATCGAAGAAGGAAAATGTAGTTTTTCAGAAGCAGTGAACAGCGATGGATGATCAACCAAACTCACGTGATGCAACAGGTGTGGAATGTGCATTTGTCAGTATATTGTCTAGAAAATTTAGCATCACTTGATTTCAGCCATCATATTACAGGTTCACAATAGAGCAAACTCTTTGACAAACATGTTGCATTACAGAAGCCGGCATTCACATTCGTGTTGTAGACCAGAGGAAAACAAATTTGGAATCAGTACAACACATCCTCTGAAACATTTTGAGTAACAGACTGACTTATAGTCAAGAAGAGATCTGTATGATATTGATATTTGATATTAAACTCACCTTGTTCATACAGTAAATTAATGCATCAAGAATGATGAGGGGAGAGTGTTTGAAATTGTAAAACTATATATGGACTATTCACTTCATTGGTCATAACATTCATGGACAACATGACAAGAAAAATCTGAACATTTAATATATACTCTTGGATTTATTGCTACGTTTCAAAAATTTGTTTTTGTCAACTTTGCCGAACATAACTTTAATGGCAACAAGGAGTTTATGAGTTAATTCAATGTGACCTCTGATCAGTTATTGATTTGAGGCGAGGAGGATGAAGTGTAGCAAGAAAAAGAATGAAGATTCAAAATGTTTCAGTGGTTATTTCACTCATGAAAAATAAATATTTGTTAACTGAACTATGGTGTTTTATGATCACCCAATTACGTACAGTACAATTTCTGTGTTGAAATATATTGTCATAATAGCCAATTATATTATTCTGGGGCTGGAGTAGGGTTGCAGCCCCCTCCGCCCTTTAAGAAATTTTACATTTTCCCTCCATCTACATCTCCTCTGATATTTTTGATTGGCAGAAATGTAAATAAAGAAACCAAAGAAAGCTTGCTGCCTAATGAACTTCATGAAAACAAACAGCCTCATTATTTTGTACATTCAGTGTATATCTTCATAATTTGGAAACTGACACACGATTGGTTTAATAAACAACTGAACAAATCTTTCAAATCAATGGAGTTGCCTTAACTTTTCCAGGTATGTGTAACAGACAATGGTTTTATATTTTCTGCTCTAGGACTACATGGCACCTGTGTTAAACAATGTAAAACAGTTGATGTACATAAAGAAGAGGAACCAGATCTCCATTGAGGGTATTACAACTGGCCTCTAGCATGCTGCAAATAGTGGTGATAAAGGTCTGAAATATCAGGATATGCATTACCACACACAGCGCACTTAATGCCATCTGAAGACCCTTCATTTGATATGCTTGCATGTCTTTTCACAGTTCTCAAAGGTGTAATGGACTTTCCAAGTGCATTTTCAGCTACTCTGTCGTGACTGGTTTCTCTATCTTGGATTAAATGTGTGCTGCTGGGACACAAGGAAGATTTACCCAAATCAAGACCCTGATTTTGGACAAAAGAAACCATGGGCTCTAGCGGCGATGCTTGAGGAGTTGGGTCTGGATGTTTGGATAAGGGGCTCGGAGGAGAGCTGCTGTCCCCGGGTTCAGGACGTAATATTACTATATGGTTGTTTGTGGATGGGCTAAATGTTTTCTTGTTAGATTGTGTACTATGATCATCTATGGATAAATCGAAAGCAGAGTCCTTGTGCGTGTCTTGTGTTGAGGAATGGCAGAGCTGGTGATTGAACAGCAAATCTAGAGTCTTAAAGCTGCACCTACACTGCTCACATTGATAAGGCAGAAACACTTTCTTAGGTCTGACCTGAATCCACTGGAAGTCTGGGTGCTCGCTCATGTGTTTTTTGTAAGGCTCTACAAACCGAAAACCTTGCCCGCACTGAGGACAAGTGAAACGGCCGCGTCTCTGTCGGTGGACTCTCTGATGATGCCAGAGTTTTTTCCAGTTTTCTAGAGTCTTACCACAACAGGCACAAGTGTAACTTTGACCCGGGGCGTGGGTCAGCATGTGGGCTCTGAGTCTGCCCATGTGTCTGAACAGTCGCCCACAGCTTGGACATAGATATTTCCTGGGGTCAGATCTGTTATCTAGTTTGTTTAACTTTGACACGAGGTGTGAGAGATGGTGAGCCGGTATGACGGTGGACTGGAACGGTTTCTTTAGGTTAGCAAAGCGTTTCTTGCGGCTGGTTTGTGTCTGTTTTTTCTGCTCTTCGCAGTTTGCAGCTGCGAGGGGAGAAACTGAATTGTATCCTGACGAACACCTTAGAGCAGGCACTGTGTACTGTATTAAAGACATTGTCTCTTCCTCCTTTATCGCAGAGCTGGAGGTGGTTCTCTCTCCTCTACACTGATTGCGATGGGTATTAAATTCAGAAAGCACACCAAACAGCTTGTCACAATACAAGCAGCGATAAAGCTTGGCACCGGTATGGGCTCGCATGTGACTGTTGAACTCCTGCAAATGGTCAAAAACATTCTTGCAGATGTGGCACGTGTACGTTAGGGAAGGCTTTACGCGTCTGTTGGGTTGCGAGTCGTCGCCACTTCCCGTAGGTCTACATGTGTGATTCTTTGCATTGCTATAATGAGTGAATGATTTTTCACAGCGTGTGCAGTTGTAACGCTTCACAGACCAGTGTGTCAGCTCGTGAACGCGGAGGAAATAGGCCTGACCGAAAGCTTTGCCACATATATCACATTTATAAGGCTTCTCCCCTGTGTGGACACGCACATGTCTTATGAGGGCAGACTGAAATGGAAATGTTTTACCACAGTACTGACACACTTTTCTTTCTCTTTTTTCTGAAGAAACTGGGGTATTAAGTCCCTCTTCACGGTTGTTCCCTCTGCTCCGTTTCTCTAAATTTTTGTTCTCGGAGTCCTGATCCAGCTCATGTGCATGCATCTGCATATGAGAGGCATACTCAGAGCAAGAGAATTTGATCTTGCAAAAAGGGCATTTTTGATATATATTGCTCTTTCTGTGCGTCTTGAGATGAAGATTTAAGTTTGAGTTTTTGCTAAAACCTTTCCCACATTCAGGACATTTGAAAGGTCTCTCCCCTGTATGAATCCGTTGATGGATGATGAACTGAGACAGAAATTTAAATGTACGACCACAGTAACCACATTTCAACAGATTTTTACCTCCTTTTTTAGTGTTGGTCACATTTGTGTTGGCATTTGTCTGATTATCCGTGTTGCCACTGTCTGCTTTTTGTTGAGTTTCAGTACTGCTTTCATGACTTTCTACAAGTTGCTCGCTTGGTAACAACACATTATTTATTCTCCTCCTTCTCTTGCCGCCTCTCTTGCGCCTGAAAATGTTTCGCTGACTGTTGGGACCCTCAGATTTAACTGTAGTGTTGGCACTGTATTGTAAAGATTTAGGAGTGTTTGACTCTGACACAGGATTTAAATGATTCAGCTCTACCTCTATATTCTCAGTTTTCACAGCAGGGGGGCTCCCGACAGGTTTAGGTGTTTCCTCAGAGGATGTTACGACATCAGTAATAGATGCCTCTGTATTCTGCGACTTAGAGTTCTTTGGAGAGTCCAAGGGGCTTTTTGATTGTGACTCCTTGCTGTCATTCATGTCCACTGATTGTTTTGTTTTAGTTTCATCACTTTGAGTAGGACCTGCCAAGTTTAGACTGTTTAAATCTTCTGAAGGAGTAACTTCAGGCTCAGCTGCTGCTTGGGAACACACTTTTCTTTGTGGTAATGCACCTTCCTTTAGTTCTGTTTGTTGCTCTTGACCTACTGCAGACTGTGGGGAGCAATGGCCTTCTTTTCCATCTGTATCAGTCTCTTGTTTGTCAGCATTTAGTTCCACCTGCTTATCTGTCTCTGCTCCCTCCACACAGCCTGTGTCATTGCTCAACACCGACAAGGTTTCCTGGGAATCATCCAGTCTGGACAGTTTAGATGGAACTTGGTGATCAGCCAGTTTAGGCCTTCTTCTTTTAACACCTAGTAAGTTGGATGCGTGACTACTTTCTGGAGGAGTCATTTCAGTTCGCTTGGGGTCTACCTTGCTATCAGATTCAGTGCTTCCATCTTGTGTCAAAGGTTGCTTCTCTCCTCTACTCCTCAGCCTACGTACAAGACTGTTCATATTATTAGCATGAGCAAAAGCTGCAGATGTGATTTCTGTTTTTTTTGGCCTTCCTCTTTTTCTTTTTTGCAGAGTGCCTTTTACTTTACCATCAGAAACAGTATGAGGATCAGAATTACTTATTAAAGGACCATCTACAGTGTTAGGCATATCACCACTGCTGTGCTTTTCTAAGCATGCTGGCAAAGGTATTGTGGTGCTGATCTCCTTGTGCTGAACTGCATCAGGACCAGCAGTATCTGGATCTTTTTTGTCTTCAGTCAACAGAGATTTTCTTTTACGAGGGCGCCCGCGTTTTCTGTGGGCATCCATGGGCTGTCCATGACTGTCTGTTGTCGAGCTGCACACAATCACAGGCGTCTCTTGAGGTTTTGCATCCATCCCTACCTGTGATGATATGCACTCACTCTGTTGACTATTTGTTCTGCTTTCTGTTTCTGACTTAACATGGCCATCAGGCCCCAGGTGTACCGATGAGCGGCACTCAGGGGCAGTTTCAGTCAGTTCGTTTGCTTTCGTTTCCTCTCCCCACCTGGTGTCCAGGTCTTCCTCACTGCAACTCTTATCTTCAGGTATCTGTGAAAGAAAAAAACAATATATATATATATATATATATATATATACATTTATACATACAAAAATAAAAACATAAAAGAACAAAAGAACATAAATGTTAATGTCTCTATAATTTGTTCAATAATATAGATATCCAGACAAATAAATACATCTATCAAAAGAGTCAAAATATATAATTAAATCTGTTGTTCAATTTACATACAGACTTCACATGCCATAGGACCAAAATAAACATTACATTATAATTCAAAGCCCTTCAGTTTTAGAAGTTTTAATGCAGACATTCACCCATATTCCATTTAAAAAAGTTACTCCAAAGATTATGCTGTATACTGTAACAGACGGCATAATTTTTGGGGGGGATATGTCTATTTTTCTTTCTCACTAGCTACCTGCTTGCAGTCCGAAGGAGCATGAATGGAATTGCGAGGATGAGGTGTCACAGAAGTTAACTCAGAGACTGTATTTTGGTCACTGCTTCCTCTGCTGAAGGACATTTTACTCCCCATGTCAAGAGTCTGTGGATTAAACAGTGACAAGGAGGTTTTAACTCATAAAAAACAGCGACACGTATTCCTACAGCAAAATGCTGTCACGTCACAATGCCTGGACTAAAATGTAATTTTCCCGCGCTGAAAAAAAAAAAAAAAAATCAAAATTGTGAATACGATGCATGCTATGCTAATCTGTCACAATAACTTAGAAGGGACTGGCTGCATTATGACTGTTCAAAGGTAATAAAGTCCCCTGACTCTTTCACATCAGTGATTAAGGTACAGGTGTCTACAGTGAAGCACGATGCAAATCTCAACCAGAGAGAAGCCTGCTGTCTCACTGAGCTGCAGACTCACATTTATTTAAGATATATTGCTTTTGCAGAACTCAGCCAAACTTGAAAGATCAAATTTTCCATTAGTGTAGTCTGTCTTATGATAGTTGTCTTCTTTTTCTAGGCTTTTTCCAACACAGCAGGGATCACATCAATGATCCCTGACGAATGATGACATGAATTATGATTGCACTCTTTTATATAGTTATGGGTGTGTTGCAATCCAACAAACCAAACCATTACAAGCTGTAACTTGTAACTTTCCTGACCCCAATGAAAAACAGGCTCAATCGGTATCACAAGGAGCTAGAAAACCTCTAAGTCCACATAGTACAAATACAATGGGTGAAAACTAAAGGAATATGTGAAAAATTAGTTGAGAAACAGGATGAAAAATGCCCTCTTAGGACACAAGGGGTCACTGAATGAGTATGAATATGATGTGAATTATATGGTACAGCCTTCACAGTCACCAGATCTCAACCCAGTTGAACACCTATGGGAGATTTTGGACCGACTGGCCCTCCCTGTGTGCAAGTTATTCTGAGTGTACAGGAGAGCGTGGGACATGCATGTTTCAGGACTTGGCTCACAGGCTAATTACAGTCCAGCCAATGAAAAGTACGAGAAACTTGCTACTTAAAGAAATTATTAAATTATAAGAAGTGACTGATGAATATGAACACCTTCCCATAAAAAAAAAGTTTCAAGGAAATTAAAAGAATCATTCTTTTGAAAAAATATAGTAAAAATATCTTAAAAGGTGTGTTTTTCCACTCTGAAGTTTTATTTATCATCTGTGGCACTCAGTTTTTTAATGCAGGGCCAAATAACTTCAACATATGATAGAACTATATTAATACTACACAGAATCAAAATTTGGATGCAAGAAAGTGAAAACAACATCAATTTGATGACTATAAAGCATTCAGCAACCATTTACATGAATGCAAATCACTCTTCAGGTATCTTGGATGTTCAGTACAACTTTCAACCCAATCCAGTCAACAATAAGTGGATGTTCGGCTTAGAATACACATACAATGAATCACAATGATGAAATTTAGCTTCAAGAACCAAACTTCAAAATTGTACATGTCAAAAAGTATTTGGACATGACATGAACTGGGAAAAGTTGTGAGTTTAGGATGAGTTACCATGCCAAGACCCCACAGCTGTTCACAACAGGTCACACGTTACATACACTTTAATGATACCAATTCTGAACCTGAGAACATGCTCTGTACCAAGGCTCAAAGTGTGGTGTTGCAGTTTGAAAAGCACTAGGTGCACATAACAAGGTCATGCAAAAATAATCTGGTTTTGTGCAGATACACAGTGGTTGCTATAGTCAGCTTTCCTTTCATCTCCTCTGCATCATCTCTAATGCACACACAGGAGCAAATGGCTTTTGACTGTGGTTACCAATACTAACACACAAACCCACTGAGACATAATTGAGTCCAATTGAACTACATAATATATATGTTAAACACCTATCGCCAATCCGACAGCTTCAGCACCCAGCTATCAGTTATTATTAAAAGCTACGAGCAGCATGACTAACACTGTAGGCGTTATCTTTCGGTAGGCCAGATTGCTAGCTGCGGTTATTCAACATTACAGGCCACACTAACCCAACAATTAACTATAATGTCAACTCATGAGTCACTCTGCATAGCTAGTAAAACGTATGTAGGCTATTTCTCAACAGTTGTAACAAAATGTGATGGGCGGTAGTAAACACAAACTGCTTGCCTGCGTGGGAGAGAGTCAAGACTGGTGTCTGCGTAGCCATGCACTGACCGCTGCTCCACAAGCTAGCTACTGGCTAGCTCAAAGCTAACATATGCTCTGTCGTTACTTTGCTGCTTGGCACTTTTTCTTTACAAGCGTACATTAGGCGTGGAGCTGAGCTGTCAATGTGGACCTAGCTTTCTCTTCTTTTCAGGGCAGTTAGCAGCAGTAAGCCACTCGACATCCACGCACAAAGCAAGCCCGAAGAGTGGCAATCACGGCGAGCGCACAGAGTGGATACTTAAGTGCTGTGGGAAATTTCGGAGTTACGGGTTCTTCAGCAGAAGTGACTTCAAAAGTGGCAAACATGACACCGAAGAGGGGGTTTATTGGCGATAGATGTATTGGTGGCATGTGAAGTCTAAGGACATACAGCTCTGAAGCTGGAAAAGTGATTCTACAACCGCCATTGTAGATTTTGCAGGTATATAAACTATTAACAATGTGCCTGACACTCTTGTTGGTTTTGCCGTTGCAAAGTTAAGCAGAGCGGGTCGGTGCCACATGTGCCGACAATATACATCCAAATGTATGTGTATCTGTTTCAGTTCTTCCACCCTAAAGTGTTTGGTGTCTGATGCTCGCATAAGAATTTGATATTACATGCACACAAACAGCACGCGAACGCCGCATGCACGTATTTGGATATCAGCCATTGATATTTACCTCATCATAAATGGACACACAACAGCGCCTTGTTTTTGCTTTGAAACGGCCCCCTCTGCTGGTGGCACAGACATTAGACACGAGTACATCACTGGGGAAAAGGTGCTTTCATCATCAGAAGTTTAGAGTAAAGATGTTAAATGAGGCACCAAATTAATTGCTAAAAATAATTAATGCATAATTCTAAATAAATAACTAAAATAACTTAAAAACTAATTTAATAAAAAAATGTTCATATCAAGTCTAGATAAGCACAACTTGAATTTGGGGAACACAAGTTGATTTGTCATGTTTCTTTCATTTTTCTGCCAGCAATTCAAATATCACTACATTCACACACTGCTAAAATTTAGATTTTAAAAACAAGGAATCATGGAATCATCTTGTTGAACTAATTATTGTTAATCTAAATTTTTGACTTATTCAGCTTCTGAACAAACTCATGATGTTATTTCTACAATGGAAAGTTTGTCCCAACACTATTGCAGAAGTTGCCACAAGTGTGTTGCACTTGCAGGTTGCTTTGCTTTCACCTTCTGTCCAGATCATTCCACACCATCTCAATGGGGTTTAATCTGGAGTTAAAGCTGCTCTCCCATCACTTAAATCCTCCATCTAGTTCTTTTCTTCTCATGTTATGGTTATCTTGCTGTCGGATGAACCCCTGACCAACCAGTCCTTTCCTTTTTCTATTTTGATTGCAATATACAACACTACTTCCTGCAGTACATTATTGTCCTAATAATGTATCAAAGGATGTAGTACATCTGTTTCTTCCTACACCACCTTTGTACAGACAGAGGGTTTCTAAGTCATCAACAAAAGTTGGGGCACCTGTTGGAAATACATTAGCTTAATTTACTTCTATTGCTGCAAGGAAGCGGTCAGTTAACCAATTTCTTAATGCCTGAAAAGGCCCATATTCTATGAAATTCATACAATTTTTCAGTTTTTGTTGACCTTAGCCTTCGTTTTGTTTTTTTGTTTTCCCTTTGGCAGTTTAGTGCTTATTTTTCTGTCATTTAAGGTTATTCAAAGGACTTGAACTACTGAAATTTCAATAAAAAAACTAAAAATGGGAGAGTTCTAAAACTTTTATAAACTCACTTGCATTTACTGTACTTGTATGCTATCTACTATACTTGTCAGGCACCATAAACTGCAATTACCTGTTACAGTATTACATGTGATTGGTTTAAATACTTGCACTGCTCGGGTGAAAAGCACTATAAATTCAGTCAGTTTATCATGTGAATAACCTCAGTAATAATATAGCAGGCTGCATTATCCAATAAATACACACACACACAGTTGGTTTGAAAATATAGTTTAATACAACATATACTGTATTCTTGAAGTCTGCTAAAACTGGTAAGAACACACACGGTACCGTGGTCAGCTCCACAGCCTCACAACACATTCTGATCATACTAAAACATATTTAAAAAACAAAAAAAGTTTTTAATGCAGTACCTGGTTACCCCATCATACATGAGTAAGCCATGAACATACATTTTGATAATGAACATTATCGATTTACATCTTCTATAACCATTGCAGGGGCAACAACTTTAGATTTGTGTCAACAGTCAATATGGGCCGTTTACTGTACTGGTGAGAATCCAGTTGAAATAAGATGCATGTTAGTTGTCACTATATATCCCACACGTATAAGTCTTTTAAAGTAGTTTGGAACATTGTGTTCCTGTGTGATGAAATCAGTGGATGCGGTTCAACCGGGTGACTGCTATCTTTATGCACTTGGTCCGTAATTAACATAAAATGTCACATGCAAACTGGAAGTGGCTCTCTAGTTTTGTCAAGTTATAATAGGAACAGATGAGGTTACTTGGTAAATCATCTCAGCAGGTTTGTCTGGTCCGCTTTCAACGATGTAACAATCATCATCGTCCATTTTCACTCCTGGTTTCCCATTCACAGGATCTGCACCTTGACCTCTGTCCAGACTTACAGCCACAACTTGGTTTTTCTTTATGTTACCAGCCAATGGAACATCCAGTTTAATGTCACCATTCATCTGAACAGGAACTGGGCTTACCAATGGTGTCACCCTCTTTAGTCTGAAATGCTGTTTGCCACCTCGCACTTGCTGTGCCATGAATTCCTGTGCTTTGATACACTTGTGCCTCTGAAGGAGCTGAGCAGTTTCAAAAGGAATTTGACAGACTCGACATGTGAACCCATTTTTTGCAGAGGATATCTGCATGGGTTTGCTCAATACACCTGATGCAGAGTTTGTGGGTGACTTCATCTGCAAGGAGGGAATGAAAGAAAGTCCCCTACCACTTGACTTGGTGGATGCACTCAGATTTGGACTCTGATTCTTTGATAGAAGGGAGACATTGGTATAAGGCTTGGATGTGCTGGGATTTCGACTGTATGTCTGCAGGAGTGGAGTGACACGAAACCCCTGAGTGCTTTTACTGTATGATCTGATATTCTGATTTTTCAATTGCAAGATGGAAGTGACACATGATGTCTGTATTCCTTTACTGGTTACACTGGGATTCTGCCTTTTTAGCTGTATAGAGGAAGGGACCTGAGGTTCCTGAGCACTCGGGTTCTGACTCCTATGTGTGCTGGCTTTGTTTGGCTTACCAAAATTCAGAGGTTTTGCAGTAATGAGTCTGAATTTGGTAGCAGTGTTGGGTGAGTTACAAACATGGAAGCGAGGCACTACCTTCTTGCTGGAGAGCAGCAGCCCACATCCTATACAGCCAGAAACTTTGTCTGTGACATGAGAGCTGTGGTGGGAGATGAGAGAGGTCTTTGTCACAAAACACTGCCCACATTTACCACAAGTGTATGGCTTTTTCTTGTTAAACTTGCGCACCGTATTTATCACCACGACTGGCTGGTAAAGTGTCCAAAGATCCACTGTTGGTGCACCTACACCTGCAAAAATATTCTGCATGTCTGTTGTAGAGGTGGCAGGATTTGAGAGGAATGATGCTTGTGACACAGCGGGGTACAACTCAGGCACTTGTGAAATCTTTGAAGATTGGATGGGAACTGGCAAAGGACCTGATGTAATGGGTCGCTGCAGCATAAGATTTACTGGCATAGAAATTGATGCCACATTGTTCATTTTAGGTGCCTTCCAGACAACCTCGCCTGTCTGTAATCTTTTTAGCTTCTCCTCCTCCTCTATGCGCTTCTCAATTCTGCGCTTCTTTATTGTTTCGTGATCAAGCACTTGGTGCCCAGGCTCATGTGTCGTGCTGTGCTCCAACATGTCACTGTACTGGGTAAACTCAGTTCCACAGGAGCAGATGTAACTTGCAGCAGAACACACATGTTCCTCCAGGCTTCTTCGATCTGAAAATATTTGCTCACAGCTGAAGCAAAACCGGCCAGCATTTATCAATTCTGTGCTTAATCCATCCTCCAGGACATTTTGCAGTTTTTGCTGTCCTCCCTCCATGATCAGGCTAGGCATGGATGTGTTCACTGATGATGCGGAGTCCTCCACAGAACCCTTCCTGCTGATGGAGACAAGTTTTAGAATTAATATAATCATAAACAAAATAGCCTACGTGAATTGGACAAATGTTCAATTCAGATACACCCCATTATTATATGGTAACCGATACAATCTGGCTCTGAGGAACTACCTATGCTAATGGGAACTGCATGCTAAGCTAGGAAGAGAGGGCTGTCATTTTACAACATCACGTATAGCCTCTTTTTTGAAATTTCATGAGTACATAAATGACTTATTTGCTCGTTATCGTTTTCTGGCAAAAACTTCTGAACCCAGCTGAACTCTACTAAGTAATTTCTCACTTTACACCCCGTGGCTTGTTAAATACACACCGTAGACTCGTCACCAAACCAAATAATACGGTGATTATATTTACTGAACATTTTTCCATACAAGTAAATGTCTGAGAAAATGCTTTAGCGAGACACGTTTTACAATTTATAACGTTGTTAGTTTGTTGAAAGCGCGCTTACCTTGCTATGCTAAAAGCCAATCATGCTAACGTTAGCCTCAATTAGCTCATAGACAATAACGTTAGCTTACTTTCACATGAAATCAAAGTAGCGCCGTATCAATATTCTGACATATCCTCCTAACAAACCGCAAACAGCTGGTCGATTGTCGTTTTGTGATACATTCAGAATCGGGCAAACTTGCCGGCATTTAACGAGTAGGTAGCAGTTAGCCTATTAGCCGCACCAAAGCGAAAAAAAACCTCCCTCTTCTTCTGCGGATGGCGCATTTCTACGGCGATACGTCAGGGCTTGCGTCGTCATACTGACACCTATCGAGTGGAGGTCCTGGTTCACTTTTAATGTTATTACCGTGGGTGAATTTTAGTCTCGACACAAAGCTGACACTTCAATCTTGAACATGAAAACAGACAGCTCTCAACTCAAGGTCCATTTACTCGTGCTTGTTTAAACTTTCAACACAGTCCTCATCAGCAGACTGACAATTGCCTCGGTTGCCATGGAAACACAGATGTTTCAGAGCACCTCTAGGTGCACATTTTACATTTTGGCACAATATATATCTAGGCCTTGATAAAATTGACATGACTATTATTTTTTATTTGACAGTATGACAAACTGATTGTACAAAATTTTTATTTAAATTTTAGATTCAATAAATAGGGGATGCCATTACAGTGAATGTATAAATCAGTCAACAGCTCTAAAGTTTAAAAAAAAAAAAAAAAAAAAAAAAAAAATTTTTTGCTTCAGGTTTCCTCAAGATCCGACTTTAAAGTAATGTTAGGTTCCCTTGGATATTTACCGTTAATTGTCATTTATGACAGACTTGTGTGGCAATGAATGTTATAAAAGACCATGGCTTGATTAACCTGCTAGGGGCTGCAATTAAGCCCTGTTCCTCATACTCTCCATGCAATGTGTACAGTTTTACTATGCAGGAATACTGACTGGCCGTGGTCATTTGATTTAACACATCAATTTGGGAATATGCAACATGCAAGCACAAAAATGAGATAAAGTAGCTCTTAAAACTGGGTTTTGACACATGAACTTGCTTCAAGACACAGCCTCAAGTAACTAAGCAGGAACTACTTTAAGGCCCTTATCCTATCAGTTGATTTGCTTTAGTGGTACATTATTCCAAATTTTCAATAAAATAGCAAAAAATCACTTGACAAGGTAAGGCTGGAGTCTTTGGGACTCCCAGAGTTTTGCAGCACCTGTTTGCTTAGTAATCCAGTCTTGATATCATTAATCATTTTGCTCAAGCCCCATTCACAACTTAGAAATATGTCAAATTAATTTTAAAATGAACACTGGAGTTGTGAAGTAGCTCTAAATTACATCCATCTGTAAATAATAACTACACAAAATCTTGTGCACACAGAAAATTACATAGTAATAAAGATGTTACATCTGCCTAAATACCTGAAACACTAGAAGCCATCTGAAGGGTTGGACAATAGGATATGGATAGTTGTAAAATGATCACTTTTAGGCTTTATTAACTGCAGTTATTCTCCTAAGTTGGAGAAATATAAACCATGGTCATTGTGATACCACTCATAATTTTCATGTTCAAGCATAGCTCTGTACACATGGTATTAAAAAACAAACCCTTTCTTATGTTAATCCTGCACTTTTGCCTCAAAGACTTTAAGGAAGATATAAGATCTCATATCACACAAAAAGATGTAATGTACATGTTTCACATACCGGTTTATTAACACCAGGAACAACAACGAGCTATATCACAACCTTTGTGATCAAAGTTTGGTTACCAAATACTCAAACATTTACAGGCTAATGGCATTATGTAATATAGGCATTAACTTGACAGAGCTAAAATGTATACTATATCAAAGCTTTTGTTTTTACAGTGGCAAGCAACTATGACACACTCCTAAGAGTTGCTTAAAAAACACCACCTTATGCAGCTGTACAATGTTTTCTTGAAAGTAAAAAACAGGTAAAGTTCAACTGGCAAATAAGGAAGGAACAAACTATAACAAGACGCGCTGTGTTCTTAATGCACCACCCCCATGTTACACATTTTACAGTTTCATTGAGAAGTCAGCTGTTCTTGTGTTTGTGGCTTAATGTCTCCAGCCATGATGCGATGAATCCTCCTGCAGTGGTTTTTGAGTGATTTAAGGTTTGGGTATGTTCCCTGACAGACATCACAACGATATGATTCAGACTGTTTGTGTGTAAGCAGGTGTTTCTGCAGACCGTCGACAGTGCTAAACCAGCGAAGACAAACAGGGCAACGCACAGGCTTGATGGCAGGCTTGCAAGCACCACTCCTCTGGTGAAATGTAAGACTGATTGTGTTTGGGAAGTCAGAGTTGCAGTGAGAACAGTGGTAGGTTTTCAGTGGATTTGTCTGTAGATTTGTAACCCGTCCACCTTTGCATCGATTCCAAGATATATGCCTTCGAAGGGAACAGCGAGTGGCAAAAGTGTTGCCACACCGTGTGCATACAATCCGCTGCTGCTTTTTTGTGGGATTTGGAAGCTGCTCTGGCCGTGATGGTTTCTGTGGAGGCTGATGCACTGACTGGGGCGGTGGCTGCTGCTGCTGAGCTGGTTGTTGCTGAAATCGAAGTAATAGAGGTTGTGATCGTTGTGGTTGCAGTCCCTTCAGCAGCTGGTGATGAGGATGCATATGAATCTGCAGATGAACTTCATAGTCTGCCCAAGAACTAACAGTCTCTCCACAAGTCGGACATGTGTAGGATTCCTGAGCATGTTTCTGCAGATGCTCCAGGAGAAGCCTTGGAGATGTAAATCCAACCCCACACTCACACGTCACCCTCCTTGGAAGTACAGAGGGCAGTGACATGATGCCCCAGTTGCCTCCATCGTCCTCCTTGGTTTGACAATCTGTTGTATTGCCTGACAAACTCTGCTGTCCAGTCCCTCTATCTACATCTGCCATTGTTCGTTGCAACTGACATTTTTTACTGTGAACCATCATGTTATCTTTGCGATTAAAGGTCTTCCCACAGACAAAACAAGCAAACATTGGTTTCATGCTATTTGCATTCAGTTGAATGGCACCATGACTACCACTCTGTGTCACAGTCCCAAGTGCACGTGGCCTAAACCCACATAGTCGGAGATGACGCCTCAAAGTAGATGCCCGACTATAGGTTTTCTGACACCTGTTGCAAGGGTAACGTTTTACACCATCTCTGACAAAGTAGCGCAGGCTAGCGGGTGTCGCCTCCACATGTCCAACTGACACAGATGTCTTCACCCCTCTGTCATCACCGGCTTTCTCTGCAGAACTCAGCACCTCCATTTCATCATCCAAGGGAATTGTCCACTGCCCTTCATTTCTATCTTCATCATTAACAGGTGCTGAATCCCAGCTGTTTTCCTCTCCTTGCTGGAGTGAAATTCCACTCAGAGAGGCATCCTTGTGCTGTTCCATCATTGAAGGTTTGGGGTAGAATGGTGAAAAACTTTTTGCTGGATTAGTCCAGGCCAACTGTGAAACTGCAGACTGGTCTGAGTTCGAAGAGGTCACTTCCACCTTGATACGACCAGTTACTTCAGTTCCTACACCAATACTCTTAGAAAATTGAGATTCAGCTATAACATCTGTGTCTGTTTTAGCTGTGCTATTTGATCTCAATACAATCATTTTCTGAATGGGGGGACTGGTTTGCTGAGAAAAGGCTGAGCCTGTGCCCTGACACTTGTGCATTTTAAGGTTCCACCTCCGTGCGTAGCTGTGCTTGCACAATGGACAAAAGAAGACCTTTTTTGTGTTGTTGAGCCTATGGAATGCCATTATTTTTTGGGAAAATGGTAACTTGTTCTTAAACGAACCTGATGGCTGTACGGTCTTGTTTCCTAACTGAGGGCATACGTGATTGTCACGTAAAGGTAGCCGCCCAATGATCAGCTGTTTGCAGCGACGACAACATTTAATCCTTTCTTTTTTGTGCAAGAAATGATGCTCTGTTAGTTTGTCCAAGTTTTCAAAGACCCTACGACAGCGGCCACATTGATATGTCCCATACGTACCATTACCCATTGGATCCATGAGCTTTTGACGGGTTTCAAGAACCACAACAGGGGAGAAAGTCTTGGTCAGAGAGACAACTCTTTTCTTACTGCACTCAAGAATTCTGCCAATAGATGGACCTTTTGTCTTTATACCAGGTTTTGCAAGCAGTCGCCTCAACTGTGCAATAGAGAGGTCGTTGATCGGGGAAACCTCAGTTTTTGCTCCTGAAGTTATATTAACAGGGACAACTTCTTGTTTGGGGGTAACTGTGTTATTGTTTTGATTCTGAGACTGAATAGGTGAAAAGCGCTTCATGTATGCTGATGCCAGCAACTTCATTAGGGAGTTGTTTTTGGGCATAGAGTCATTCTTTTCAATGCTGAGAACAGAATTAGTTTTGTCCTGGAAATGCATGTCCTCTACAGTCTCTGCTATTTGCTCTGCTGTGGACAACATGTTGTTACGCTGTTTTTCACTGTTATCCTGGGGGGGTGTACATTGGCCTTGAGAAGTGGTTGCAAAGGCAATGCCATCCCCTAGGTTTACATTGGCTTTATGATCTGTTAATGTGGGCAGGTCGACAGGTGGGGACCTTGAGGTAGAGGGGCAAGTAAGGACCAAACCTGGCTGGGCTACAGTTGGATTAAATGATACATGCTGGGTGGGAAAAGCTTGATCACATCCCTTTCCACTTGAGAGAACAATATTGTTATCTAGAGGCTGCAGTAGCTGAATTGGAGATATATGTGAACGCTTGTGTTCCAGCATAAGACTGAAGTCCTGAAATTCCTCTCCACAATCACAAATATAAAAAGAAGGTGAAGGGCTCTCAGGCAAAAGTGTTGGTGGACAGGGGTGCTCACTGGATGGGTGCATACTTGCAAACAGTGTTTCATGTGGACTGATGTTAGGCTGTGGAGTGGGAGTAGAACCCTTGGAGAGTGCACTTGCATGGGTTGCCTGATGTACTAGCAAGGAGGCCAGTCCAGTGAAGGTGGCTGAACAAGCCACACAACGATACACTTTGGAGGATGAAGTATTTCCCTGTAACCCAAGCATCATGGGAACCACATGTACAAGGCAATCCAGTTGGTGTGGTCAAGCAAGGCAGTTTCCTGAAAAACAAAACGACATACACAGCGATGTCACTAACTGAAAATAGACAGTCAAAATTTTCAGTTTGCAAACATGTTAAGGATACATTTTTTAAACTTAAAATCTTTCTACTTGTTTTAATAACATGCTTGTATACACCAGAACTCATTTTAAACATGGATACTAATGCAAAGCAAAAGGAACACAAAAAAGAGAAAAATAGCTTGTGTGCTTTACAAAAAATTGTCAATTAATTTTAAACCATAAGACAAGCTATATAGTTTGTGCAATGAAACATTACCAAATTTCCTATTCAGACAAAACATTGTTTGTGAGGTTTTAGCCAACATGGCCCAGCTGGTACAATACCTTACCAGGTCCCTTTCAAAGGGCCCTAAATTTAGACCAGTAAGCCATCTACCGAAAATGCCATGATTAGTCAGTGCTGCCTTGGCCTCAATTTTCTCCCAGAGTCTCCAGAGTCCACCTAAAGGATGCCCTGATTTGCAACATGTAAAGTCATCGCCCCGTCTGCCACTGGTCATCAAATCCATCAGGCTCTTCTGCAAGACTCGATCACATCCCATAGCAGTAGATTTACAACCCCATTTCTCCTTGACTTGTATAGCATGCTTTAGCTGTGTCATGACTAGGTGCATTTCCATTTTATCCACACAGTAGAGGAAAAAAAATGAAGACTTGTGATACAGTGATCATGTCTGGGCAGGGCCAAAGCAGGACAGTCTTAGCTGTGTTGTAGAGAAAAATCAAGTGGCAAGACGTGTGTGGTCATGCAGGAAACTGGAAAAGCACTGACAAGACCCTACACACCCATGGTACACCTACAAGTGTTTTCTTCTTAAATTTGTTCCCAATTATCTTCTCTGAACTGTCTGGGAGTGTAGGGTCTTTGTTTGACTGACATCTCACTCAAACGCTGTAAGCACTGTTGCACCTGCAAGGGTGGGAACACTTACACCTTTATCATTCTTACTGGTACACATAGTTGGTGGTCTCACATGATTCCCACCATAGGTCAGCCTGAATTCAGCCTAAGCAGAGGTCTAATCAGTCAAGATAATGCTGAGTTCATGTCATATTGTTTAAACCATAATTAAAAAAAAAAAAAAAAACATTCACGCGAGCCTCTGAATTGCAATTCCGAGTTGGCGATATTGGGAATTTCTGACAGCGACGATATCTCCCACTTGGTGAAACGAACTGTAGACATGTCAACAAACTGTTGGAACAGTTGCTGCAAATACACCACTGCTGGTAGGTACATCAAAAATAAAATAACATATTACCACAGATACAGTCAATCAGCTAATTATATTGGCGTTATATGTTAATAATGTGTGAACACTAAGGGGTGATTTCCTTTTCTTCCTATTCTGCTGGTCCACTAAACAACACATCACTGTAACACAGGAATACATGTAGATCTGAATGAAACAACAGATTACACACCCTCTTTACAACATTACCTAATAATTGGTACTTTGTCACTGCTATGATATGTGATGACTTTCATACATGTTTTTTTAATCACAAGATTTTTTTTACATTATTTTTATTATATTTTCTGTGTATTTGCTGGGGATTTAATTCAGTAATGGAATAAAGAATACATCCAGTGTATTGTCTATAGTAATCAAGAAGTTTTTATTCTACTCTGTTGAATGTCCTATGAGATCAAACATAGCTAGTCTTTTAAACCATTGTAAGAGACTAAATAAAGGCTTCTGATATCTTTCTCTTTGCTCTGCCTAAAGCACAACACACATAGAAAGCATTTGTGATGTCAGTGTGTAACACGTGTCACTTTCCTGACTCACAGAATAGATAAACTACCATTTGATCAAATGTATCAATCCACACTGACTCACGAGTAACTTGTGTATCACGGGCATCACCACAAGCCACCCCCCTTATTTTGAACACTCCCAAGTCTATTTTTTTTTTCCACTGGCAGGCTTAGTGATGCATGCTGTACAACTCTTCTCCAGTACACTATGCTTAATTCACAAACATTTTCCATGAAGGTAATGTTTTTAATTTGATGAACTTTCACTGTGTGTTTAGTGAAGTAACCTTCACCGACAGCTGTGCAAATCAAAAACTTTCCCTATGTATAAATATGACATAGCTAATACCACATTAAAATGTTTCCACTGAGGCACTGCAAAGCTTTTATTGTGAAGCAGCTACTGGAAGTGCACCAGTATTCGTCACCAAAGGTTAGTTTTAGTCTGCTGAGACTTTGTTTGATAAAAATTGACATTATTGTGCAGCTTTGTTTTCAGGTCATTTTTAAATACATAACAGCCACAGTGAATGTGAGAAATGCATTTTGCAATTTGGGCAAATGTTAAAGCTCCAAAATGCCATTAAGGCACCACAAAACTGTAACAACATCAGCACTAAGAGCCCAATATTAGGAGATAAACTCTAGCCCTAAATATACATTTATATTGAAGGATTAATTGTATGACAAAGTATTTAGCAAACAAGTAACAAAACAAAGGAACAATTATTATTCAATTAAGCCTATTTGGGTGTGGCACAGAAGCTTGATGTCAAAGAAAAAGGTTGAAAACACTAGGTGAAGCTGGTTTAAATGATACACAGTTTTGGGTGTGAAGATCACTCCTCCTGTGTCCAGTGTGTGTGTGTGTGTCACTTCAAAGATGCTCCATAATTTTGAGGTGAAATGAAAATGACCTGTTGCACAGATATATCTTATACCACAATAGGTAAACCGAAGACAGTTGAAGAACATCCATGTGTGACTTTAAATTCTGAGAGACAGGTTAAATAGTTCTCATACATGTATTCATATTAACTGTAAAGTGTTTTACAACTTCTTCACATGCACCACACATACATTCGTTACACAGTCTGATTAAAGGTTAACCTCTTTTAAAAACATCACCCATTTTAGATAATATTTGGACCCCTCTCTTAATTATTCAGTATTATTTCATAATTGTAAACTTTCTGTCCGACAACAGACATACACTTAAGTCTCTAAACCTGAACAATTGAGGTTCAGATGCATGAGGAAGAGTGGTTTACGTACAGCTTGCATTATTTGACTCGGGAAATGACACCGAGCTCAGTAAACCACCGAACATCAGGTGGACCTTAAACCACACACAGGAACGACACCGTTGCAAGGAAAAGAAAAAAGGAAAAAACAGCCACCCTCAGTAGACATTGGGGGGTATGCTAGCTTGCTAATGCTAAGCACACTGCGAGCCAACATAGCAAGGTTGTTTAACAAAAATAATAATAGTCTATCCTTACACACACACACAGTATCGTTTTAACAAGCTCCAGTCTCAGGCTAACGAGCTTCCCACATGGGCTCCATTGATCCAACACATGCTTCCTAGCTTGGCATCTGACCCTACCACATATACATAGCCTCTTTCAGTCTTGTCCACATATCGCAGATGGGTCGCGAGTGAAAGCTAACCAGGGGGAGGTGGTCGGCCACGTTCCTGCGGAAGGCCGGAGAAAGGGACAACTGACGTTAGCAAGCTAGCTACCATGACCTATGAAGCTGCTGTTGCTGCACAATAACCAACCGCTCATATCTTCACGTACTCACCAGCCACAGGAGCCTGAACGATGTCCTTCGCAGAGGAGCCACAATGGCTGAGCGGAAGGAGGAAAAATGGCTGGGCACGCATCTGTCCATGCAGAAGCAGAAACTCTCGAGGGAAACAGGGCTCAGCACAGCTTTGTGGTGTACAAACGTGATGCTGTGCCAGGAGGAAGAGCACCAAGAACTGCAGCTGCAGTAGGCGCGGAGCGACACTGTAGGTCTACATAGCGCAGGCGCAGTTAACCCGTGCCGTCCAGGACAGCGCCAGGTTTGTGCGCTGCTGTGCCTGCGGTGCGCTCAAGGTGCGCTCTGATTTGGCGCTGTGGCCACCGTCGGAAATGCAGGTCATGTAAGGCGATCTGTCCCACATAAACTTTAGCCTTTTTAATTCATTTAACTCTTATAAATAATGCAGATTTTTTACCTCCAGCAATTACTGTTACCTACCTTACCTCTTTACCTCTTATGTCTAAAATTATGTGTGTTCTGTGTGTGCTAGGGCTGCCTACCTGGTGCCAAGAGGGTCCAGACCTTAGTCAGTCAATGTACTGATGATGTATTATTACTTTGGGAAGGGTAATGTTCAGGCACAAATGAGGATAATTAATACAAATTTAACATTAATGGCCCTGGACTTTGCACTGTCCATTTGGTAAATATAAACTGCACTTTATCCAACTAATGCTTACTACATTAACAGTTCCTGATTCACCAGCCAGGGGTCTCCAGGGCAAGAGGTCCCATTTTCTCCCAAGTGATGTCTTAAACTCTGATCATATTCCAAGACAGGACATGAGTATGCAGAGATTCCACACATGTGCATTAGAAAACTTGATACTCTGACAGCAAGAAGAGCTCCTTTGCTTGTTTTATTTTGGCTGAGCATCATAAAAAAGTCAAAAAAAGGAAACACTATGTGTGACCACTTAACAAGGATAGAAACAAGAATGGGAAATGTACATGCGTATGATGGACAAAACATTTTTTGTGTTGCAGACGTACACACAGGTTGGGGTGCGGATCCTTGCAGACTTTGGCAAATGAAGAAATTTACATCATGCATACCCTTGTGATTGCAGACACAGAAAACATTGGCCTCCAATTAGTAATTATAACATTAGAGTTGATTAAATTTTTAACTGAGGATCCCTATAAAATTGGGACCCCATTTTAGGTGTCACCTTAATTTCAGTTTATAATATGCTTTAGTGGTGCACACAGTGACAAACTTAATTAGCAGTTTATTAAATTCTAACCAACTATCGGCCATATGGTGAACCCCCTGAGGGTCTGGGGGCTTGATGCACTTGTCCATTTGCCCAGCTGGGGATTCAGCCTTGACTGCCTTAGCTAATATGGTTAGAAAAGCAGTTGGCTGTACGGAGCAGCTGCCTCAAGTTCAGGTATCTTAAGGTGTCATTCATGACTGAGGGTGTCTTTTGCAAGAGTGACTGCCATTCAGCAGCAGGTTCAGTGAGGCAGTCACAGTATCATTAACTGTGGTGGTGAGGAGAGACCAGATGCGTTAAGCAAAGCTCTTGATTTACTGAATGACACCAACCTTCACTTGTGGTCATTATATTTGGACACATTTAGAATAAATCACACTGCAAATAGCTGATTGTGGTGGGAACTTCTGAAAATAATGGACTCACTCAAGAGACAGTGTTCTGTAAATGTATTCATCACACTTGCAAGTGAGCTAAAACCAGTGACATGGAATGTAAAAAGCATTAAATGACACATAAGCACATAGGATGTCAAAGGCTGAGAGCCGCTTTCTCTCAGACTGGCATACCTATCTCACACAGGTGCATCTCACCAAGTTGTGACATCTCTGAGAAACAGGGGGAATAGATGTTAACTTGACACAAAACATAAGAGAATCACAACTCCATATTTGGTAAATGACCTTGAAAAGGTACAGGAAGAACTGTTCTGGGTTCTGAGAGAGGCCTATAATGCTGCTGTGAGTGCTAACCCCTAGTTGCACTCTTTTGAACTGTATTTGCAGTCTATTTTCCACTACACTTATTGTTTGGGTACCTAAGGATGATGCCCCCAGGCACCTTCTTGGACATCAGTCAACTGGAAAGAGACCCAGGAGATTCAGCACACAGATCAAGGATGACATCTAATTGTCCAATGGAAAAGTCCAAGAAAAGCTGTAACTCACTAAAAAGTTATATATATACATTTTTCTTGTATCCTGGGCCATATTATATTTGAATCAAAGTCAAACCTCACCCCTGGAACAACATCAGGATCTTGTTTGGGGCAGTAACTGTGGCCTGGGCTGTAAATCTGGACCTTGGTTCATGTGGTTTACTTTCAGACTTGAGTGTGGGCCTTGATTTTGTAAAAATGTCTGTCCAGAAAATACATGTGTATTCAATAGTCAGACACTGTCCAAACCAGAGAGATAACCAGAGAAAAAATTATCAAGTTATTGGCCTGCTTCCTTAACTTGAAGTACAGAAGGTTCAGTCAGTTCCAATGGCAACATTATCTTAAGCTGCCCCTTACAAACACACAGGTCACAGTGTTGTCCAGAACACACACTGTCCAACATTGCCTCTGCTCTGACTATTTATTTGAATTAAGACAAACAACACAAGCGCTGCTGGGGTGAGATGAGACTGAAAATTGTGGCTGACATAATTTGTCACAGGACCTGTGTTTTGATTTGGCAAAGCTAAGCCAGCTTGCCAAGAACATGTGCTCTGATATTGGCAATGGGCCTTCCTCTGACTCACAGCTATTTTCATTTGACTTGAGATGCCAGAAGGTTTTCCCATACAGTGATGCTGTTTATGAACCATATCTACATTTTCAGGATATGGAGATGGCATTCATGTTGTTTACTTTTCCAAACTACCCCCACATTTCATTTGCATTTTCTTCTGGGGATCTGCTGATCTGACAGGTATTAAGGTGCTTAAAGTTGTGGACCATGTTACTGCCAGGTCTTCTCAGAGTTAGACACTTGAACACTCTTGATTGTGTAATCCATCCAGGAAGTTGGAAGCTTGGTCTTTGGGTACTTCCCTAACAATCTGCAAAAAAAAAAAAAAAAAAAAAAAAAAAAAAAAAAAAAAAAAAAAAAAAAAAAAAAAAAAAAAAAAATTAGCTGAAGCCCATCTTGACAATGACTTCCTTTAAAGGGAATAACACAGTCAATCTTATGACACAGTGAAAGATAATAACTGTGAACTTACCTGGTTTAGCTCTGCTGGACAGACTACATCTATTTCAAGAAGTATTTTGCAAAGAAGTACATTTTCAATTAGTACTGGTTTATTGAGTGGAGTGACTGTTTCTCTGTTACCCAACAAGTGAGCAATTTTCTTCCTCCTTTCTTAAGAGAATGACAGGGCTGCTCTCAGGTCCATGTTTCCTGATCTGGTCCAACGCATCAGGATTTTGCTTGTCACTGGCAGGCACTATTGGATGGGATGAGAGTCACTGGCATTGAAAACTTGCCTGCTAACATTCAGTAGTGGGGCAGATCACTGGGACCGTTTCACAATACCTTTTTTTTTTATTTTCTTTTCTTTAGAGAAGTACATAATATGGTGACTATACCAAAAATCCCATATCATTAGGTTTACGCTGCACCTATGAAATTGTGTACCTGCTGAGAGGTTTCCCAGACAGAAGTCTCAGCCAGTTAATTGAACCAGAATAAGGATCGGAGAAATATCCCTCTTTCAGAAACCAGGATTACTCTCCCTGATATGACTCGGAATTCCTGAAACTAACCCGCTAAGGCGCAATGTGGGACAACACTTTAATCCATCAAGAGTGAGGGAGTATTTTCTGCACCAGCAGTCCTTCATCTCATTACACCTTACACCTACATTAGTAATTGTTTGATTGATGTGGTTAGGATTACCTGTTTATATGAAGATTATGTTTGAATCAGTGTTAATCCATGCAAAGTACTTTAAATTTATCTTTAAATGTAGCTTTAAATGTAGCTTTATGTATTTTCATAGAAATCTCTTTGAAAATTAAAATTTTATTTTGGGTTTGCAATTGAAATGAAAACCCAAACCAAAGATCATCTTGGACTGTGACTGTGGGAGTTTTCACCATTAAATCTATTTTTTAATGTCTTTCAGGTAAATGAGATGAAAGAAATGAAAAAGGCCACTGTATTTCATATGGTATTTTAGGGCAAATGAAGGCAGAAAACCAATCTGAAAATTAATCTGTTTCCAACTCCCATCTATTTTCTGTACCTGCTGATCCTGTTTAAGGTCTGGAGCCTATACCAGCATAGGCTGGCTGCACCCTGATGTGTTGCCAGTCTGTAATAGGCCTAGCAAACAGTGTAAACACAGTTTAAGGTTTTCTTTTAACCTGCTCATCTTAGACTGGAGGAACCCTACACAGACGCAGGGAGAAAATGCAGACTCCATGCAGATTTCTACTTCTTCAGGTCTGTCATTTGAGGTGACACACCTTCATCTCAGCTCTAATACAGGTAAGTGGAACTTCTTAAATCAACTGTTTTGGTTAAATGAGGTGTGAGCCAACATGTCTTGGGCTCCTTTCCGTTAGTTTTCCCCACAGTACACATAGATTGTAAACAAGACATGCAAAATGATTTTCTAGTTGACTCTACTTCTGAATTGAATGCATCAACTCAAATTTATTAAGAAAAGTAACATCCTAGGGTTGTGAAAATGATATTCAATTACTAATCTTTTGAGTGTCTGTACAAGATACTTATCAATATCAAAAAAAACCCCATGATGAACACAGGAAAATTAACAGAAAATTACAAAATTGTCAATAGTACACAAATAATCATACTATACAACATACCAGTAGATTAAAACAACTTCTTTGAAGTCTATTTTACCTATTGGCAACAAAACTCGCTAAAACTATGCTAAAATAAATGTAAAACATCAGAAATTTCTGACTTTATCCAAGACATTTTATAAACATTTTATCCCATCATGCTTTGTCTGTATTCATCACAGAATATTAAACAGCTTTAAATAACTTTGTCATAGATTTACAAACACTGTCAAGAAACTATGTCGCTAATTTACTGTATTCATATCCCAATATTAGAACTAAAAATATATACGCAATGTCAATAGAAACTCAGGAGAAGATACTCATATCACAGTGACATGAGTCAGGAGCTTTGTAAATAATTGCAGGTGGAGGTACACAGTCAGATGTAAGGCATGAAAGGGATTTCAAGTTACTTTAGTTACAGTTATTCAAAAGGGAATATAAAGTAGATGGTATCTAACAATCATTACTGAGCGGAACCAGCATGAGTCTTTTGATGTTCTTCTAGTAGATGAGGAAAAGCAAAGGCTTTGTCACATTCTGTACATTCATATACAACTTCTCCAACATGACTTTCTTGGTGCTGCTTAAGAAGAGTCCAGTGGCTGAATGACTTGTAGCACATATCACAGCGGTACTTTCCACCCTCTTTTTCAGCATGCAGTCTCATATGCAAAGACAGATCTTGTGCTGTATTGAATTCAGTGTGGCACTGGATACATTTCAACTGGATTTCAGCCAACTGAGCTGCGCTTTGAGCAGCCAATTTTAAACGATGCCGTCGCTCGTGTTCTTTAAGGTACCTCCGCAATGCAAACGTTTTTCCACAAAGTTCACATTTGAACGGCTTCTCAATTAGGTGTTTATTTTGGTGCTCCAACAGACCACTTTTGGAGGAGAACTGCATTGAGCAGTGAGGGCAATTGTACAAGTCCTCCCCAGTAACATCGATCTCCTCCTCGTCTCCTGGAGGGGACGCCTTAGCAGATGGATTTGAGTATTTGGACTCAGTTATTGCATGCTGTTGATGGGAACAGTGGTGCTGGTGCAAAGCATCACTTCCCAAAAAGCTCTGGCAACACTCTGTGCATTCATATTCAGTAGCTGATGTCAGATGACCGCACTCGTGTTCGAGCTTGCTTGTAGAGGGAAGTGTCATACTGCACATTTTGCATTCAAATGTATGAGAATGTGTGGGAAAATGACCAATCAGTTCAGTGGCACTGGGAAAACACTGATGGCAAACTGGACATGTAAAATGGTGTGAAAGTCTTCCATCTTTACCTTTATGGTTGTGTTGAATTTCTGCTGCAGTATCAACATGGGTCTTAAGATGGCTGAGGAAGTGCTGAGAGGATGAAAAGCTACTGTTGCACTGATTACATGGATATTCACTACTTGACCATGACAGCTGATGGGTAGTCCTGTGCTTTTTCAGGTGAGATGCATGCAGAAAATGTTTATCACAGTCTGAACATGAGTATGGTCGCTCTTTGGTTGCCATGCAACCATGTTCTGAGAGCTCCTCTGGGTCTCTGAAGCGCTCATTACAAACACCGCAGCGATATTTAAGTTCTCTGTTGAATACTGATGAGCTTTCAGAGAGTGAAGGAGACTTTTGATACTCTGTCATAGAAAGTGAAGGTGGGGGATGGTCACCTGACTTGGAGTGGCTTTTCCGATGCTCAGCTCTACTACTCTTGGAGAGAAACACACAATTGCATATATCACAAGGGAAGTTCTCTTCACGGTGAGTAGTCATGTGTTCTGCTAACTGTGAGGGTCCTGTGAAACTGAAGTGACACTTCGAGCAACGGTATGGACGGCTCTTGCCATGAGTATGCTTATGTTTACGCAGTGCAAAGAGAGACACAAAACCCCTGCCGCATGCCTGACACTGAAACTCAGACTTGTGCATTCGTTGATGCTGCTGCAGCTGGGATGCCTGGAAAAAGCATCGACCACATTCCTCACATTCATGTGGTTTTTCACCGAGATGACACCGCTGATGATCCTCAAGACTTTCCGATGTTGGGAATGTCTTGCCACACACATGGCATGGGAAGTATGGTGCAGAGTCTGAGTCACTGTCTTCACTGCCGTTATTTTCATCCTCATCACTTTCACCATTTGTTCTAACTTGACTGCTGGATTGTTGTTCAGTGCTGCTATTTTCCTGTACTGTACTAGCAAGAATCTCCTGCTCTTTTTGATGCCACTTTCTGTAGTGTCGTGTCAGGGATTTTTTGACTGAATAGGCCTTGTTACAGAAACGACAAGTAAATGCATCATCTGGATGGTCTTCACTGTAATGATTACATAAAGATGGTCTTGTCCAAAACCTTTGATGACATAGTTTACAAACATAAGGTCTATTTGGGTCATGATACGTTCTGTGGATTTCAAGATCAGATAAGGTGTAAGTTATCTTGGGGCAGTCAGGGCAATGGTATTTCTGGTCAAATCCATGTGTCTTCATATGTTTTTCAAGATTTTCTTGACTAGTGCATACCCGTCCACATTTAGTACATGTATTGCGCTTTTTCTCTTGTTCCTGTCTTCCATGGTCTTCAAGATGACTAATGAGCAATAAGCCATCTGTGAAGCTCTTATCACATTCTGAACATTGGTACTGCACAGCTTTCTTCTCTTTACTTGAGCTGCTTTGCGCCTCGTTTCCTTCTGAATTTTTGGAGGATTCTTCCATTAACTCATCTTTGCAGGAAAAGTTGGTCTGCAAAACCCCAGTGCCAGTTGATGTGGAGCCTTCTTTGAACACTAGAACAGAGTCATTAAGTGCAAAATCAATCTCTGCTTTCAAAGGGACTTCCAACTGTTTTGTTTTACTTCTCTCTGAAATATGTCCAAACCTACATTTCCTGTAGTGATTACGGTGAAGACTTTTATTCCAGAAGCCTTTTTTGCATGTTTTACAGCTAAAAGGACGCTCCATTGAGTGTACACGCATATGCCCAATTAGTCCAGCTTTACTTCCAAAGGACATGTTGCACTCTGGGCAGAAAAATCGCTGGAGTGCATCACCATCTAGTGTTGTATCTAATTTACAGATTAAATTAGCACCATCACTTAGACCTTCGTCACAAATCTCCTCCAAAGGCTCTTCTTTGATGTTTAGTATTTTTGACAGGTGGTGCTGTAGGGGTGCAGTAGACACTGGTGGAACCACTGTTTCCAGTTTGTGTGCATTTAAAAAGTGCTCTTGGAGCTGTGAAAAAAGCAAAAAACGAGAACTACAGTATGCACAAGAAAAGCCTTTTGGTGGGCTTTGCGAGGTTGACTGCTGGCTTTTGCAAACTGTTGATTTTGATAAGGTTGGAGTTAAGGTGCAATTTTTTTTGTGATCCTCAAGCTTGAATTTGGAGAAAAATCCACCACATCGGTCACAGAGCACTTTACTTTGCTGTTGCTTCTTTGTGCACTTTGTGAAATGACGCTGCACATAATCCTTCCTTATAAATCTCTGACCACAATACTCACAGGCATATGGCTTCTCTCCTGTGTGCAGGCGGGTATGCACCCCCAACTGCCAGCTGTTTCCAAAAGCACGGGGACAATAACTACATACATATTTGTACTTTTTGTTAAAACAAGGCTTGATCCTCTGCAGAATTCGACTTCTCACCCCATGAAGCTGTTCTGTCACATTTTCTGTGGGTGGATTAGTTCCCAATGGTAGAGAAGCATTTGTGTCACTGGAGACCTTTCTGCACTTGTTCATCCTCTGATGGTGTTTGAGAGATTTTTCATGAGCGAATGACGAGCCACAGCGTGTACACTTGAACAACTTTGCAGCATGGAACATGGTGATGTGTCGGGAAAGCTTAGACTGAGCTGAGAAGCTTCTTGAACAGACTTTGCACTCAAATGTCTCCTGCTTTTCGGCAGGCTGAATGCTAAACCTATTTTGCCAACCTTTGCCAACATCATCTAAACTGATTTTGGGAATACAGACTTCCAGTCGTGGTCTTTTCCCCTTACAACGAGTCTGATGTACTTTCAGATGGTCATACCTTGAAAAGCAGCTGTCACAGGCTTTGCAGCGATAAGGTTTCACTTCATTGTGTGTCAAAATGTGACGTCTCAGGTTTCGTGATTTCAAGAAAGTCTTGGTGCAGAATTTGCACTTGTACTCAGCTTCACCTTCAGCTTGCTTCTGTGCTGCCTCTCTAAGATTTGGCTTGCTCAACAAGTTTGCTTCAGCACCATTTTTGACTTTTGATGGCCCCTCTTTGTAAACTCCATCACAGAAAGCTTCATGCTGCAAACACATTGTCTGACTTCCATATCTGTGGCCACAGTGCATGCATGCATAGGGTTGTATGCCAGTATGTGAAACAAGATGTCTGAAGAGCAACGATCTGTACCTGAACCTCTGTGTACAGTAGGAGCATTTAAACGGAAGCATCTTGGTTGCACTGGACTGTAAAGGCATTTCACAGACACTCTGGTTTGTTGGAGAGAGACTTTTACTGAAATCACCATTAGAAGATCCAGTGTTGATCTCTGTAGTCCCCCTGCAGTTCCTCTGATGTTGATTTAATTTTCTAAAACCAAAGTATTGGCCACATCTTGAGCATAGAAGAAGAGAGTTTGTCTTGTGTCCTCTGAGATGACTTTTCAGGCGGATCTTCTTACAAAATGACCGTGGACAGTAGGAGCACCGATATGGTCTCTTTGTCTTAGTGATAGACTCCATTATGACAAAATGCCTCGTTTGAGCAGGCAAACACCTCTCACTGTGAAGTTTAAGGTACAAGTTACGGTAAAACTGTTTTCCACAGTTTGTGCAGGAGAAGGGCTTGTCTCCAGTATGTTTGATCATGTGACGCAGCAAATAGCGGCGACTAGTGAAATTATGTTTGCAAAATGGACATTGGTTTGACGAGGACCCAGATATGTGTGTAAGACAATGTTTTCTTAGAACTTGAGCATCATCAAATACCTCTTTGCATAAGGAACACTGTAGCTGCTTTGGTCCAATCTGCTCTTTTGCAGATTCCAAGGACGTCCGGGGTTTTGATGGTGCACTCTCTTCAAGCTGAGATGGCTTGTTTTCTCTATTTTTGTGGGTGTCTAGATGCCTAAGGAGATATACAGGATACTGGAATTGTTGATCACAGTCTGGGCATTGAAGCTTTCCCCTTTTGAGATGTGAACTTCTGTGCTGGATTAGTTCTCCAATCGTTGGAAGAATCTTTCTGCAGACAGTGCACTGTATCCTCCTCTGGTGAACAATTTTATGACCAATCAGATGGGCATGTTTCTTGAATCCTTTTCCACATTCCAGGCAGCGGTAGGGTCTTTCACCTCGGTGATTGCGCTCATGTTTCTTCAGTGACTGTGATGTGCTGAAATATTTTCCACAAAACTGACAGCTCAGCACAAGACTGCTATTTGCTTCAGTTGATTTTAAGTTATCCTTATTATCTTCAGTCTTTGTACTACTTAAAGTGGCTGGTTTAGACATAGAGAACACGGAATTCCTGTACCTGAACATTTTGCCAGTGAGCTTAAACAACTCATGTTTTTTCATATGTCTGTATTTTCCAGAAGCATGATAAAAAACCGCTGGACAAAGATTGCATTTATAACGTGGAACAAGCTTGGGGGCTGTTATAGCTGGGCTTTCTTGTTTTTTCTGCTCATTTATTTTTGACTGCGTTTTCTGTTCATTTTCCTTTGATGGTATCTTCTGTTCATGTTCCTCTGACAGTGCTTTCAGGTCATTTTCCTTTGACAGGGTTTTAAGGTCAATTTCCTTTGACTGTGTTTTCTGCTCACTTTCCTTTGATTTTTTCTGTTCAACCATAGGCCTCGACTTTGCTCTCTCTTTTGCAAGCCGATTAAGACATTCTCTGAGGCATATTGCCTTAATATGTCTATATCGGTTGGATGGTAAAGTAAAAGTAGCGTGGCACAAGGGACAGCGATATTTACCAGAAACTTTTTCTTTGCCACCACATACTGTATCTTTGACACAATCACGCAAATGTCGAGCCCTGTTGTAGGAATACTTGAAAAGCCGCGGACAAAGAGGGCATTTATATTTTCCTCTTGTCTCATTCTCTGCTTTTTTAGTTTCATCACCACTGAGTTTTGTTGCACACTGACTTGATGAAACTGCCAAACTCTTTCCCTTGTGGCAGGTGTAGAAGTGCTTTTTGGCCTTCTCTGCAATTGAGAAGCTTTTACCACATAAACTACACAGATTAGTCTTGGAAATGTCAACAAGCTTTACATAACATTCGGGCAGAGTTGCATATGGTTTGTTCTGTACCAAGTCCTCTTGTGGTGTTTTAGTTTCAGCGGTAGCAGCATCAGAATTTGTAACTAGAAGTTTCCCAGGCTTGCATCTACCAGGTATACGCTTGTGTCTTTGCAGGGTACCAGCCTGTGCAAAATATAATCCACATTCATTACACTTAAAAGGTGTTTTGCCAGTGTGGGTTCGCATATGTCTGATATACTGAACTAGTTTTGAAAATATGAGTTTACACTTAATGCACCTGTGGCGGCCGTGCCGTTTTCTTTTCTTCTGTAAACTACAATTAGAGGGGAGCTGAGGGCTTTCTTTGGTGACATCACACACATGTTTTTCTGCTTGCTCACTCCTCATCAGATAGAGATTGCAAGTCTTGCAAAACTGAAAATTGTGCACTGACCAGCAAGAATGGTTGTGTTCAATTAGACTATTTACATTGTGTGTGATGTGTTGGCAATGTCCGCAACGATATGAGTTACTCATTCCATTTTCTGACTCTAAGGTCTTCAATATTACAACAGGTTGCAGATAGTTTCTCATTTCTCTAGAATATTGTAGTTGAGGTATTTGTCCTTTTGAGTGTTCAACACTGTTCTTGTCACGTCTGGCCATGAATAATTCTTTAGATTTACATGTGACAAGTCTTGCTTCATCTGTGTCACATGAAGAGTCTTCTCTTGACAGAGGTTCACCATACAGCTTGTCAGGCTGTCCCTCTACAGATGTATCAAACTCTTCAAATGACTCCCTTGCATTTTCTGCAACATCTCCACCAAGACCTTGTGGCTCTAGGGTGCCTGGTGGGGTTTGATTGAGTAACTGTTGCTGAGCTGGAGAAGATGTTCCATCTGTATTCTCTGCTGGACATTCCTTTTTTAGAGAGGGATTCACGTCTCTGCTCGAGTTGATTGACTGCAAGCAGGATTCTAAACTATAAGAAACACTTTGTTCATTACTGTCACTTATCACAGCAGGGCTACTACATTCTGGATCTGTAGAAGAGGTTGTATTTGCCTTCTCTGATCGACTTGTCCATTCTTTTTCTACACAAAAGTCTATGTTTGTGGTTGAGCCATCTGCCTGTAAGCAGGATTCTAGATGGCTAGCAACACTCTGCTTGTTATTGTGACTTGTATCAATACAGACACTGCCACTAGTGACATCAGGGCCTCTACAGTTGAGATCTGTAGAAGCAGTTGTAGTTTTCTTTGGTAGACTTGTCATTTCCTTTTCAAGAGAGGGATTCATGTCTGTGCTTGAGACATCTGTCTGTAAGATGAATTCTGGATGATCAGCAACACTTTGCTCATTCTTGTGACTAGTGTCAATAGAATCACTACAGTTCGGATCTGGAGAAGAACTGGTGTCCGTCTTCTCTGTTGTACCTTTTTCTACACAGGGATTTATGTTGGTGCTGGAGCTATGTGACTGTAAGCAGGATTCTGCATGACTAGCAACACTTTTCTCTTTCTTGTCACTAGCATCGCTCAAATGACCATCACTCATCTCAGCAGGGCTCCTACCAATATTGTCCTCAGGTACGTTTTTGTGAGACTGATGCTTAGGTAACTGCAAACAAGATTCAACATCATGACTGCTGCCTTTCAAGGTACTTGTGCATTCACTGGGTTCATGAGTAGCATCTTTTGAATGTGACACCTTGTTGTTTGGTGGATCTGATGATTTAAAGGTATTTGACTTAATTTTTTTCCCCTCACAGTCAGTTTGCATATTTTCATCTTGACTGTCAGTGGAGTTGGGAAGTGGGGTACTCTCCTCATCAAAAGTCTCATTTTCTAATGAATCTGATTCTTTTCTTTCTCTTTTTAGGAGGTTGCTTTTATCCTGCTCCTCCTCATTTTGATCAGGTGTGGAGTTGACACCACCAGATCCCTCATTTTCCTGGTTTAATGATTCCTTCTTTTCCTTTCTTAGGACTTTTTCATCTATGTGATCTTGCTCATTGTTAAATGAAGTCATGATATTTGGAGCAGTTACAGTGATTTGTTCCTTGTCATTGCCATGTGGGTACTGCGCTTCTCCATCACCAGTCAAGTTTTCATGGCCACGTATCGAGATGTCTGAATGTTTTCCTGGCATGAGATCTCTCTCTACATCCTCCTTTTGTTTCTGATCCTGACAGCCATCACTATAATTCCTATCCTCTACAGTCTCATTTCCTGTAGTTGTCACCATGTTAGAAGATGTAAAGGACTGATTGTGTCCTGTGTGAGATTTGACAGTTTCTTCTGGATTTTCCATCTTGTCTTGTGAACATTCAACTGTGACTTCTGCTGCCTTCAAATTTGATGGACTTGGCAAAACAACATTAGCCTTTGACATATTAGGGCGCTGACTCTCAGTTGGAAACATATTTCTAGTTTGGCTGAAAAGCCTTTCGGATGAATGGGGTTTTGTACTAACATCAGTTTTAGGTTTTGGAACTGAATTACTTGCCATGAATTTACAAGAGGGCCTTGTTTCACCAACATCTGCATCTGAGCAGCTGCTAACATCCGAGTAGTCCTCAAGAAATGATGTAGCTAGCATTCCACAGTCTTGCTTAAGTCCTTGTAAATCTGTTGCAAATGATGAAGGAAAAGATCCTGATGCCGATAATCCATCTGTGGCAAAGTCTGAGATATCACTATTTCCACAACTTGGCAAGTAATCTTTGTCCATTTGTTCTCCATCAGCTTGCCATTGTGTTTCCCTGTAGTATTTTTGATAAACACAGTCTGAACTAGGATTTCCAATACTAGGACTTGAGTAATAGTTCATGTTGAAGTTTGAGTTTGTAGCAGGGGCTTCATTTGAAGCTGCTGTGTCAGTGAAGTCATGATGTCCAATGAAATTTTCTAAGTGTTGCGAAAGACTTCCTTCTGACTCTGATGTCCTTCTCAAAGTGCTTGAATCAGATGATAGTGGTGGGAGGTTATGGTAGTATGAATCCCACTCATGAGCCATTCTCTGCATGGACTGGAAGGTAGGGCTTATTTTACCCAATCCTGAAAACACAGAGAAGCAAAGCTGTAAAAGAAATTACAATCAATATCATACAAATAAATGCGCACAATGATTGGAAAGAAAAATGTCACCTCTTCTTGGACATGCAAGGACTACCCGGGATGATGTGAATTACATCCCACTGGAGACCTGTATAAAAAAGGATTATTTCTATTAATGTGAGCACTTTAAAGACACCCCCCCCCCCTCCCAAAAAAAAATAAAAAAATAAATAAATAAAAAGGATCAAAACATAAAAGCAAAAAACCTGGTCCTACTAGGTACAAGACAGGTCTTGGAGAGGGCAGTGCTAGAAAACTCAAGAGTCACATAGCTGGAATACTGCAACAATCACATACACAACAACATAAACCTGAATATGGGTAACTGAATGGAATGGCCCGCCTGATTTGAACCAGATTGGTGCTTCATTAATGCGCTTCTGTGCTAGTCAATGGCTCTCAAAAACATCAATTTTGATCATAAAGTACCAGGACAGCTTAGGCCAACGACTGACCATTGCCTTTGTAGTGATTTCATCAAATCTGGGGCTCATGTCTCATGTCTTGTAAACATGTTTGAATAGTGGAGCAGAGGTCAACTGATCACTATTTAGCGGTGGGTCAGATCAGTTGGGCAGAGAAGACTACCAGACAGACCCGGGAAACCCAAATGTGTTGTGAGAACTATGTAGGAAAACCTGGCAGCATGCCTGTTTGCAAGGTCTTCAGCTCTGACCTCCTGAAGAACTTTTTCTCCATATTCCAGGGACAATGAATCAAAATGGGCTATGTTCAAATCTTACAGTGATGATATGGACCAGAAGGTCATCAGTGCCTGTGAAATCTCGAATCCAAGAACCAGTTGGTGCTCACCAACAGCATAAGAAAACCACAAGCTGAAGGTGAAGGCTTTTTGGTCTTGGCTGACATATGGAACACCAGAATCAACAAAACAGATCAGGAGGCCGAAAAGACTGCAACTTCTATGGTTGCAGAATAAAAAAACTTGGTGAGGCCTTTTTTTAGAGGAGCTTTAGTTAAATGATTTAGTATTCAGGGTAAACCTCAAGCCATGTTGTGACATATGTTAAGTATGTGTGAAAGAATGCAGCCACCTCATTCATTGTTATGGGGCCAGTGTGGTGGTACAGTGGGGGTACCAATGCATTGGGCTCTGGCCAAAAATAAACAAAAAAAACCCCCCAAAACAAACAGGGTATTGCTTAGCTAGACAGCTGATCCGGGCTTAACTTTTGCCCAAACACAATGCAATGTCATGTGGCAAGGTGCTGTGTTGGCCAAGATGTTGGCCAGACATCCAAGTGAACATTCCCAGTTGATTACTTCGGAATATGAATGCTGTATTTCTACTATTTAGGAATACCTGGTGATTATTGCACCAAAAGATAGAATTGCCACTTTCAAACATTTAGTCACGTGTATCATCAGTGTTATTTTGGTCTGAACACCAGATTGCCACCTCTCTTGCAGTGGGTTGGATTCATCCAAGGTCAGACCAAGAACATGTTTGAATGCTTACATATTCTAACTGGACTGGGAGGGTACTGGTATTCTCATGAGAAGTGGGAGGATACAGCAATGAACAGGGGCATTTGGGCTTTTTCAAGTATATATTTTTTTGGGATTTTTTTATGCCTTTATGATAGCACAGTAGAGAGAGACAGGAAATAGGGAGGCAGAGAGAGGGGGAATGACATGCATCCGAACCGGGGCCGACTGCAGCGAGGACTGTAGCCTCTACATGTGGGGTGCCTGCTCAACCCACTGCGCCACTTGACGCCCTGCATTTGGGCTTTTTAGTATTAGTATTTAGTATTTTTATATACTATGGGGGAGTCAGGGGGACTTGAGAAGGCTGTGCTCACCTCCCACACTCTCTTACAATGGTGGATGAAGAGGTCCACATCTGATGCTGACATGACACTTCCTCAGCAGTGTTAAGTTGAAGGTAGATACTTGTGCTTTAGCCCCTCCTATCACAGAGGTTGGTGCTCTAAGAATAGAACAGGATTATACAAACAGTTCAAATCTTCTAAAGTTAGAGCTCAATAAGAAAGAGTCAGATATTATGTTCAGCATTTCAGATGATATAATTGAATGGAATCATTAACATGTGTCAACTCATATGTTATTTCCTTTCAGACAAGCATTTCTCAATGACAAAAAAGAGAACACAAAATCTTAAAAGGTGGAGTGTGCAATTCTAATCCAATACAGAGAATATCTACTCAGTCCGCTACCTGT